TTAGATGATAGCAGCAGTACATTTAGCGGCAGAGAGAGTATTGACCAGGTGTTTCTGTACTGCAGAGGTCTCCCATGCTCACCCCCTTCACACATGCTTGGCATCATTCCTCTGTGCACTCGGTCATTAATAATACAGGCTGACCTGGTGGCTCCCTAACCTGCACTATAGTGACAGATTCATTCTGACCTCTGCAGTTGTATGCCTCATTAGAGTTTCTGAGGAGCAGCACATGTTGTGTTGTAATGGTCTTTTGCTTTTGTTGTCAAATATTTTCTATTTAACCCCTTCCTTATGGCTGGTTGTTTTTTACTCTGAATGTTCTATTTAGATGTGGATCTAAGCACTTTATCATTACAATACCTTAATTTAATTGATGATCAAATGTTTGGAATACATGTAGTAAGTAGAAATCATCACATTTAAAATGAATATAGAACCCAGTCAGGAAGTCTGAAATTGAAAAGCTACCCACCTATCAAAAAGAGAAATACAATAAAATCTGAAATTCTTACTCTAACATTTCATTAATGGCTACAATTTTACTCTAAATTGGTTTAAAATTTATGCTTGAACCCTAAAACTTTAATTTTTGCAGATACATTATTTTTTTAAAGGAACAAGATTGCTGGCTAAAGGACTTTCAGTCCATAAATGATGCTTTTACAATTACATATGTAAATAAAAGCATCACTGACAATAAAGACAGTAATCCATATCTATCCTAAAAATAACACCAAATGGTCCACATTTCAGTTTCTTTTTGTGAAATGTATTAATTGTACTGCATGTGAAGTTCTCAGTGTAACTGAAATGGATCAGCCCTCGAAATCCCCTTTTTTTTTATCTTGGCGTCATTGAGCTTGTGAAAAAATAAAGTAAATCATGTGAGAGGAGCGTTTAATGACAGGTGACATTTCTGGTTCTCGGTTTGTGGTCTTCCTTTGACCGTGCTGCCATGTGGGAGGAGAGGATCTCACTGTGCCTGACTGACTAACTGCACTACTGACGAATAGGTTTGCATTTGGCCATATGTTTATTACACATTGTTGATGAACTTCAAATGTGAGAAGGAAATAAACAGGAAAATGCTTAAGGTGAAAGATTGTGTTTAAAAAAGGCTAAAGTTCAGTCTTACAGTCTGTTCTAGCTGTTTGCTTTGCAGTTTGGTTCCTTCACGTTATTGTGTGGGTGTGTTCGCTCCCTTGGGCTTACAGAGGCTCTTTGAAATTTCCCACTCTTTGGCTCCCTCTATGGGCCACTGTAAAGAACACTGGTTAATTAATTATTATAGATATTTTAATAACATTTTTTTAGAATGAATTTGGATCTTGATGTTGAGCCTGTTTCACAGAGCACTGTTAGATCTTGGCAAGATAATAAAGTCCATTGGGATGATCTATAGAGTATATAGGCTATCCCACAATTCCTTGTTAAGCTATGTGGACCCTTGATGTAGACCTATTTTTCACTGCATTTATTTTGAAAAAAGGTCACAGGAACTAGAAAGCATAGCATAGTATACTCTATTTTCTTTCACAATCATAATGCTAATTTACTTATAACTGATTCTATTGCTTGTTGTCGGCTCCCAGATACTCCCCCTTATCCTTAATTCAAAAGAGAAGGCTCATCTAAATCAATGTTTGGTAACTGTAGTCCTGTCTAAACTTTGGTATCTTACTTATTATACAAATATTTCAACAGCTAGTGTTAGCTGGATATATTTAAAGAAAGACTACTACTACTACTAATTTCTTAACATGCTAATTACATTTTCAAACAAAATTCAAAATGTCATGCTAGTTACATTGTCAGGTTGCCCAGCTTTACCTGACAACCACAAGAGGCAGTTTTAACACCACTTTCTCTCTCCCCTCATATGAATAGCATATAGAATCCAACAATATAATCCTTTTGAAGACTCAGTACTTACGTACTTTCTCCCACCATTTTATCACACAAATGAAGAGATGTTAAAATGAATAAATCACAAAACATTTGGATGAGGTGACTAAATGTATCACGACTTAACACCTATTTTATTTTTTCATGAGCTGAGAAGAGCAGATACAGCCAAAAGAAAAGAACATAGGGTTTTGCCAAATCATGTTGACTGTGTTACTTATGAATACATTAATATTATATAAGAAAATCTGAGAGATAACAATATTAGCAACATTCATACTGTTAAGTGTACTATCCAGCCCTTTTAGATCATTTAAAGACCTAATCTGTTTTGGCTATCCTGTGTTACTGGTCTGTGCATGCTCTCATGTGATACACATGCATGTTGTATAAGTGATCAGGCCTTTAATATGTCACTACTGGTCTCTATGGTGCCAGCATCAATTTGTGTGGCAGTGACCTTTTCCCCACACTAACCTGCAGTGCTCAATCTCTCATTATTTTGAGAATGAAATGGCTGAGTCGACAGGATGCCCATTTCTAACAAAGTTAAAGATTCATATTATATAACCACTTGTCTGATACCTTGTCCTATACTCTTCACCTGCTTTTTACACACTGCTCCAGGGCACTGTCAAAATAAATGGATAAACAACACTTCTGACAAACAGCATGTTTTGTTCAAATGCAAGCTAGCTTTTTGATGCAATTGGAGTAGTTCCAGTTAGCGACACTCCTCAATTTAACAGATGCATTTGGAGATCTGATTGTTGCCAAAGAATGAGTCATTTTATTTTTTTAATGAATATCACACCCAAAAGCATGGAAGCAAGCTGAAAATGACATGTCTACATTACAGCAACAGTAAAGTGGCATGTTGAAAGCACTGATTTCCAAACTCAATGTAATGCAGATTTAAAAGTAAACTACATTAGACTGAAGTTAATGTGGTAATGTAAAGTGTATTTTTCTTTGTCTACATTGTCTCAAAGCAGGTTTTGTCTTCCTTCTGAAGATTAGTTTAGTTTATTTTAGTCTTTATTTAAAGAGACAATGTACAGAGACATTAAGATCACAAAAACAGAGATGTCACACATTAGCAAAGTAAAGCATTAGGTATTTACAGAATCATGAGATTCATCTTTTAAAATACATATTAACCTACTACTTCTACATTTCACTATTACATCAGCCCATAGTTTACAAAAATGCAATATGCCAGTGTTACACACATTTTGCTGATTAAAATTTTGATCACAAGTAATATAAAATCCTAAAAAAAACAACTTTTTAATCTTTTCTGTGAGGGTTAAATGTAACAGCTAATCTCCTACTGTTTAATGGGGTTATTAATACCACTAGCAAGATAAACCACTGAACTGTATGTGCACTAGTGCCAAAGTCTAAGCACTGTCAGCTTTGAGGAAAAACAGCCAATATTGTGACAGCAGTATGCAACTCTCTCTTTCTTATAAGGTTAGGGTTGACTTTTATAGTCCCCTTAGGGAAATTTGTCCTTTGTATTTGACCCATCCTTCAATGCCGCTGGGGCAACCTGCCAGGAGCAGTGGAAGCCTCAGTGGCGCACACAGGAACTCATCTCCAGATCTTTAGTTAGTCTTAGTTAGAACTTCCTTTAACTGGATGATTGTATTTATTGTGCATGTTTTGGGTTAATGGGGGAAAATGGAATGCCCAGAGGAAACCCACCCAGACACAGGGAGAAACATGCAAACTCTGCAGAGAAAGCTGTAAGGCAAGAGTGCTAATCACTCAGCCACTGTGTCCTTATTGAGCTTTTATAACATTTGTTTTCTGTCCTTCAAAGACCTTCACAAACATCCTTCAAAGCATATAATTAAATATGCTTAATTAGTGTTGCTGAGGTGAGGATTGAGAAATAATTTTATAATTCACACAATTTGTGACACAAGTTGACAAAATGTAATTAAAGTCATGAAATTGTATGGTCACTGTTGTAGTGAAAGAAGGACACAGATGGCCTACCAGTGCAGAGAGCTTTCTTTTTTACATGGACCACAACCTCTCTACATTGTGAGGACGAAGTTGCCACGCGCTGCTCTACAAGCTTTAGTACGCTACATGAATTATTTGCTATCCCAGCTCTCCCCCTCACCCACCCTGAGATGTAATGCTGATTCAGGACCACTCTGTACACAGCTGGAGAAAAATATGTTCATTTAGTACTGGAGACATTTACGTGATTTCTTATAATCTACATCTAGCTACAGAAATGTCAAAAATACTAATTTGTTATGTATAATTAGATAATGGTTAGTCCAGAAACAAAACCATTACATTCAATATCATAAATATTCTTTGCATTCAGGTATGAAATGGTATTGCTAAAATATAAAAATGCTCAGGTTCAGTCCAGTTTAAGGTAATTATTAATTATTTTAGTTCATGTAAATGGGTCTATAATTCTAAGCACTTTCATTTCTGTATCTACCATCCCATGTCCCATATGTGAACCACTTTAATAGTAGCATGTCTTGAAGAGGGTGAAGAGTGTCCTGGTGCTATAAACACACTGAAAACTGGTTAGTGACAGTTTTTCTCCATTTGAAAAAACAGCACAGATGGCCATTTCTGAGACTGCTGCACCTGTTTATATATAGCTCCTCAGTGAAGCACTTGATAGAGATAAAAACAAAGCAAGTCTGTCTGTTTGGCAATGTAATGGCTTCACCAACACTTCACTGTTCCTCATGAGAATACTTTTTGGGATTTTGGACATGGTTAGAAAGACGTCTCTTTGGATGAGACAAATTACATTGTTGTCTTTGTTAGAATAAATTGAACAGGAATAAATTTATTAGTTATTTTACACTAAAATATAGAATATTTGTCTTTATCATCTCTTTTCTCACTCTTCACTCTCCTCCTCCTCCTTTTCCTTCCTCTCATTGTGGTCAATTTTAGCTTTACCTCCCACCTCCCACTTGGGAAGGTTCTACAGCGCTTTTGTCCAAGCTACTGAGCTCAAAAATAACTTCCATGGTTTATGACATGCATGATAGTCTGATAGGCCTTCTTTCTAATGCTCTGTCTTTCCATTTGTGTTTCAGAACAAAGAATGGCTATGCTTAAACTGCCAGACGCAAAGGGCCCTTTCAGGAAGTTTGGGAGACCTTCCTGCACCTGTTCCACAGCCAATGGGGTCGCCACGACATCCTGCTCCAGCCAGTCAACATCCACCTGCACAGCAAATCCCCAATCAGGCCTCAGGGCTTAGGCCCACAGCTCCTCACCAACAGAAATCTCCGGGTCACCAAGTAAGTGCCCCACAGACCAAGGGGTCCAGTCAACCCTCCCCTCAGAGTAAAGCTTCTCCTCAACCCAAATCTTCTTCCCTGCCCCCTGCCCAGAGTAAGGGCACAACACAGCCTCCTACTCAGACCAAGGGCACTATACAGGCTCCTACCCAGACCAAGGGTACTGCACAGTCTCCTCAGAGTAAGGCTCCAAGCCAAGTTAAAGCTCAGCCCATTTCTCAAGTAAAAGGGACAGGTACCGTTAAAGGCACAGTTAAGGCCTCTGCTCAGCCCTCTGGTGCAAAGGCTTCCCCTGCCTCTGGGAAAGCTGCACCTCAGAAAACTTCTCCAGCTCCCTCCAAAACTACGCCCGTTCAATCTAAAACCACAGGTAACAATCAGACCCGGAAACCTCCCCAGGGCCAGGAGAAAACAACTAAAACCAGCTCTAAACCTGCAAAAGAAGATGTCAAGACTCCACCAAAGAAGACAGAACCTGTCACTTCACCTAAAGACACAAAGATTGATGAGGATACACAGATGTCCAGACACCAAGTGAGCGACCAACAACTTGTCACCTGTCAATTCATCATTTGTTTGGTTTTTTTTTGTCTTTTTTCATCAGTGTATTTCTGATTCAGATTTTTTATATATTTTTTTACATTTTTGTCAAAAATCTGAAGCCTTCATTTTATCTCTTGAAGTCATCTTTTTTATTTTCTAACTTACCATCATCAATTGCTCAGCATCTTTACAACTTTTGCAGTCATATTATTTAACTTTTTTGTTTGTTTTTACAACCAAGCATCTGTCCTGTTTGACTCCACATGATGACTTTCATTCATAGCATGGTCACATTTCAAAAATGGTTCAAAGGAAATGACAGAGAATGCATGCAATCAAATGCCATATTTTAAATCTATTCAGTTTACAAACCATTTGTGTATTAACCAGTTAAAGGTAAATTCACTCTTCGTGTTAAATAAAACTTGCACTTTAATTCTGTTGACAACAGATACGTGAATAATGTGATTGATTTTGCTTTTAAGTGGTTGTAATTGTACATTTGATAGTACTTTAGTGCTAATATGTTCAATTGTTTATCTGGTCTGGATCAGTGGTTCTCATTTTTCCTGTAACTAAAATCCTGATCTTGATTTTTTTCTGAGACAACTAAAACTAAACAACTTTGATATTAATGTTTGAAAAATCTTGTTCTCTGATAGTTTGATGAATTATGGTAATCGGTCAGAAGAAAACTGAGAATCACTGGCAGTAACAGATATTGTTACTGCCATGTTTTTTTCTAACAGAATTTTCCTTTTCCCTTCTTTTTCAGGACTACACCAAATCAAGTACACAGAGTCTGAGTGACACCGGGTACTCTTCCGATGGCATCTCCGGTTCCCTGGGTGAGATCACGGGCCAGATCCAGGAGGAAAGCATTAAACTCAATGCGTCAGTGCCCTCAGATATCACCAAACTGGAGAGCTCTATGAAGCCTCTGCTGGAGCCCGAACTGAAGAACAGGCCTCACTCACTATCTGTGGGAGACTACAGTCCAGAAGATGATGCAGCGAGAGATGAATCAGAAGATGACCTAAGCTGCAAACTTCGACACGACTATGTGGAAGACAGCAGTGAAAGTGGTCTCTCACCACTACCAGTCAGACAGAAGAAGTCACACAAAGACCTAACAGATGAGGAATACATGAGGAGGCAAATCATGGAGATGAGTGCTGATGAAGATGAAATGGAAGAATATGAGATGCAGAAAACCAAAAAAACTCACAAAAGCAGTGCTGATCAGGGTAAAGAAAGGCGCAGGTTATCACATCAGTCAAACAGCTTTGAGGATGACCCCAAGGCAGCAGAAGCTAGAACAGAGGAAGATGGTCTAATGGCTCAAGGTGGACTCAGAAGGTTTAAGACAATTGAGCTTAATAATACAAACAGTTACAACCGTGATATCGAGCTTAGCACTGAACATGACTTAAGAGAGCCAGAGCTTGAAATGGAAAGTCTGACTGGTTCACCAGAGGAGAGGTCCAAAGGGGACTATTCATCCACGCTTCCTGCCACTACACCTAGCTACACCTCTGGAACCTCCCCCACATCTGTGTCGTCTATGGAGGATGACAGTGACAGCAGTCCCAGTCGTAGAGCAAGACTAGAAGAAGCGAAGCAGCAGAGAAAAGCAAGACACCGCTCCCATGGGCCATTGCTCCCTACTATCGAGGACTCATCTGAAGAAGATGAGCTTCGAGAGGAGGAAGAACTTCTCAGAGAACAAGAACAAATGAGAGATTTAGAACAGCAAAGAATCAGAAGTACAGCTCGGAAAGCCAAACGAGACAAGGAGGAGCTGAGGGCACAGAGACGCAGGGAAAGGTCTAAAACTCCTCCCAGTAACCTTTCGCCGATTGAGGATGCATCACCAACAGAGGAGTTACGACAAGCTGCTGAAATGGAAGAACTTCACAGATCCTCATGTTCTGAATACTCCCCTTCAATGGACTCTGAGGCTGAGGGCTTTGAGGTGATTGCTGGAAAGTTGTATAAATCTGGCAATGAGTACAATCTTCCCACTTTAACAACACTCTACTCACCCACAGAAAAGACAGCAGTGTCACCATCAGATAAAACGCTCAAAAGTGCAGAAGAGGTCTATGAGGAAATGATGAGGAAAGCACAGCTAATGCAAAAACAAGGGCAAACGGTTCAGCAGAAAGGCACTGAAAGCAGGTCCACTCTGGAACCTGGTGGTGCTTTAACTCCAGGCTCCAGTCCTACACAGATCGGAGCTCCAGTCTCATTCTCTTCAACAGATCCTAGAATCCAAGCTGCACATCTGTCAAAAGAAACTCAAAACAGGATGATGACTCAAAGTGCCAAAATCGAAGGTGTTGTTGGAGTGTCCACAACAAAAGCTCAACCTGCCACCACAAGACAAAGTGGTCCCCAAAGGCCAGCACAAACAACACCAGAACCTGCCTCATCTTCCATCACCTCCAAAGTCTTCTCACTATTCAAAGGCCCCAGTCCTCCTGTATCTCCCAGTACCTCCCCTGCCCAAAGCCCACACATGCACCATCAGTTCGGCCTTCCAGTGGCAGACAGTTGCCCTCAGTGCCTGGTGGTCCTCCAGCTACAGCAACACAATCACCTCAAAGAGCAATGTCACCAAGGCTTGCCCGTCAGCAGTCCTCTCAGGAGTCTCCAGTAATGGTCATAACACTGGCTTCTGAAACACCTAACTCTGCCAGGCCACAGACTGTAAATTCCTCCACTTCTCCATTGTCATCCCCTACACAAGCCAACTATAAAACTTTGTATAGCACCCATGCCCCACCCACAAGCTCTCCCAAACATTCAGTAAATGTTGGCATTAGCACTATGAATGCACGTGAATCAACTTCACTGGAAAAAATATCAAATGTTGCATGCTCCTCAAGTTCAAATGTGGTGGATCTGCGAGCTCCAATGCGGTCTGCCCCTATCATAATGACAGATCAGGGAATGGACTTGACATCTCTAGCTTCTGACACAAGGCGATACACTGGAGGAGTGGAGCTGCCTTCTGGTCGACATACTGCTGTGCAACCTCTCATAATGAATCTTAATGCACAAGAACAGCCACATGTCTCAGTATCTACACCTACAACGGTTAGTGTCACAGTAGCCGGTGTTGTGTTCATGTCCCCATCAAAGACACCTGTTATATATGGAGATCCTTTGCAAAATCGTGTTGACTTGGGACAAGGTGTTGGCTCAGCTGTGTGTTTGACTCAAAGTAAACCCCCAATCACTGACCCATCTATTCCTAAAATTGATGCTTGCCTTGAAAATCTGGGTCTACAACAACAGCAGTTACAGTTACAACAACAAAAACTTCTTCAACAGCAACAGCTTCTGGAACAGCAGCTTCAGCAACACCAGCAGCAAGCTTCCTTTGCCCGGTACAATTTAGCAAATCAAGTACAGCCAGTGATTATGAAGAAAGATCTCGTAGTGAGTCAAACAAGTACCGCTCAACCTGTAGTGACAGCAAGTGCCATAACTAGACCAACAGTCCCACATTCAGTGTCTGGAGCTGTGACCACGGCTCCTCAAGACATCTACGGTGGAGTTGCCTTAGAACTGAAAAACAAGCCAACAGCAATTAACCTATCCACTGGAAAACCTCATGTTATGATGGTACAACTTGATGATAGCAGTGCATCACAAAATACCATGGTTACTCAACTTGTAAAGCAAGAAGAGCCCCCTCCCCAGGTCTTGGATCTCACTGGGCAGCTAAAATCAGAAAACCAAGCAGCTTGTTGTGATGTTGTTTACAAGTTACCATTTGCTGGCTCTTGCTCTGGGGCATTTGGGCAAAACACAGCAGATACAAATCCTGCCACTGAAACTAACCAAGCTCCTAAACCATCACCGCCACATTTAAGTGCAGGCCAACAACAACAGCAAGTTTCTAAAGGAATAACAGAAGAACACAAAGCATATCAGCCTCCTGTATTCACTCTGGGAAGAATTCAACCATCCATGTCTGATACCAACTTACCTTCAATGACAGATGGCAGTCAACATCAGGGCAGGGTGCAGGGAGGGGCAGCGGTTGATCTTACAGGCCTGACTCAGACATATGATGGAGGATATCTCGGTATGGGAGCACAATATGGCTCATACACCGACTTGCGTCAAGATTACTCAACCTCCTCTCTACCACTTCGCCGATATGGCTCCTTGTCTAATATCAGTTCTGACTATAACTATAGTGCACAAAACCTATCTGGATCCCAGGACTCAAATCTTGCACAGTATAGTGCCACCACAGCAAGAGAGATCAGTCGCATGTGTGCAGCACTTAATACAGCAGACCACATGGGGAGATACAGACATAGCACTGAATTGGTCCCATATGGAGCAGGAAGAGGTGGTTCCTTGGGAAGGCTAAATCTTCAGCAGAGTTTAGCATCAATAAGAGCCAGTCTTTTATATGGACCAGATGGAAGACCAACCCCAAGTAGTCAAGCGCTAACAAATTTGATTAATGCTAGACAAGCAAGTCTACGTGCAATGTACCCAGCAGCTGTAAGAGGGGGCGATGGCATGATATATTCCACCATTAACACCCCTATAGCCTCTACATTGCCTATTACCACTCAGCCAGCCCCTGTCATCCGTCCCATGTCTGGAGGAATATACAGGCCATACCCTGCAGGAGTAACAGCAGTACCACTGGCTAGCCTCACAAGGTTACCCCAAGTAACTCCTAGAATGCCTCATCCCACACAAGGACAGTATTATAATCAGTATCCATCATCAGCTACTCCAGCAGCTATTACCAGTTCCATGCCCCAAGAAACACCAATGTACCTTGGAAAACCATCAGCACCAGACACTGCCCAAACAAATGCAATAGTTGCACCTACTCCGGCTGCAGCCCATGGAGGGGTACATAGAGTTTCAGCACTTGCTCTCCCAGCTCCAGGAGATCAACAGGCAACTCACCTTCCCTCTCCTGCAGCTCTTCCTATAGCTCAGAGCCAGCCTGCTTCCATCCAGCCAGTGCAAACAGAACCACTATCATTAACCCAGTCTCTAGTTCCAGTTACAAGTCAACAATCGGGCCAACCACAAACAGCAGCAACTGGGACTCCCGCAAGTAAACTTTCTCCTCCTGCTGAAATACCAAAAGGAAAAGAAGATGAGAAAATGAGTCAACAGCAAGAACATATATTGCAACTAGAGCGAGAACGCGTTGAACTGGAGAAATTACGGCAACTGCGATTACAGGAGGAGCTTGAAAGAGATCGCATGGAGCTTCAGAGGCACAGAGAAAAAGAGCAGTTAATTGTTCAGCGTGAAATTCAAGAACTTCAAACAATCAAACAGCAAGTATTGCAGCAACAGCAAGCAGAGCGTGAAACACAGCTCATCATGCAAAGAGAACAGCTGGCACAGCAACGTATGCAGCTTGAACAGATCCAGTCTTTGCAGCAGCAGCTCCAGCAGCAGCTGGAGGAGCAAAAGCGGCAGAAGACGGCTGCTGTGGAGGCCGCTGCTGCCGCTGCTGCAGCAGAGGCAGCTGCAGCCTCTGCAGCTGCAGCTGCTGCCGCCACATCAGCACAGGGAGCCCTGCAGGGAGTAGTTGGAGGAACACCTCATGGGTTCATTATTTGTGACCACACTGGTAGAGTTATTCAACAAGAAGGCCAGAGCGTTCAGTTTTGGCAAGATGGACAGGTGGTGCAAGCTGTGGTTGCTGGTCGGCCAATTCAAAGCTCTGCATCTGAAATGTCATTAAGAAGCAGTGAAAAACAAGTTGACCCGAAGGTTATGAGAAAACAAAATTCTATGCCTCGGCTTAGGGATGGTACAGAAGATGACTCTGTGAAGAAGATTACTGACAGCTGTGTACAAACAGATGATGAAGATGGAGAAGACAGATTTATGAATCGCCGCAGGCGGACAAGGCGCATAGCAGACTGCAGTGTGCAAACAGATGAAGAGGACCAGGGAGAGTGGGACCAACAACCAGTAAGGCGAAGGCGATCACGAGCATCAAAGCACTCTGAATCCAGTGGGGAAAGTAAATCTGTGTCTTCAAGTATAGCTATTCAGACCACAAATGATTCTTCATGTCAAACTGAAGCAGACCAGCTTGGCAGGGTTTCTCCTGCAATCCATATTACAATGGCAGAGACTTCAAAAGTCGACCTGTTACATTATATAGCTGCTCCCGAGAGAACACACAAAGGAGAGAGTCTGGCTTGCCAAACAGAGCCAGAGTCACAGTCCCAGGGTGTAGTAGCACCTCAGCTCAGTGTGCCTACAACCATCAGTCCCTACTCCACAAGCCTGCACATAGTTGGAGCAAACTCAGCAGATGCAGCCTCCCCAAGACTCCAAGGGGTAGCAACATTTGAGAGAAGAAAACCTGACCCTCTGGACATCAGCTACCAGCAGCATGATTCTCGTCAGCCCCCTAAATCTCCCCAGGTTCTATACTCCCCAGTGTCTCCTCTGTCTCCTCATCGCATGTTGGAGACCACATTTGCATCTCAGGAGAAACTTAACAAGGCCCACGTCACACCTCAGCAGAAAGCCTTCACAGCTGAATCACCCCAGCGCCATCAGTCACTCCCAAGACCCATCAAAAGTGTACAGCGTTCCATGTCAGATCCCAAACCTCTCAGCCCCACATCTGAGGATCCAGCAAAGAACCGGTTTTCTCCATACCATCAACAAGCATTGTCCAACAGTCAGGTAAGAACTGAAATAAACTATATTTACCACTCAAAGTATGTGAATAATGCATTATGTTTTAAACTACACTCATTTAACTTCATTTACACATGTTTAACTACTAAAGAATAAAACCGTAAGACAAAGAGCATATATACACACACATCTATGATTTCACAACATTTCCAGTGAACTGTGCTTCTGAGCACTGTGTTTTGTGTACATGTAAATCTCGGTCTGTATTATAAAATTATTATCAATTATTTATTTTATGTAAGGTAAATAAACTGATAGTGTATGCGCTAATAACTGAATTGCTCAATTTACATAATGTGCATTGTCTGTGCCTTTCTCGACAGATGGCCTCCCTGCAGCAGCAGCAGAATTCTCTGATGAGAAAAGTGAAGAGAACACTTCCCAGCCCTCCTCCAGAGGAGACTCCAATGCCTATTGTCACTCCAGCACAAATGTACAGCTCGCCTGGCATGTCCCAGAGAGTCCTACCACGCTCTGCCCAGGGGGTCACTAAAGCTGGGCTACTACATGAACTCAAAGCAGTAGAACAAGAGTCATCAAAGCTACGTAAGCAACAGGCTGAGCTAGAGGAAGAAGAAAAAGAAATAGATGCCAAGCTTCGTTGTTTGGAGATGGGCATAACTCAGCGCAAAGAAACAATGGTAAAGGAAAGAGAAAGAAGAGAGTTGGCCTACCTGCGATGCATGGGCGATGCTCGAGACTACATGTCAGACAGTGAGCTCAATAACCTAAGGATGGCAGCTGGAGCTTTTGATGCTAACGGTCTTTTGAGTAGACCCAGTACTGCACCACTGAGCCAGTTTACCAATGACCCCAATGCAACTTCACAGTATCCCTCAACTTCTTCTTACATGTCTTACCCCTATTCTCAAAGTCAGTCATCAGTTCAACCACCAGTTTCTGCCTATGGGTTCCAAACTCCTTATCCAACCTCAGCACCCCAACCTGGAACATTTCAGCCCCATCCCCCCACAGGACCACTGTACCCAAATCAGACAAGTTATTCCTCTCGTGCCTATGGCCAGTCTTCCTATCAGACAGATCTTGGTATGCAACAGCATAGCCACCAGGGCTTCCATCCTTCCAGTCAACCCATGCCTGGTCAAAGCCTTCCATATCCAACTAGTTCCTTCCAACCTGGTCACCCTTACCAACAACAAGCTGACATTCTTACGGTTCACCAAAGACCCCGGCAGACATCTTTGGCAGATCTAGAGCAAAAACACCCCACAAACTATGAAGTGATCAGTAACCCTGCAGTGTCAGTGGCCACATCTACTCCTGACACCAGCTATGGCTCTATGTACAGCAATGCTTATGGACAATACCGCCCTCCTGAGCCCGGTCTGGTTCACTCCAATGAAAATCCAATAAACACATATGCCACGGATGGGATGTACACTGCCAATCTGGAGCAGAATATCCCTAGAAACTATGTTATGATAGATGACATAAGTGAACTGACAAAAGACAATACTGGACAAACTGCTGATGCCCTTGGACATCCTGCAGGTGTACGTTATCGCAATGAGAATGGTCCTGTGCATGGTTCTGCTTATGGAAGGCCAGAAGAGGAGACTTTGGATGCTTATGGCAGGCCAACAGGCACCACTGGTTACCAAAGCACTGCGGACAGTCGCACAAGTACAACAGTGAGTGGGAGCTCCTCCTATTACTATGATGACTATACTAAACATGGAACAAGAAGTGGCTCTGGAAGCCATAAAAGTACACCTAAGAATCTTACCCCTGGAGTATCTTCTAAAAGAAGTAAGCATAGAAAACAAGGAATGGAGCAGAAGATATCAAAATTTTCCCCTATAGAAGAAGCACGAGATGTTGAATCTGATCTAGCCTCCTACACAATGACAACATCAACAGGAGGCAGCTGTACAGTAGTAACCAGGTCCAAGAAAGGGCAGGAAGATGCTTCTTATGGGAAAAGGCATTCCTATGATCAGCAGAAATACTATGGAACAAGTCGAGAGGGACTGGAGGAGGAGGATCACATGTACACTGCTGGCAGATCAAGATCAACTGGATATGGCATGGACAAGATTTCATCTAGAGATAGCACAGGCCACAGAAGCAAATCCTATGAAAGAGATGCAATGGAGCGCTCTCAAAGAAGCAGTCGTAGTGGAAGACCTCCAATGCGCAACCAAAATTCAGAAGAGGAAAGTCCTCTTAGTCCTGTAGGGAAACCTGTTGGCATCGGCCGCAGCTCTGCTGCAGCTGATGCTTATGATGCCAGGAACCAGTATGGCTCAAGTCATTCACTGCCAGACGTTCAAGACCATCACAAAAAGGATCTTCCCAGAAGTCATGTCTATAAACCTGATGATCCTTATCTTGTAGATGACATGCACTGTGCAGTTTCTGACAGTGAAGGTAATTGGTGCTAAAACTTTTATTCTGCCTCACACCGTCTGTGACAAGACTGCATGCCAAATGTACAGAATTAAGAAGCATGGATATTTATTTCTATCCTCTTCTCATTGTCTGTGGATTATTTTTGCTTTTTCTTTTAACTGTTTTGCATGCTGTGTAAAGTAATGTGACTGTTCTCATAGTACATCATGTGCATGTCTCTACAATGTGCATGGTTTCCAAATTGCATGCTTTCACTCTGCATGCTATTCCTGCCCTGCATTAAAACTGACTTTCAACATTTGTTTGGTTTAAAAGCCTATCATTTGGGTCAAGAGGAGACAGACTGGTTTGAGAAACCACGGGAAGCACGCTCAAAACATCATGGCAGTAGTGGACATTCATCCACAGGTAGGCGCAGTAAGCACACCTACCATGACTACGATGAGCCCCCTGAGGAGTACGGTCCAGATGAATACAACCAACAGCGCCACACATCTTCACGGGAACATCGTCACCACGGCAGCAGTTCTGGGAGACACAGTTCATCCCGGCACTCTTCTGAGGATCCCAGGTCATCTCGTTCTTCCCGGACACACTCCAAAGATCCATCCACGCGCTCTGACGGCAGGACCTCTTCAGGGGTGCAGAGGAGGGCCCACCCAGACTCCCGTACTACTACGGGAAGCCCAAGAAACTCAGGTGACTTTTCACGAGATTCACCCACAGGACATCATCATGGAAGGGGTCAAAGAACACAAGGAGATCGCCCACCATCCAGGAGACAAGACCCCAACACACCAGGGCCCAAAGATCAGCATCCACAGCAGCAGACAGCTCCAGGTCAACAGCGGGCTGGAGCGCAGGTTGGACGACATCCTGGATCTGAATCAACAGATGGCACACAGCCGTCGCAGCAGAGCACCCAACAGCAGCAACAGCAACAGCAGCAGCAGCCGCCAGTGCAGCAGGGACAGACAACAACTGCTCCAGGACCAGGAGGAGCACAACAACCCAAACCTGCACCAGCCTCAGCACAAGGGAGGCAACCTGGCACTGGATTGGCAACAGGACCACCAGTTCCCACTGTTGTAAGAATAAATTTACTCCATTACTCTTGTTTCTGCAGTGGGCATAGAAACTCCACACTTTTTAATGAACTTTATGGACTGGTTTTGGTATCTTGTATATTTTTTGTATCCAGGTTTTCTTTAAATGTATTTATTTATTAATGCAACATAAAATCATGTTTATCGTAGCATAGCATTTAGCGTAGTCTTATTGGCTCTCCTGCTGATATAATAAAAATTATTTAGTTTGTTTAATAAATAAGTGTAATATATAAGTTAATATCTTATATATTACACTTATGAGCAAAAACTCATCCAATTACACTGTGTAATTTTCACACCCACACATGTAATAATATATATATTTTTATATTATATTTTTAAACGGAAATAAGAGAGTTAAGTAATAAATTTGCATCTTTTTAAAATAATTTTCAGACAAAAATGGATCCTGCTCCCCCACCGAGTGGAATAGGATCTAAAGCCATGATGGGCCCACCTGCGCCACAGCCAACCAAGATAGCTACACCTCCTTTGACGGGCATTGGTAAGTTTTATCTCAGTCTGTTTACCTGCAGTTTACTGAACTGATGTCATGTTCTGTATGGAGTATGGAGTGAATGAATAATGCACAATATTGTAAAGCGACTTTGAGTGTCTGGAAAAGCACTATATGAGATTAATGCATTATTATTATTAGGCTCCAAAGCTACTCCGGTCGGCATTGGCAGTAAACCTGGAGGTATCGGCACTGCTGCAGCAGGACAAGCCCCAGCCGAAGGAGAAAATGTCCTGACTAAAATCCTGCAAGGAGGGGCAGCAGAGCAGGCTGGGAAACTAGGGGATGGTAGGACTATGATTACTGTAGTCCCAAATAAGGGATGCTGATATGCATGATATCAATTTTGTAATTATGGATTTTTTTTTTTCTTTTTATCTAGCTCTGTCTGGCCTTGGAAAGAAGTTCACTTCATTCTGGTGAAGTGAATATAGTTAAAGGCAAGTGATAGCATCCTTACATTTAGCCTTTTTGAAACAATATTGTAAGTAACACTTGATCATTTTTGCTTTTGTTTTTGTTTTCAGTATATTCAATAACATGAAACACTGACTGACTTCATACTGGAAAAACCTTTAAAATTGAAATCTCAAGCGACAAGCGAGAGACTTCTGAATTCATCAGTGAGTATTCATGCCACATTACAATTATACAGTACAAGGAACTAACTCATGGACACAATTTCTCCATTACCTTTAAACTGAACAGAGCAAGAATCAAGAAGTGCCTTGTCAGCAATTAATCCCCAGACATTGGAAACACTAGAAGTTAATAAAATGATTTGACAGCACCAACAGAGGATCAAGACAGACTAAAGGTAGGTGGTCCTTGATTATAGTGTTTATGGGGCAGTGGGCAGAGAGAAATGGGTTTGATCCACAGTGCTCCATCAGATGTCCCCTGAGGTTATTTGTATCCTTTGGTAAGATAAGACATGACTGACTTGGCCTGTCAAATGTCAACATTGTAAACTCAACATTCTCTCATTTTTGTAACTTAGTCCAATAAGGATGATAATATAAACATTATTTTTTTAGACAAATAAGTGGAACCAGGTAGATATAATTAAAATGTTTATAATGATAGTTGTTATTTTTTGTTTTTAATTCAAAGTCATAGTGTACTTAAACTTAAACATCAAAGCTAAGATCAAAGCAGGTTGCATTTTAACTTTGTACATAATCTGGGGCAAATGTGTGTGCTATAATTAGCATGAAGCTATAACTATGGTTAGCTTTAATATCACATGTGAAGACTTGTAGTGACAGCTCATGCCGCGCACAGAATCGTGACTCAGGGTTAGCATCATCACTCATTACATGCCACAGTAAACCAACTAATTTTGCTCAATAATGCTCATGCACAAAGAAGCACAGAACGCCTATCTAAAAGTACTGTCTTTATTTTTTGGCACAACACATTTAATATAGGCTCAGCTGATTAGGTGCACAGTTGCATGACGCTGCTCTTGACTTGTGACTCTTGACTGAAATCAAACTGCACGTCTTGGTCAGTCAAGGGATTCCTCAGAGTAATGTGCAGATAAACCCGACTTAAAGCAGGAGGCCATCCTGCTCAGCTTAGTGGATTACTGCCAGGGTGCTTGACTGTTTAACTGTAAGTAAGTGGAGCAGGGTCCTGGACTATGAAAGTGAAGTCAGCTTGTATTAAAAAACATTTCTGTAAAAATATATTTTGTTAATTAATATCATTTCCTCATTTGTAGACTATAATAAATGTAATACATTTTTAATAATATTTCTGCACAATTTTCTCTGTCCCTGACAGGCCCATAATGTGGCAGTCCCCTTTCTTACCACTGGAGCTGAGTGACAGGCCCAGTCTCTAACCTGAGGCAGAGCACATTAGGAAACTCAAGAGTGCTCAGTGGTGCATATCTTTTTTGCCAAAGGGTACCTTATTACGCCCTCTACTGGAATATCTGGGGATTGTACATCTGTCAGGGAGACTTGATATCGGCTTGAGGTTTTCAGAAGATTTTGTGAAAATTTTATGGGTTTTTCCTTTACCACCAAGACAACCCACACCTGCAACAGGTGTATAACAGCAATGAAGACCAAACCTGGCTTCTCTTCATGAAAGCTTGGTTTTACTGATCTCTACAGTACATTCCATTTGAGGGAAATAATGCTCTTTTTTGAATGTTGTCATTTCTGTTTTTGTCTGTAAATGCATTGTGTAAATGTGGATATCAGGATGCACGCACAAATGAGAGATTGAAAATATTGTAACTTTTCATCTCTGAGATGCCACTAGTTATAGGTGTAGGTTTGGGGAAGGGATGACTACCAGTGTGCCCACACGTGTGCTGTCCACATCGAGAGGACCAAATGAAAGAGTGGCCATGGCTTTTTATTAGCCATCACAAAGCCATTGTTTTTGTCCCAGAGGTTGTCTGCTGGGATGGGTTTTCCTTTGTTTTTGATTTGCCTCACTGAATGGAAGAGCCTTATTCAGTATGTTTTACTTGTATACCTCATATGTTTTAAAATGTCCATATCGTCACACTTTTCTTTTTACACTACTGTATGTTATTATATGTACATAAACCAAATCAAATTATGTAAATTTGTCATTTGTGTATTTTTGAATCATGTTCATGAGACATTTTGTTTGTACTTTTTGTTTGTTTTCTTGCATCTGATTATTTGCTTGTTTATTTTATAAGCAATAGCATGCAGATAATGGTATATAGCACAATGATTATAAATTAGTGATGGAAATATAAAACACTTGGATCTATAAATAGCAGTAATACAGTTTGTTGGCGGATTTACAGCCACCGTCCCACATGTGCATGTTATGTTTGAAGGCATAAGAGCATGCAGACAGGTACAGTTACTTTGTCTCACTCATACACAGAGTTAACATGTTTTGCAATTCTCTATCTCAAGCTGGCTCCACTGCCTATTTCAGCACACACCTACCACATATAACAGGACAATATGAAAGCAATTATAACATCAGATATTCTATGCAATGACTCATTTTGAACCTGGAAAAGATTTAGCCTGAAATGGTTTATTATCATCATTCTGTTCACAAGACAACAACATCTAGACTTGGTCGGATAGGTCCAGAAAACGTTTTTTGCTTTATAACTTGTCTGTATGACTTTAAATATTAAATATGTAACTAGTTTTGATTTCTGTGGCATGTTTTGACCCCTCACCCCACACTAGTTGGTGGGACTTGTTGCCAAAGGGTAAACTGTGTAGTTTTTTTGAATGTCCACCATCATGTTGCTTTGAAGCATGGAGTTTTTTGCTTGGCTTTTGTATGGCTGTTCTCAAATCCCTCATTTCTGTGCACTTGGCTGACCTGGGCTCCTCAGTGTTTGGCTTGCAGTGGCTGTTCATGCTGCTATGAAGCTGTGATACAGATGGTCAGCACTTCCATCAACTCTGTGTCATTGTACATATTGGTGTCGGTGTATCCTGTGGGGTGAATGGAATGCTTCTAATGACTATTTCATTGTTCACTTAAAAACAGCCAAGCCATCTTTAAAAGGTGCATGATTTGAACTTATACTAACCGGAAGCGAGGCATGTTTTTCATGTTCCTAATGAACCTTGAAATTTCACAGGCCAATATAGAGAATACTAAAGAACAAAGTGTTTTTTGCCAGTCGTTCACAAAATCAGGGCATGATGTCATTTTCTTGAAAGCACAAGCCTGACTGGTAGCACTCTTAAAGGATACAGAACAGTGCCTCTGATTGAGCTGTCATGGATAACAAAGAGCAAAAAATTGAATAAAAATGCAAGTGAGAGAACTAACTGGGATACAACAGCTTCTAGTGACAGACAGAGACAGACACACATCCTTAATGTAAATACTCATTATTCTGTACAGCTTTGTTTTGAATACATGTGCATCCCCATGATGTAATTGCTGCCAACTTTTTGTGAATAAAAGAATATTTATTATCATAATGAAGAGGTTATAATGATGATGATATGATTATTATTATTGCATATTTGGCTGACATGTGATGATGGTTTACAACAGCGGAACAAACTCTGTATTCAGAATCCGGTCAATGTAGAGATTTTATTATCCATATTGTGCTTGTAAAAAGACAGTACCTCCTTGGCAATAGGAGAGTCCTTTGTCAGTCCATCCGGAGGTGTAGTAAAAGATGGATATAATCTGTAAAGAGATGAACAGAGAACTAGGATTATGAAGCAAAATATCTGTCATTCACTGTTGTAAGTGCAATGGGCAAGCGTCAGTCGTGTATCCATTGTGAAACCCTGTGTTAAAATAGTGTATCCCTGTAAACAGAGTAAAAATTTTGGTGCATCATGTCAAGTAATGTGATATATGAAAAATATTGATCCTGCAATTTCCAAACGGAGAAGAAAATAAAAAAAAATAACTGAAATGTCTTTGTGTTTCTTTTTTCCTCTCAAATAAAAAGGTGAACCATATTTCAAGCAAGTTGTTATTATATATGTATATACACACACACATACTGTGCATGTGGGTGGGTGTGTATAATTATATATATGTGTGTATATATATATATATATATATATATATATATATGTGTGTGTGTGTGTGTGTGTGTATATATATATAGATAGATAGATAGATAGATAGATAGATAGAAATATAGATATATTTTAGATATATTTTATAGATATAGATATATTTTAATGATGTGTTTTTGTTTACATTTGCTAGTACTTTGATTTTAACATTGAGTAGCATAGGGATTTTAAACTACAAAATGAAGCATGTATGCATAAGAAGACAAGGCTTTATCCCTGAAGACAGTGATGACTTATCTTTGTGTGGGTGGTGGCATGTTGGAGCAGGAGAAGATGCCAATGTATATGAAGCAACGGAGGTGTGAGGAAGGAAAGTGTCTGTCATTTCAGATCAACCAAGAATTTATGATAATGTATTCATGCTTGTGATTTCTTCATTTAGTTTAGGGCATTGTGTGATCGTGGACCATACAGAGATCTGAAAATAAAGATGAAATTGATTATTAGTTTATGAATTATGAGTCCAATTTAATAAAACAGCTATTACTCAATAATGAACGTGGCACATAATTCAGAGCGTCTTTGTTTTTTATACCTGCTAAACGTTAATTAAACACCTCCATTTGGCCATCTGCCTCCTATTCTCCCACACCAATCTTGAAAAATATGTATCTAAGCAGGTTGAAATAATCTGGAGTATACTGTAGTAGTGCGCATAACTGCAGTACATATCTGAAGAGCTTGCCTGCCCCCATCTGGTTTAAATGAGTTCAAGCCAAAACATTATATGTGTATGTGTGTGTGTATCTATATATATATACACACACACACACACACACACACACACACAAAATTAAGTAATTAAGAAATGGTATTGTACTATGGATCAGTGTTTTTGACAAGACATTCTTAATCCACAATCTCATTTTGAAAGTGTGAGGTCATTCTCTTTCTCCTTAAGACCCACATCTTCATACTAGAATAATAGTACTAGTATATTTTTTCTGTTCATCTTAACATTTAAGATAATATAGCCTATACTTGAAAGAGTAGACTTACAGCAGAGATACTGAGGTCAAAACAGTCTACACTTTCTCTAATAACTGATACGGCTTATCAGTGAGATTGCTATTGCACTTTAAATACGCCTACTCCATCTTTGCTCTAAAAATAATTTATTGCATTGACCCACAGCCAACTTCCCTTGGTTATATACTTACAGGAGCATATTTAACTGCATGTTAATGGATATAAAATAAAACTGAAAAGTGCAGGAAGTAGTAAAAATTGACACTTGTGTGCAGTTTCATATTCAATAACAATTTCTGTTAAAAAACATCAATACTAGTTGTGTTTTTTCCATTGTATGTCCTGAACCTTCCAACAATAGAATAACTACTACAAGTATTAGAGGCTACTGTAAACTGCACTGTCAATAAGACAGAAAAAAATACTACATGGTCTTTATCATACAAATGTAGAAACAAAAGTGTTTCAAAGAAGTTTCACTCAGATGTATTAATAGATTCAGTCATTTGTTTTGTTAAATGTCACATCCTTTAATACATTCCTGGAAGCCATGACATACCGTATTCAGAAGAAGTGGTGATCAGTGACTCATTGTCCCTACTATACCTGTATGTGAGTTTGTGAGTCATCCTCCACTGATAGGATGTGTCTTAATAAAGAATAAACTTCACTGATGTAACAAATAAATCAATTTGTAATTTCTCTTTGCAGTACCTGAATTAAAAGCCATCTTCATTTCTTCATTTCTGAGTGGTTATCCATAATATTAAAGATACAATACCCTTATTAACCATGCCTCTGACATTTCCCAAAGACAATTTATAAGCACCTATTAATTACCACAAACTGGGCTCAAGTGCAAATGTATTCCCAGAACTGTTCTTGGTAGTGATTGATGAGCCTTTGATGAGTCAACACTTGGTACAAACCACAAGAGGTCAGCACTGAGCAGCTATCCAAGTCCTCAATATGTCTGGAACCATCAAGTCAGGGAGCTTAACGATCAATGAATAAAGACCAGAGAGGGGCCAAGACTAGACTTCCCTGTTTCATCTGCCACTCACATAACTCTTAATTGATACTCTATTCGTTAATAGTGAAGAAGCCACTGCACATCTTAAAGCTGTCTGATAATGGTGAAATAAAGCCCCCATATCCTTGTTTGAGTTTATTAAGCCATAAGCATAGACTGTACGATCTATGGCCATAAGATTATCTAACAAAACCCTGGCTTCTGTGAAGGACACCGAATTAGCAGGACTTAGTAGGTACCTCAAAGTGGAAAGTATTGATGACTTGACTGAGAAATTTGTACTGTATCGAATCTTATCAGTTCATTTTTCATGGTAATTGCCACTGTTGAATTGATGTGTTATGAGAATGTGGAGTGATTGCACCATTTATTTTTCTGTTGTCCTGTGTTGTTGTGTTTATGAGTTTAGGAGACAATAATGGCTAATCTAATCTAGACAACTGATCTTTTTGTGAAAGTGAAAAGAAGGGTTTTTCTTTAACAAAGGGTATCTGGTGAAAAAAAAAAAAGCCAAACATCCTAACTTTAATCCAAAATCTTAGTTTTCAGTTTTTGCCATTGTCCATTTGTTCCTATTTTGATTATGTGCTACAACTTTCCACAGAAGAGTGTTTATACAGTTTATACAGTAATGGACAAAGACATGATTAATTGTGAGAAAGGCAGCAATGTTACAGTAATGAGATAAGAGGTTCGTGGAAATAATATAATTAAGACTTATAAAATCAAAGGACATATTGGATCAAAACAAAACAAATGTGTATGAAAAAATTCTGTATTTCCATTACTGTGACCAACAAGTTATCTGGAAAAATACAAAGCTTTAATAATAATAATAATAATAATAATAATAATAATAATAATAATAATAATAATAATAATAATGCACTTAAATCCAGTGAGCTGAGACAGAAATGCTGATGCTTCTGCTTTGGGCCCTGTCAAGCATACTTAGCATCAGTGTTTACAAAGCAAAACCAGAAGAGATCTCCTTAATTCAATGCATCCATGGCACAGAGGAAAGGAAAAGGAGGACATTAGAAAGCAGTTTATGTGCTGTTTGTTTAAGCACTTGAGAAGGACAAAGCCAGGTCAATGAAGTGAGCATGCAGTGTCAAGAGCCTGGACTCGTTCATGCTCCAACTGAACCTACAAAGCAGATCCCTATAGCCTACTTCACAGTATTATAGCCTACTAGTGCCTAGTAATGTTGATTGGTACTATTTGTTACTATGAAATGCCTTCGAGTTACATATCATGGGCCTATTCTATATGTATATGATTCTAAACAAGAAGGAGCCGTGTAAAGGTTATCTTTGTTGTAACTTGAACCATGAAACTCTAATAAAAATAAATCACAAAGCTGTAGCTAATCAAAGTGGACCCTTGCATTGATTTCTGTTCAAGAGGTGAAATAGTGGTGGGTTGTATTGCTGTCTCCATTTCGTTCGCCCACCCCCTCCTCAGGCCAGATGCTACTTCATCCACAGCGTCTACAGCGGCGTGCGTCCGCGGCTCCAGTGACGCTCAAATGGTGAGGAGGAGGAGGGAGTGCGCCTGCGTGAACCAATGACAGCGCGCCGTACTGAGCTGGAGGAGAGAGGCTGCCGCTTGGTGAATGGAGGCGACGAGATGCTGGCTACCGTGGCGGACGTCGGGATTTAACATCGACAAAGGTATTTCTGTAATGATTTAAAGTGAAGACGCTCGGCATCATACGAGTCAGATATTTAGACAGTGGACGCGCGTGTCCTTCGGTTTGCGTGTTGTGGTTAAATCACTGGTTGAGTGCTGTCGGTAATGGGCTTGTAGACACAGTTGGTCAGCGTACGTACACTGGTGCAACTGAGCGGTTTGATTTTTTCTAGAACCTGCCATATAAAGCGACAAGAGAAACTGTAAACTCGTATGTAATGAAAGGTCTCCTCACATACGTTGAATGGTGCAGCCAATTGTGTTGGTGCGTCCAGGTGCTGCTCGACCGACGCACCGCACGTCCAGTCATCGAAAATGAAGGCCCAGCTGTCAATTGAACACCCGTGCTAATGCATGCGCTCCATACAGCCGATAGCCTATATTGCCCTAGACACAAGAATCGTTCTTCATACGAGGTTTGGTTGGCATGCTGTATTTATGTGATGTTGTAATAGTATCCGTCTTTGGGCTACTATATTTAATCCTATAAAAGCGGTCTCAATTATTGAGTGGGTTAAAATGACGGGAACAGTAAGACGTTCTTCTCTAGCCCACCACTGAAGTGGGCTGAACAGGCAGCGTCAGGGCTGTGTAGTAGAATACGTGATAAGGAGGAGGATGTTGCATGTGTTGCACCGCTCTGAACCGGTTTCGCGTCTCCAGATTACCAGTTACTGTTCATTATGAAGGTTAATACACGTGGCGAATAAAAGGGCAAGCATGACAAAACCATTCCCTAAAAAAGTCTATAAAAAGGTATGTTTAAGAATTAGTTTGAGTCACGATGGCAGTCTGATGGAAAGCAAAATGTCTGCTTCCTGCCTTTTGGAAATGTCACAGCGTAGCTCTGTGTCTCGCGTGCACTCAGCAGCGCCTGTGGTGGCTCTTTCAGAGCAGCTGTATCCGCACCACTGCCTCCCAAAGTAGCGCCATCAACTGACCACGGTGCCATCACTCGCTTGGCCTTTGTTTCTGTTTTGAAGCCCAATGCAATATGGTGCAAGACCTACAATAGCCGAGGGCTTATATAATGACGATGATTAGATCTTGTTGCTCAATGATAAAACGTATATTTAAGGTTTTAGGAAATTTTGTATAAATTGTCTTGCCCGGAAAGAGTTTTGGAATCACTGGAAGAGTGCATTTAGCTCTATCAGCCTGAAAAATGCAAGGTCGTTTAAATATAATAACTTTTTCTGAAATGTTTAAGTAGCCTCTCTTAAAATTACTTGAATTTACAATCTTAATCTGGATTTGACACGTTTGAATTGGTTGGATTAAATATGGTGTGCAATGTAGAATATATTTTATTGGTTTCAAGACATTTATGTCTGGTTACATGTTAATTTACAACTGTTGTTCACAGACATTCTGATTAATGTGATAACACAACTTTCTTACCCTTTTTTGAAGGCCAACTGTATTGTGATGAGGCATTGTCCAGATCATCACTGCAGGAGTCACTGGTGCATTAGGGAGCATGGGAAAAGCCAACAACTTCTGAAAAATAAAAGAACAGAAGCAGAGAAGAGTCAGTGTTGTCACAGCTTTGTTCACATGTATTTCTTGGGTATTATGTTCAGCCCAGGTACTTCAGCTACATCTGTGTCAAAACTGAATGTGTCAGGAAGGATGAGGAATTTGAATTAATGTTTAATTACAGTTACTAAATATAGATGTTTTCATCTCCTGTGACCAGCTCAGGGTCTCTCCACTTGGGAATGAGTTTATATTAAACAGACAGTAAGTAAGATTTGGATTTTGAATCAAATAATCATTACCTGTGCTTCCAGAAGCAAAGTATTGTTTACTAACTTTTACATCTTTAATGCTGATTTAGCCTTAATTACAAAAACACTGCACAGGGCCAAGTTATGTGATAATTTTGTGTTTTGGTTCTAAAAATGATTATCCAATCAGAAAGCAGAATGTGCCTCACATCAGCCTCTCATTTGGGTTGCCATTTTCAACGCTGAAATCCAGAACTCTGTCTGACTTGAATCCTCACTATGTAAACCTCAATCATTAGTCAGTGCAGCCTCTGAACATGAAGCATGGTCTATCCGCACACTAACAATGAGAAAAATATTGTGTCCTCTATATGCAAGTTAAGCCACTAGCAACCACTGTGTGTGTTAAACAGCAAGAATGAAGGTTACAAGAGAATATCAAATTTGTTACAGAAGTAATCTTATACACCGATAGATTATATTTTACTCCATACAAATATATGCTTATTGAACATAGTCAGTTCCCCCACACCTCTGTAAAGGTGTGCTGTACTTCAGTCACATAAGCGACAAGTGCCTCCATTAACCCTCAGAGTATCCATGGAAACAGAACAGAAGCAGTAAGTGTCATTAAAAAGAGAATTGTTCACTTTGACTTTGGGGCCAAAAATAACACAAGACACCTGTATGTGGTGTCCATAATAAAGACATCTTAAGCTTATGACAGAATTCACCTTCACTGTAATATGTAGGGCTGTAAAACTAGTCATTAAGTTAATAACTGGCCAGTGTCCCAGTTAACCAAACTTTTTTATTAATTCACTTTTTTTTTTAACGGGGATTATCAAAGGACCACAGCCAAAAGGAAAAGGCATGGAGTAAGTTAGCTGGACGTTTGGGAGTGAATCGTGAGTTTCATCTCCCTTTTTATATATATGCGTAGTACTTTTGTTGTGTTAGTCTTACGCATGTGCCACTGCAGTGTTCATGCTTTTTTAAAATTAAATATGACTGACTGATTTACATGGTCAAAATCAAATGTAGCTTTAAAATTTTAAATGTAGCTTAATTTGTATAGGATGGAAGATGCAGACAGCTTTGTACAATACAACTTTATAATGCATCATTCCTCTTTGTGACTTGATTAATTATGATTAAATGATTAGATCTTGTTTTTTTACATCCATTCATGTTGCACACACTAACTGTCTCTACTCTCTCAACAGGTGCTCTCTGCTGCTTCCTGGGGTTGGACATTGATGGTACATTATTTCTGCTGATAAAGACATGAAGTAAGCTGCTCATGTGTGCTTCACACAGTCACAGTCTGATTTTTGCGTGTCGCTGTTAAAGGACCTTATCAGGAGATGTACGGCAGCGCCAGAGCAGTAGGCCACATTGAGAGCAGCCCTGCCCGTTCACCGCGGCTGCCCCGCTCCCCCCGCTTGGGCCATCGGAGGGCCAACAGCGGAGGAGGGAGCAGTGGTGGGGGCAAGACGCTCTCCATGGAGAACATCCAGTCCCTCAATGCTGCCTATGCCACCTCAGGGCCCATGTACCTGAGTGACCACGAGGGTGTGGGCTCCACTGCCACATACCCCCGTGGTCACATGACCATAGGACGGGCCAGCCGCGCCATGTATGGGGGGCGCGTCACCGCCATGGGCAGCAGTCCCAACATCGCCTCAGTTGGGCTTCATGGGGACATCCTGTCCTACAGTGACCTGGGCTCTCTGTCCATGCTACATGCACACCATCACCACCAGGGGGTGCCCTCTGCCCTGCTGCGACAGGCTGTGAGGAGCAGTGGGGGCGAGCTGCTGGAAATGCAGGCCCAGCTCAGGGACATGCAGAGAGAGAATGAGATGCTGCGCAGAGAACTGGACCTGAAGGACAGTAAGTTAGGCTCCTCCACAAACAGCATCAAGAGCTTCTGGAGCCCCGAGTTGAAGAAGGAGAGGATCATGAGGAAGGAGGAGGCAGCACGAACATCCATATTGAAAGAGCAGATGAGAGTGACTCACGAGGAGAACCAGGTGAGAGCAGCTCAACTCAAACCATTCACTCATGTCTCAGTATGTCTTCATCTCCTGTGAATGAAGCCAACCCTTGTCAAATGCTGCAGTCAGTTCAGTTTTAGAGGAAATGTGAAGACCTTTCTGGAAAGAGTTGTGTTCATAAATATTTAACTCACTATGTGCTCAGATAGTGCTCCTCAGAATAAATTGCTGAAGCCATTTGGCATAATCCAGACAAAAGTATGACTAGAAGACATAAAATTATTATGATACAAACTCTAATATTTTTGTTCTCAAATAAATAATACTGAGCTCATTCAAATGTAGGAAGCAATGTAGTGATGGTCCATTTCGATTACAGCTGACACAAGTTGGCACAATGCTCAGACACAATTATCAAATTGACTTTATCACTGCTGCCTGAGCCTATGCATCTCTGTATTCTTTATTCACCCTGACTCAATCACAAATCACTGTCTGTCAGTCAATGTTCTGCTAACCCTTCCTTTATTCAGTTTTATTGCATGTTAAACTCAAACTCAGTGTTCACCAGTCTATTGATAATTTATAAATATATAATTACAACATAGAAACATGTGATAGAAATAAACAAATCATTGAGTTGAAAGCAGCAGCACATGGAGCTGCTCATTTTAAACCAAAAAAATGATATGTCAGAGGTAGGTCAATCACACAGTAAATAAATACTTATTTGATTAAAAAAAAAAATCTTATCTAGTAATTCTATATCTTGATAACATATGCATTCTTCACATGCCTATGTAATTAAATAGTATTGTTTGTTGAAGTATACAAACATAGTGTGGCATGATGCAGCAAATTGCACAATCTCCCTTGAAGCAGTCCAGCAGTGTAAGGGTAATTTCTGCCAGCTGCTTGTGGTCTGTGTGCCCGGCTGCCTGCACTTCTGTCCGTCTCCCTGAGTGATGCTGTCACACACACACACACACACACATGCACACAAACACGCACGTATATATGTACACACACAGAGCCCCTGAAACTGTCATTACTGGAGCAGCGGGCAACATCGCTCCAGCCTCAAGGTCAAACACACGACCACTGACTGTCTAAACTCGGCTAGTCTACATTTGTCCTCATGTCAGCTGCCTTCTCATGTGAATAGTCAGTAATTCATTGTACTTGTGTTCCCTAATGTGTGATTTGTTTGCTTGTCTCGGGAGAGTTGCCATGTTTCTAATAGGAAACATGTCAAGCGATTAACCTCTCAATGAGCACAGGTGAGTTAGACAAACATTCATGCTTTTTTATTACTTTAGATAAAATTGTCATGGTGATGAAGCATACAGTGAATAATTGTCAGACTTCATTTCTTTTGACTTGTCATCAAAAAATTGGATTATGCAAGTGTTCATTGTGTACACCTCCCCTCTTCAAGGCCAGAGTAACAGATCTAGGCCCCAACATCTAACAACATTTAGTTAAAGAAAATAAATGGATGGCTGTACTGGAGGCTAGCGCCTTGGGGACACTGTCCTCAGCTGTGTCAGAGGCTTCCAATCTCTGTGTAGAGTTGCTCTCTGCATACCCTCCCTGTGGGGTTTTTGTCTGATTTCCTCACTGTCCATAGTTCCATGAAAAAGCCAAAGTCTGTACTGACCATGTCTCCCACTACCTATACTTGCTGGGATAGGCCCCAACCACATTTAGGAAATAAATGTACTAGTAAAACAACACTATAAGTCCAGCATTTATTTTGTAAACATCCTGGCATTTTTTTCTTCACAGGGACAAGGATTCTTATGACATAGTGATCCTGAAATTTAAATAGGCCGAACAGTTTGTAGTAAACAGCAAATAATATGATGAGTGAATGACTAACTGTCCGTTTAATTTGTTCCCCTCCTAAGCCCATAGTTGCTGCATCCCCTTGCGACCTCTAATATGAAAAGACTGAACAAAAGTAATGCCTATAGAGAGAGTGTCTAGGAGAAAATTACATGCTCTTTCAGCTGTGGCACAGACAAGGCAAAGGCCATTTATAGCTTATCATTTTTTCAGTGCTACTTATTACTCACTGTGAATCTGTGCATATTTTTAGTCTGGCTTTAACATTCAGTTCAGCTCAATATGTTAAATGCAATATGAAAGGCTTGCACTGTGAGCCACAGTCCCTTTGTACTGAATACAAGAGAGACTCCTTTTATGCCTTGCCTTGTCCGTCCGGGTTTGCTCTGACTGTGCCCTGGATGATATTTATATCTCTCCTGGTGGGGATCATTAATGAAGTATGTCGGCTAAAAAAGACAGATGTGCTACATTATGGGTCCTCTCAATCTTGGTTTGGGCCTGTGGGGCATCCTTACATAAGTATATTGTTATGGTGGGATGATCATTTGGTCACACCCATTGGGCTTGTTGAAGGAATATATTGGCTTTTACCAACAGAGCAAAACTAGGCCAATTATCTTGGTACAGGCTGTAGGACTTGATTAGCCTCAGCAAATGCCAAGCATTTCTTCAGTCTGGAAAAAAAAATTGTCATGTTTGATTTCCTATTATAGCTCTAGCATTATAGGACAGTCCAAAGAAATCAATTGTTTGACTAGAGGTCATGACAGAGCACCATTGACTAGTAAATTATTCATCTTCTTTGCTTTGATCCAGTGCTGAGTCATGATTGGTCAGTTATTTAGTGCATCCCTACTTAAAGTTAAAAGTAGTATAGTAACATGTAACATTAACATGTAGTATGGAAGGCTAAAATATATATAATTATCTTTACAGTCACAATGCCAGCTAGCAGCTTAAAGAAGGTATTGAATTTTTTAAAACAAAAACAAATATGCTCAAACTTAAAAACATTTACCAATCAAACCATTGTCATATGAGCTTGACTGGCTTCAAAGTTAAAGGCAGAGAGAACTGACAGTGGTGGGAAATTGGACAGATTCCAAAGCAACACATTTAGGAAAAAACAAAACAATGTAAAACAATATAAAACTGTACCACATCTGACAGACTCATGACCAAAGCTGCTCACAACGCACTCCCCAAAATACAGTCTGATTGGCCTGTACCCTCCCTGTGAGTTCTCTGCATCTTATCCCCACTGAAAGCAGGCGCAGGTCACACTTCACTGAGCAGTAAAAGCAGAAGACCCTGGGTGAATATGGATGCAGGATGTTTCTATAGAAAAGTGAAATTATATTAATACTAGGGGTGTGAATCTGGTGCTATGTTACATATCATGATATGCCTGTTATGATTCAATATATTGCGATATATATCTTGATACTAAAACGAGATTATTAGTAATATTTTGTAACACTTTTGGGTCAATTGTATTTTCAATTACATCAGTTTTGTAACTGAATATAGCAATAACTGAATTAATGTTTACATTTTACATTTGTTTCCCCAATTGATTGCACTATTGTCCTATTAAGGTTGGTTACATATTTTATGCCTGTTTCTTTTTTTATTTATTTTTCAAAGTTTCAGTGTTAAATTTTTTTTTATTATTTGTACTAGGGCTCCCAGATATTCAGTAGCACATGCTGTGCTTTACACCCATTGTATCTCTTTTTTCATATACACCAGAATTTTTGTTTTTGTTTTTTACTTAAAGTTCTGAGACCCTCTCATATTCAAATCTATCTGATTCAGAGGACATTATAAGAATACATATTTTCCTTCAAATCGATCTAACAAAATAAAAAAAATCACTCAATGTAAAAAGAAAAGAAAAAAAAAAAAGCTTAGCTTGAGGTAACTTCTAGATGCATGTGTCATTGTCTGGAAGCTCATTTCTCTTGAGGCGTGATGACCACCAACACACACCATGTCAGAGTGAGTCACAGATGTGTCCTGTGAATGACAAGTGCATTGATTTGTTAGAAACAGCTTGTTAATCATTTAAACCACCAGTGTCATTATGCAAATGCAGTGTGGGGGCTTGATGGCAAAGTGTAGGGAGGTCATTGATTGAAGAGGAGGTGCTGGGAGGAAAAATGCAGTTCTATAGGCAACATAGACAAACAAGATCGTTGCAGCATGTGTAATAAACAGTAGGTAAAATATATGGCCATTAAATAAATTTTGTATTAATTTAAACTGAAAAAGTGTAACCATTTTGGTCTATGTTTTTAAAAAGCTTTATAACATCTTACATGTTTAGCATATATCTGAATTAAAAGAAATAATATGTTAAATTAATTGGCATAAATTAAACAGATGTAAACCTAATGCAAAAAATTACACATGATAGTAAATTATCAATGGCAAACGTGATAAACTGAGAAGTGAGAAGAGAAGTGCCTCCATGTGTCATTCAATCAACTGCAGACTCTTGGACCTGTTGACTATACTGTTGACTACGAGACCCACATTTGAAGTTAAAATAATTAATTTCATCGAACATTTATTCTGTTTATTTTGGAAAAAGTCAAACAATGAAACGGATTGAAGTCCATGATGGCATTTGCAGCTCATGGTGCATATGTGCATACCTGTGCAAACACTGTCCTCTTGTGGTCGGAAGAGGATGTACAGGATATTGTAAACATTATTAACAATGTTATTATATTGTCACTTTTCGGATATTATTATTATTATTATTGGCCCGAGCCAGTAACGTAGTAACTGGCTCGGGCTATTGTTCTTCGTCGGTTTCTTCCGCTCTTTTATTATTATTATTTCTCCTTGCAAACGATCGCGATTTTGAGGGCCTGAACGTCGACGAAAAGTCCCCAAACCGTGTATCAGATCGATCCGGTGAAAAATTTGATAAAATGGCCATCGTCACAATACCTAAAGCACCCTCACTCAACAGCGCCCCCTTGAAAATGCACGTTTTGACAGGAATGGGGGCTGGTTATTTTAATAGATCCATGGGGCTGACACATATTTTGGTTCGGAACAGTGATAGAACTCAAGGAGACAAGCAAAAAAGCCAATCATTGTGCACCCCTATGACGAACAGGAAGTCGGCCATATTGGATCAAAAACTCGCCGCCGTTTTGACTTGGGTGTCTACAAAAAGATTCAAGTCCCCGGGGTTTGGTCCAAATGAGCTCAGATTTGACATGTCACATCTACAGACATAAACTCACAAAATGCATAAGAAGGTTTTTTGAAAAACGCCTTCATTTTCTGTTTTTTCGGTGACCTGTCACGGCCACAGGCATTGGCCTAGAGAGCTCAAATTCAAATCACAATTGTGTGATCCAGACCTGAATGTAATGAAATATGAAATCTAATACAAGTGAACTCTATAGCGCCCCCTAGCATAGACGTGAAACGTCACCATGATCGGATTTTGATCAAATTTGGGAATTCAATTCTATGCAGGATTACAAGCAAAAAAGTCCATTACGGACATGATGCATTTTCCACCTTTAGCCAGCAGGGGCGCAAAGACTCCACCAAAAAATTGTAAAAAAAAAAAAAAAATAAAATATTACATGTCCATGTTTAATCTGATCGTGCTGAAATTTAAATCACTAATGCGTGATCTCAGCCTGAATATAATACACTATAAAACATATGAAAAGTGAACACTATAGCGCCCCCTAGCATAGACATGAAATGTCAACATTATCAGATTAGTACCAAATTCGGGAATTAAGTTCTATGCATGATTACAAGCAAAAAAGTCTATTATGAACATCGGGTATTTCTTATGGTTGGCCAGCAGGGGCGCAAAAACTCCCCCCAAAAATATAAAAAAAAAAATATTACACGGACAGGCTTAGTCCGATCGTGCTGAAATTTGAATCATTAATGCGTGATCTCAGCCTGAATATAATACACTATAAAACATATGAAAAGTGGACACTATAGCGCCCCCTAGCTTAGACATGAAACGTCAATATTCTTGGATTTGTACCAATTCAGGGATTAAGTTCTATACATGATTACGAGAAAAATATATATATATTACGGACATGGGGCATTTTACACGGTTGGCCAGCAGGGGCGCAAGACTTCCCTCAAAAATGTTGTAAAAATTATTATATGCACATGTTTAGTCCGATTGTAATGAAATTTCTATCAGTTATACACTGCATGACCCAGATTCCATTGATATGTCAAATACAGTTATTAGGGATACAGTGCCACCTATAGGAATGCACACAATTTGTAAAAATGTAATTTTTCTGGTGGACGAACTGTCGACCTGGGCAGCTGTCGGGAAGAGAGACTGGGACGAGACATTAGTAGCAGTAGTAGTAGTATTAAACATGTTTAATAAAACATTAATCTTTTTTTTTTTTTTTTTTTTAACTGAACTGAATAAAAGGCTCTATAGGCAATTCCTATACATTCAAACTGGAGAATATTTTTCTTGAACACATTCAAGAGTTGATGCTATAACTGGTTTACTTATAAAGATAAGACTTTTTGCAAATACATCTTTCCAGAAAGGTTATAAACCATAATAATTCCATTGATACATTGTAAATGGTGTAATAACAGCCCCGGCCCCTGGGTGGCGCTCCTATAAAGCTTAAGTTGGCTGGTGTTGGCCATCCTGTATGTTACTCATGCTCTGACGCTGTGTTTACCATGCATCTGTATTTTCTGTTCATTCTGCCCATGCTCTGCAGCTGCTGGATGCCCGCAGGACTAAGGTTTGTCGCTATGTTTGCACCACGTGTTGAGTGCACAACATACCGTTAGCCTCAGTGTGTCAAAATGATTCCCTCTCTCCCATAAGCCCAATAGAGAAACAAAGAGCTCTCCTGTCTGTACTGTGAACCCTCCCCTCTATCTTCAGTGAGCACCACGAGAAAAACTGGATACTCTGTGCACCTAAATCACCAATCAAATGTGTCTGCTAACCCTCTGTTGATACCCTCAAACTCAATTTGAAATGACCAAATAATGTTTTGGACAAAGATTGATTTTGGTATGTACAAAAATATATTACAAGAACCATATCAATCAATCTTTGACAGAAATGTGGCCCTAATAGCAGCTTATCCTATTATGAAGGCACACAGTTGCCGGACATTTTCGGTAGAGGTCATTTCCAGCCATTCATATTTACTATTAAATGATCCAAATTATATTACTTTCACCGCGGAAAAACTATAAATATAGATTTTCTGAATTTGCAGCCATTAATACACTGCAAGTGCTCAAATTCGACTGTTCTCAACATACATCCGGTAGAACATTATGACCACTTGCCTCACATTCAGCCCAACAAACTTATATTCCAGTAACTTCAGGATGACTTATTATCCTCTTCTGCTATTTAGGCAACAATCGTAATTCACCCTGTTCCTTTGGACCATATTTTTGATAGGTCCTGACCTCTGCAGAACATTTGGCACTTGTCAAACCCATTCTAGTCAAATCATTTGTCTTTTGGTTTTAAATTTCTATTACACGAACATTAAAGACATTGTTCACTTGTTGCCTTATATGATTATCATGATTATTTCCATCTGTATTATTCACTTCACCTGTGAGTGGTCATAATGCTGTCTGAATTATGTAAATGTAGCTTCTTCTTTTTTTTTTTAGATCAGTAATGATGTTGTTTGAATTTATTTGATAAACACTAAACTTGTTAAATTATAAACTGTATATATATTTTAAATGTTACAGAACATTATCAAAACTTTTATCAGTGAGTGATTCAAAGTAAGTTTGATCCTGGAATTAGGAGCATTGCTCTTTTAAATGGACTGGTCAAAGGTGTGAGAAAAAAAGTAAAAGTTGTTTATTTTAAATTGCTGTAGAAATGCTTAATGCTACATCAATGCATGCATCCTTGACCTGGGTCTATATTTCCCTTTAGATTTGTATCTAATGTTGTAAGTTTGAGCCAAGTGTCTGTGTGTCCAGCACCTCCAGATGACCATCCAGGCCCTGCAGGATGAGCTTCGCACCCAGAGAGACCTCAACCACCTGCTGCAGCAGGAGAGTGGGAACAGGCCTGGAGCAGAGCACTTCACCACCATTGAACTAACAGAGGAGAACTTCAGGAGACTGCAAGCCGAACATGACCGACAGGCCAAGGAGCTGTTCCTACTCAGAAAGACCCTGGAGGAGATGGAGCTGAGGATTGAAACACAGAAACAAACGCTGGGTGCGAGGGATGAGTCTATAAAGAAGCTGCTGGAGATGCTGCAGAGCAAAGGCCTGCCTTCGGGACCAGGAAGGGCATCTGAAGAAGAGGAGCAGGAGCGGGCCAGGCGCATCGCTGAAGCAGAAGCTCAGCTTGGACACCTGGAGGTCATTCTGGATCAGAAGGAGAAGGAAAACATCCATCTCAGAGAGGTACTCAAAGTATGACAATTTTATATATTTTCAATAAATGTTCAAAGTCTTACAGTTATATTAACTTGTAATTACAAAAGCATATTTTAAAATAATATTTATTTATTTATTTTTATAAATAGCTACAAACCAATATAAGGCATAATGAGGGAACATCAGATGGTTAGAGATCTGTTTTAGCTCAGTGGCAAAGTAATCAATATTATGTAAAGGAAATGCTTTAATTTTTTTTTAACCATCATTCACTTAACGTGTCTAAAATAATTTGACTGTAGCCTATGGCATGTTCCCATATTAAGCAGATGGGGTGACCCACTTAAAAGGACAGTGAACATGTGTTCAAGCAGCAAGCCATTCAGGCAAGGGATAATCAGCAATGTCAGAAAACACTGAAATACTGGGTGGTGATAGTAAAAACTAAACCAGGTTGGTTTTGTTTAACACTTCATATATCTCTTACTTTGTACAGCCAATAACATGTTTTTGTTATGTGAACATGTTCATGGCACTTTTGCACTACAGTCCCTAGAGGACAGTGCAGTACTTTATTTACTAAATAACTTTTCTTCACATGTCTTGTATTTGTAATGCACCTTACTATGCTATGTGTGGATACAATGACACTAACAACAAAGAAAACTCTGTGGAAATATAGACTTTTTGTGTATATTTCTGACAGGAACTGCACAGGAGAAATCAGCTGCATCAAGACCCAAGCAAAACCAAGGCACTACAGACCATCATTGAAATGAAAGTAAGAACTGCTAAATAATTCCTTATTCTATTCTATTTTTATTAAATATTTCCTTTTATTTGGCCTAATCGTGGCATATATTGTTTACATGTGTGGCAGTGTTTATTGTATTTAGCTTATTTTTGTTCACATGTTAAAGGGCCTGGAGTTATGTTATGTTTCATTCACTCATGTCTAATGCACAAACTCAGCATATTTAGGCTGAGTTCTTCTCTCAAAGCAAAACACTCTATTTCACCTTGTGATGTCTTGTGGTAATTCAGGAAGTGTTCCATACACCTTCCCTAGAATCATTTGGATGATTTCAGCCCTGGAATTGCCCATCTTTACTAAACACAGGGTAAAAGGTAGCTGTTATCTTGAAAACTACCGCTTCATGACATCACAAGGTGGGACAGAACATTTTGAGATTTGGAAATGTAGAGAGGCTAATAATAATAAAGCGTTTCTCAATTTGAAAATAAAACAAAACACAACTCCAAGTATGTTTCTGATGAGAATGAACAGTTCACAAGTTTGTTTACGTAACATAGGACCTTTAAGGTTAAGTATTAATTGAATCTACTTGCTCACACAGAATTGTACAGGGTTGTATTTATGCTGTATGATTCACAATGAAAAATGTATCAAATCTTTAATCCTGAAAGGCCTTATGTAGTTATTAGTGTTTAAAAAGGAAATGACAGTGTGGTTTGTAGAAAGTATCTTATAGTTAAGAATTTTGGATTTACAGTTAATTTGGAAGATGCCATTGCATATTGACAAGACTTATCACGCTGTATTGTATGAAACTATTAGGCATATGTAGCATGTGTTACATGGTTAGAAACCCCACTCAAAGCAATCTATGCATATACTTGTCAAGATGCTTTTCATAATTTAGCTACCTCTCCTTTCATTGCTTCTGGTGCAGCTCTTATATGCAAATCAGTGCACTGTTAATGTTGCCTGTATTGAGCCATGGTCTGAGGTGAACCTTACTGTGTAGCGGCTCCTTCCGTACACTGCTGAATCCACATCAGCCCACTGCAGAGGCCTGACATCACTTCCTCAAAATAAATCATGACATCATTGTGGAGCTGACACGGCCCTTCACTCGGCTCAGATTGGCGCTCCCCTCTCCGTCCTCCCTCCTCCCCCTAGTGTGATCATGTGACCCCCTTTTTGCGCTGGTGTCCTGATGAGTTCCATTTAGAGGGACGATAGGAAAAACCTGCCTCTTGGTTTGTGTGTGTGTGCTGTGAGCAGGAAGCCTCTCTCCGTCTGTCCCCATCCCAGTACTGTCCCTCTGCTGATAGAAGCACAAATATCCCTCCCTCCTCCCTTTCTCCCCTCATATGCCTCCCTCTTGCTCGCCCGCTCCTCCTCACTCACCAGAGACAGTGCACCGCAGCTATATAGCCTTGCCTGCCTGCTGCTACCATGGAAACAGGTGTGGTTGTTTATGACAGTAAGAGTGTGCTAGTGTGCAGGGACATGGATATAGAAAGCGATAAAGAGCAGGATTTACTGATCAGGTCGAGGGGCCAGTGATTACATGTGGATGGAGTAAAAAAAATCAGCTCGCTGTTTAAAGGTACGGTGCCTTGTATATCTGTTGCAGCCATCTGATTATATTGATGTTTGTCTCGTAACATGGGGAGGTAGCGCAGTGGCAAGTGCATGTACATGTGTCTAATGCATTATAACCCCTCAATCTCATTTTATTATAGGCCACTCCTGCCTCCATCACCATCCCTGTTTGCAATATGTGTACCCCCGTTAATTCTTTGTATTAGTGGCTAGTGGTCCGGCCCTGCTCACACCCACAAGTTCACAAGTTCAAAGCCACTGGAAGACAGAGCAAGCTTGCACTGTGCCCCCGCAGTAAAAGAGAGATGGACCATGGCTAATCTTAAAGACGTTGTATTATTTATTTAAAAAGCCGTGAAGCTAAGGCTACAGCAGCACTCGCAGTTGCAGTCTTGTGAGCTTGTGTTCTGCATTGATCTGCAAGAAACTACTGCAAAAGCTACTTTTCATCTTCACCCTCAGGCTTGGCTGCTTCACACTGGTCTACTCTCCTCTCTCTGCGTGAGCTTAACATCTCCAAATGGTGACTAATCTATAGATACCATCTGTAAGCAGCTAGCTAGGGACCTTTTGATTTTTATTGATACTACAGTTGTTACCAGTATTCTCTTGAGCTTATGTTTAACAGTCTGCCATGTTTGTTTTTTATGTTTACCTTACTTAACATGCCATAGCTTTTGCTTTTAACGTACTGGGAGTTTGTTGATGAATATCAACTTTTCAGCTCTCATTTAACGTGTGTCTGCCCTGCATGTGTCTTTTGTGCAGGATACCAAAATTGCCTCCTTGGAGCGCAACATTCGAGATCTGGAAGATGAGATCCAAATGTTAAAAGCAAATGGCTTACTGAACACTGAGGACAGAGAAGAGGAGATCAAGCAGATGGAGGTCTACAAGAACCACTCCAAGTTTATGAAGACTAAGGTACATAAACAGTTTGTAGTGCACTCAGCTAAAGCAATGTGCAGTGGGCTGATTACAGTATGAAACTGCTGTAACGTTTAGTGACATCTGCAATGTGTTTTGTTGCCAGCTATCAGGGAGTGGAGTGCCACATCCAGGCTACTCAAATGAATGACTAAATGTGCTGATGCATGCTTTTCCAAATGCAGTCACTTTATCTGAAGGTGCAAAGTTTTTGAGCTTAAAGACACCATTTAATGCACATGAACTGAGTTTGGGGAGAAAAGAATAAATAGGTCAATATATAAAACATCATATTTTTATTGTCTGGATTATTTGATAATAATAATAAGAAAAATAGAAATTATGAAAGGTAATGAACAAATCAGTATTTTCGACTAGAATGTTTAAAGGCATAAATCCACCTCATTCATTTCATTCATTCATTTCAAATATACAATTATATATATATATATATATATATATATATATATATATATATATATATATATATATATATATATATATATATATATATATTGATCTCTTCGTCTCTTTTCTGAAGCTTCTATGTTATGTTTACATCCTCTCCATATGATTCTCACATGTTTTGTTATACTATTTTTAGACTTTCATCAATCATGAATGGGCATGATGTATAATATATGACGAAAGCAGGAGAGTCAGTCCTAAATGCATTTTTAATGGGAGAAAAGAGTGTTGATGAAGTAATGTACAAACGATTAGCCACTATGAGACTACGCTATTCATTTGTAATAATGAGAGCCATGTCCCCTTGGTGCAGATTGACCAGCTGAAGCAGGAGCTGTCGAAGAAGGAGTCAGAGCTCTTGGCTCTGCAGACGAAACTAGAAACTCTCAACAACCAGAACTCAGACTGCAAACAGCACATCGAGGTTCTCAAAGAGTCTCTCACTGCCAAGGAGCAACGCGCTGCCATCCTCCAGACTGAGGTGCCACTCAAACACCGTATCAGGCTATTAATTCATAGCATTTGAAGAAGACATATTATGCTTTTTGTGGAATTTAGTAATGAAATTTCATTTTAATTTGTTATTTTAAATTTTAAATAATGATTTAAAATGGCTTAAAAGCAGAAGCACTCTTACTGATTTCATGTTCAGTAGTGCTAAACTGATATGCCCTGCTTCTTTGTAGTTGTATTTTACCAGAGCAAACATAGCAAGCAGATTTTTATTATTTACTCATTCTATTGCTGAAAAATGGCTATCTGACATTTTTAATACTGTCATTTTTTAATAATCGCAAGTATTAAGTAAGTAAATAAGAAAAGTGGGAGGAGTTAAGGGGTAGGTGAAAACATACATTTTATCTTTTCTCTTGAAAGCAGGACACACAGGATTGCTCAAAAACACATGAAACTATTAAAATAGGAGGAGCTGAAGGAAGTGTCTGGAGTGAAGGAAGTCTGGGAGTCCCTGCTTAGATTTCTGCCCCCGCGACCTGGTCCCGGATAAGAGGAAGAAAATGGATGGATAAACAATTAAAATACGATTTTGAGTTAAATTATGTGGAGGGATCTCTGTTATAACATTAAGAAAAGCTCATAATGAGTCCTGAAAAAAATTGTTGTTGTACATATTAGTTCCAAGACTTTTCTTTTAGTTAATTAAGACTATTTCTACAATTTAAGATTCTGTTAAAGATTAAAAACCTTGCATTTTGCTTACACTTACTTCAGGTGGATGCTCTCCGCCTGCGTCTTGAGGAGAAAGAATCGTTCCTAAATAAGAAAACCAAACAGCTTCAGGACCTGACTGAGGAGAAGGGGACACTCGCAGGAGAGATCAGGGACATGAAGGACATGCTAGAGGTCAAAGAGCGCAAGATCAACGTGCTACAGAAGAAGGTATGGATGGATCATGCTTTGAATAGTGCTCTTTTGTCAGAATATTTCCTTTTATCTAATATTTTATACTTTACCAGGTTACTTAATAGCTAAGCTAAACAATTTCATGCAAAACCTTTCAAAACATTTTATTTACAATAATTTAAAGAAAAGAGGGGGAAAAAATTAACTGACTGGGCAGCAGTGTACCTGGAAATACACTGTGGCAACATCAAATGTATTCAAATAATGCTGATAAACAATTTTAATTTGACCACTGTGTGTCTTAAACGAAGCCTCTAAACCACAGAGGGCGTCTGGTGTCTCTGGAGGGATCAGAGCCCTTAGAAAGACCAGATATTTCTGCCTCACTGCCTCTGGTTGTACAAGCTATAAATAGTATTACTCTCTCTCTTCCACCAGATCAGCCTTTAGTATTTTGGCTTTCATCAAATCTAATTTACCTTTTACATGAATTTCTTTTATGTAAATCTATCCTAAAATGTGACGATGGCATATTTTTCTAATACACCTTTTTATTTTAGGTTGTTTTTTTTGTTTTGTTTTTTTTAAGATGCACCATGTCATTTTCTTGGTTGAGGGTGCACCACCTGTTATTGCTTGTCTTAATTCAAACTGAATCTTGTTTCTGAACCCTTTGGAATGTGTTTCTGAACCTGTTGGAGCACAGACAAATGTCTGGAGGCTTTGTGAAGAAGAGGCTCTGTAGTTGTGGCCTCTGCTCTGATCTATTCTCATTTCAAGTGGGAACAATTTCTACACAGAGGAAAGTCAGATTTAAAATTGCGTCTGAGTTATATTGGGTAAATATAAGAACTCTCTCTGTGGATGATCTGATAGACAACAGATTAAGCATATTTTTGGGTCTTGACAGTTCCCATGTCAAAGCTGAAGCACATCTCATTAAACATGAGATTAGGGACTTGTAATTAGACTAATGTCCAGGCGGAATTCAGAAAAAATTCCTAAAAAAAATTTGTACATTTTTGGGTTATTATTTATTTGTGGTTTTAGAGTACAAATTGGTCCAGATTCTTCTCAGAATGGTTGATTTGACTGAAAATAAGTTTGTTAGAGATTTCCATTAATGTTTTACCATTTTATGTCCATGAGATTGAGAGTTCTCTTTTATCAGAAACTAGACAAACAGAAATTAATTAAGAAAAAGTACAAAGATCTTTTGAATTTTAACAGGATATAGATAAGTTTAATGCCATACTGTGGAACATTTCAAGCAACACAATACAATCTTTATGGAGACAAGTAGGTGATAGACCCTTCATCTGAAAAGTTACATAGTGCACCTTTGCAGTTGGTTTATCATGTTGTAATTATGCTCCATGAGTGTATGTATGCAGTTTATTGATACTTTACCTCTACCATGGTGAAACAACACATGTCCAGGAGCCAGTGATCAATGCAAGTGTTCATGGTCCTCTTTAGGTGTTTGATTTTCAACAAAATTTGAGAGTGACCAACTCAAAAACTGTTGTGACTGTAATTTTATGTGTGAGAGACTTTAAAAGTACAAATCACCTGTCAAACTGTGTTAAAATAAAGCTCAGATTAAAGTTGAAACTGAGTAACAGAGCTTCAGACTGAGCAGTGCCCATATGATATGGCACTATATGCCCATTCATACCCCAAGGAATATTGATGGCATCATCTCCAACGTATCAATAATGTTATTAATTAAAGTTTGGCATTTATGTGCGAGATAACATGTGGCCTGCAATGCACAAAATATAATGTTTTTAAGTAGTTTTTGGAACAAAATAAATACTTGTTATAAAAGTTATGTCCACACTATTTTTCATGTACATGAGCCAGTCAGTTAATCACTAGTGTTCCTACTCTTCCTGCAACAGATTGAAAACCTTCAAGAACAGCTCCGTGACAAAGACAAACAGCTGGGAAACCTTAAGGATCGCATCAAGTCCCTCCAAACTGACTCCAGTAACACAGACACTGCCCTGGCCACCCTGGAGGAGGCGCTGTCCGAGAAGGTACTCCCAGGCCAATATACCGCGAGATTTTATATTTTGATCACATACAAATCAACGGAATATTATGTGTTTGTCACTGGATTAGGAGCGGATTATTGAGCGTTTAAAAGACCAAAGAGAGAGGGAGGATCGTGAGCGTCTGGAGGAAGTGGAGTCTTACAAGAAAGAGAACAAGGATTTAAAGGAGAAGGTCAACAGTTTGCAGATAGAGCTGACTGAAAAAGAGGTCAGTGCCCGGGCAACACACTATTACTACTGAGACTTCTACTGCAATTACTACTATTATGATTACTATTATTGGATTAATTAACTACTTTTGTTACTGCTAGTATGGCTAATGCTGTTTCCTCAAAATTGTAATTAAAATAAACTGTTTTTGTACTTTAAACAAGCAGGTGACTTTGTTCTCTATGCATTCTCTCCCCATTCACAGTCCAGTCTCATTGATTTGAAGGAGCATGCCTCGTCACTGGCTTCTTCAGGCCTTAAAAAGGATTCAAAACTCAAATCACTGGAGATTGCCATTGAACAGAAAAAAGAAGAGTGTAGTAAGTTAGAAACGCAGTTGCAAAAGGTAAGACCAACATTACCTTCATATTTGTTTATAGATTGAGGAATGACAGTGGCTCAGTGATCAGAGCAGTGGTCCCCCAACCCGAAGGTCGGAGGATCTATTCCAGCTCAGACCAAGTTCTGCTGTTGTGTCCTTAAGCAAGATACCCGTATGAAAATGGTGAGAGTGATAGATGGTGGTCTGAGGGCCTGATGGCACATATTGGCAGCCTTGCTTCTGCCGGTCTGTTACCACCATTGAATAGGGTGTCAATGAATAATGACCACACTGTAGTGCCTGTAAAGCACATTACAAGTGTAAGGCATTATTAGCTACGTTTTTGTATAGTTGGACGCTGGACGTGGAAGTTGGACCTAACTTTAAGGTGCATTATGCAAGTTTACTGGTGGAGAGTATGCCACCTGCTTGTCGCCATAGAAATATAATATGATGTTAAACCTATCTCCATGAAAACAAGTGGGTGTCACCACAAAGTTATACTGTATGCCAGATCTGTCGAGTGAGGAGCCAACAGAGCACCTGGTAAATTATCAATGCACTTGCACCAGAGGATTTTAGATAAACAGAATATCTACATTTTGATCTACATAACCAAAAAGAAGACTTGATTCATGGTCAAACAACTCATGATGAAAGTTAATTTGCATAGTGGTTGCATTAAAATGATCATGACTTAAATAAACCAGGTTGTTTAATATAAAACATATTTAGAAAATGGTTGTGATATGCCTTATAAAATAGTCTTTTGCTGAATCAAGCCAATACAGGGAGTAGTCAGCACGTTTACAGAAAAAGACACAGAAAAACTAATAAAACTATTCTTGCATATCTTAGTTTGGCTGATGCTGCTACAGTGAGACAAATATTTGAATGTGTCTTATATGAAAGACAGTTAATTAGGATAATAGCTCCCATCATGCACTGGGCTCGTTCTCTGGCAGCTGCAGCTTGGTCTGACCAATGCAGGAAGTAGACAACCTCATACTTCATTCATAATCTATATCTGAGACTTTTATATTTTCACCATGCAGCAGTGCAATTTCACATGACTACAATATTGACTCTTTTTGTCCATAATGTAGCAAGCTGAGCATCTATTCAGTCACTTGAACAGTCCTGTAAGTCCCTGTAGCAGTCTCTGTAGGCATAATGCACACTAGCATGAAGACACTGTGTTGTTTACAGTGAAGTGGTGATTAAGCACAGCAGGTTTGCATTCATCCTCCAGCTGCATGGACACTGCACTGTTCTAACTCTTGACAACCTCATAAATTATGTTACTATGGCACCAGCACGACAAGATGTTTGAATCAGCTAAATATTTGTATTATGTGTGAATTTTGTTGTTACTGTGTTTAATGCCTATGTTGTATAAAGCTAGTTTTGGACACATACTGACTTTTTGACTGATAATTGGCACTAGATGACCTCTGATCATTGTTGCTGTTAATATCCTGGCCTGGCTTGTGTTGCTTCTCTTGTTTGACATTAGCTTTGCTGGTTTTGCATGATGCCATAGTGCATGGTACCAATTTGACACAGGTTCTCTAGTTTCTTTTGATATTTTGTGAATATATACTTGTCCTAACTTGTGCAAAACTGTATTGTAGTGGTTGCAAACTTGGAGCATTTTGCTTGTCGTTACTATAGTGGTTTGTGAACTGTTGCAAATTGTTGATTTGAGTGACTATTAGGGTTGAATAATCTATTGTAATCAAATTGCAATGTGGGTAGGTACAGTGGTCTCTGCAACAACAACAAAAAAAAAATCCAATCGTTTTATAGAAAAATCTTGTATTAGTTTATCAGTTCATATTTCAGTCTTGTTAATGTTCTTGAAGTTTATAATATGCACTCTGAACAGAATCCTACATTTAAATTCACAAGTTACTTTTAGGTTTTACACACTCTTCACTCATCACTGGGATGTAATCAAACTTGGCCAGAACTTGGCTAGAGGTGGTGGGGCAGAGAGAAAATTTGTGAACAATACAGGAAATAAACAATAGGTTATTTAGAGCTGAACATGTGCTTGTGTTGAAGGTCTTGGGTTGTTCATATTTACTAAGTGTTATAGTCAGATGAAGTCTCAGAGGGCTGCTAAATGGAGCTAAATAATAGCCCTGTTAAACTAATGAGCCAGCAGCAGCAATAATGCCCTTGTCCTCCACATTTATCTTGCAATTTTCATTCACAGAGTTAAGCTAGGCCAGAGGGTCAACTCATATAAGACAGTTATGGATGACTGGAACCTGGTTTTATCTGGGTGTTATCTAATGTGAGGTTTCTCAAACTTTTCACAACAAATATCAACAAAGAATATATTTGTCCTCTCCGGTGCCACCAGAACTAAACCTCAGGTCCAGAACTATTCTAGGTCTAAACCAGGTCTAAAATAAGACTACATATATCATTGCTGTTCTAGAAGAAGGACTAACCCAAAGGAGGAAAAGAATGTGCATTAAATTATATCTTATTTGAACTGCAGAGGATTCCGTGCACCTGAAGGAACTAGCATATAATTAGTAGTACATGGACCACAGTCTGAGAACAAGTGATTTACTACTTTATTGTACTATAGGCTTAATATACAAATGTATGTTTATGTTTGGATGCAGAAAGCCCATGAAGTGGAGCATCAGACAGGCTCACGAGTAAATCCAGACTTCTCAGACCGGGTGAAGTTGCTAGAAAAGGAAATGAACTTCTTCAAAGATGAGGCCAATAAGGCCCAGACAGAGGTGGAGCGACTGCTGGATATCCTGAGAGAGGTGGAGACAGAGAAGAATGACAAGGACAAGAAAATCGCAGAGTTGGAAAGGTACTTTGACAAGTGATGATGAAGATATGTTCAGATCATGTCATTTCACACTCACAGCAGCACCACAATGTGGAAACTAGTATGTTAATTAAAAGAAACACTTGGCTCGACTGTGAAGTACACTCTGTCTACAGTATCATTTTGAAGATACTAATACTGTATCAAAATCAGTTTTAATTCATATACAGAACTAATTTCCAAAAGCCAGAGTCTCTGTCAGAACAAGAAACCAATTAAGCCTGTCTGATGTGTGTCATTATGGTTTAATTACATAAGTGTAATATAGAATGTTCTCCTTCTTTACCATCTTTATTTATGTGCTGTCTTTGTCTGTTTGTTTTTCTTTTTATGTTTTGCCCATCTATCCAAACGTGTTTTCCCTGGATACAGCCCCCCTCCCCTTGCCCCTCGACACCCCCCTCGCCCCAGTGGCAGAGCGCCCCCCAACCCTCCTCCCCCTGAGTCCACTGCCCCACAGCACATAGGGGGCATGGTGTGGGGCCTGCTGGGAAAGTGAGTGCTCTGCCCTGGCTCTAAAGCCTTACTACATGAGCAGAGTAATATGCGACTGCTGCATCTGGCTTAGCCCCCATTGGTCTAGTCTGGTCTGCGCTCTTCAGTTAGCAAAACCCTGCAAAGACCTATAGATCCCAGCTTGTTTCTCCCAGCATGTCTTTGACATTATTTGAACTTTCCATGGAGAATTGTTGTTTAACCTGTGAATTAAGCATGTTTTTAGATGCATGTAGCATTATTAGCTGCTGAACCAGAATCAACAGTTTTCTTGTTTGACTGAGAATTCTAACATTTTATAGTTTGTTGAAATTGCTTATAAGAAGCTATATTTATATAGCGCTTTTCTAATTCAAGGCACTCAAAGCGTTTTAGACTCACTCAGGAACCACTTACGCATTCACACACACATCTACATACACGTGTACACAGACACTGGGAGTGAGGTGGGTTAAGTGTCTTGCCCAAGGACACAATGACAGTATTCATCTGTGTTAGCTGAAAGAAGAACACACCTTAGATACAAGATTTCCTAAATACAAATGACTATGTATAAGTTATTTTCTTTTGTTACATGCTTGTGAATAATATATGCAGTAACAATGTACCTACAAAGTGGTAGACTGAATTACGAGTACAGGGAACTTAATGGAATATCTGTAAGAAGTGCATAAATTACATAAAAACAAATGACTAATACTGTATTTCCTTTGGAAACATGTTTTGTGTAAGACATTTTAAGCATGTATTTTCCTGCCCAAATCAGTCACAGCTCCCTCCCTTTCACTCCCACCTGTTTCCCGTGGTTTGGAGACCTTTTACACCATCCTTGCCCTGCTAGAGGACTGCATGATTGGAGCTGCTGTTCTGCAGGTCTACACATGCTTCTGGATGTAATGCTGAGGATGTGTCAGCGGACCAGGGTTTGCCTTGTCTGTTGTACACCCATAACTGACTTCTTGTTCTGTTATTCTTACACTCACCTCCCTGGCCCCTCCCCTGTCCACTGTCCTGGCTGAGCTGGCCCTGTCTGACTGCACATCTGTCCAAGGCTGCAGCAGACACTGTTCTAACACAGATGCGTCTTGTGTCACTGTGGCAGCTGACAGTGAGCTGTCACTGAGTGCAGTCCTTTTGTACTCTAATGTACTGTATGTCTTTTTATTTTATCTTTCTAATGTCTGTTTCTTACTTTCTCCTTTGTGCGCTCTGATTTATTTGGTTTTACTTTATCCCTGTTTGTTTTTCAATCTCCCTGTGCGCAGTTTAGCTCCCAGGTAAGTGATGCTACAGCCTAGTGGTGCTCACCTATTCTACATTACTACACTATCACTCCAGATCCTCTGAGTGAGAAACATAGTGACATCTTTAGATGCTTTTTCATAACTTGGAGGTCTTTAATGAATAAACACAGCACATGGCCTAAACCAGATGTCTGATTAATGCTTTTTAATTCAACTCTAAAATGTATTTTACAGACAAGGAGGAAAAGACCAAATTAAGAAAGGTACAAACATCAAATTGGGGCCACAAGGTGACAAGAAGGACCCCCGAAAAGACAGCACCTTGGATGGTGGTCATCACCTAAAGGTGGGCATTTGATCATCCCCATTTCATGAGTGATTTTCTCATTTGGACATTTGATAACACTAAATATGTTTCAGTTGGAAGATCTAATGAACACACTAGAGAGGACAAGGCAGGAGCTGGATGCCACAAAACAGCGCCTGTCGTCCACACAACAGTCTCTTCAGGAGCGAGACACACACCTCACCAACATGAGACAGGAACGAAGGAAACAGCTGGAGGAGATCCTGGAGATGAAGTCTGTCAGCCTCAAATACACTTAGTGTTGGTGTTGTTATTTTGAACTGAAATGGCATAATTTATTTTCAGACAACAAGCTCTGCTGGCTGCCATCAGTGAAAAAGATGCTAATATCGCTCTTCTAGAGCTCTCTGCCTCCAACAAGAAGAAAACCCAGGAGGAGGTGATGGCTCTCAAGAGAGAGCGGGACAAACTCATGCACCAGCTCAAACAGCATGTGAGTAACTGTTTATGTAATCCCTTTTATAATGAATGTCTCGCAGCAGGTACATTCATTTGTTTCCAAAGACTTTTATTTTACACACATTACTGAACCCACTTTCATATAGAAGGTTAAAGTCAACATGTTTTCTGTTGTAGTAGTTTAGAACTATATAAGTATTGTTTGAAATTATTTTCCTAATCCCACAGACTCAGAGCAGAATGAAGCTGATCGCAGACAACTATGAAGATGAGCAGTACCACCCCCACGGACCTCATCACCCTCAACAACAGCCGCCCCACTCTCAGCCACAGCCCCAGTATCCTCACCCCGGGCACCCCCCACAGCCTCAGTATCCCCACGGACCCCATTCTCAGCACCCTCAGCACCCACAGCACCCACAGCACCCATCAGGACCCCAGCCACACCCAGGACACCCACAACAGCCACAAGCACAGTACCCACATCCCACACATCCACAGCAGGCGGCTCAGCACCCACAAGGGCCCATACCACATCAACAGCACCCACGGCCGCCCGGACCGCAGCACCCACATCCGCAGCACCCTCAGCAGCACCCTCAGCAGCATCCTCCGCAGCACCCTCACGGACACCCCCCCCCTCAGCACCCACAGCACCCACACGGACCTCCGCAACAGGGACCCCACCCACAACACCCTCACCCACAACAGCATCCTGCACATCCGCAGCACCCGCAGCACCCGCAGCACCCACAGCACCCACAGCACCCACACCATGGGCAGCACCCTCGGCACCCATCTCCTCACCATCGAGGAGGCCCACAAAGAGGACCACCCCATGCTGGGCACCGACCTGCCCATGACCAGGTCAGGCTACTATATGTATGGCGCTAATACAAAAAATGCAAACAGGAATCCAGTTTATAGCAGCAAAATTAGTGTCCAAAAAAGTCAGGTGTAAAATAATGAAGTGACACTAACTAATACACTAAGAAGTGCAATTAATGATTTCTATCAGTCTTCACTGTTTCATTGTTGTTGTTGTTTTAATATTAACACAGAAAGATGATAACTATGTGTGCTACATTCATAGACTTACATTTTAACTGTGTGAGTAATTACATAAATATTTAGGAGATCCTGTTTAAAATGTAACATTTGTTTAATTGTTTCCCTATGCTGATGAACAATGCAACCAAAGGATGACGAGGAGGGCATTTGGGCATGATTCTCACTGCAACAACCAAAACTTATGTTGTTATGAAGGGTAAGATTTTTTTTTTTATTTTGCTTTAGATTTATATTTGTTTTTTCAGGTTGAATTGCTTTTAATTGTTTCCTATTTTCAGATGATTCAGTCACTACTGGGGGAGCAGAGCCATCACATCAAAATACAACCAAACATTTCCTACCTGTTTATTTTATTTTTATTTTATTTTGTATCCATGCAGCGGGTCCTTGTTTTGTGAGAGTATACTTCTCACTCATGCAGGAAGCTGGCAGCTGAGCAGGTAATAAAATAACTTTTTTTTAGTTTTAAATGTAGTATTAGCAGAATTTAAAGACATTTTTTTGTTTTTAGGGAACAGTACATGACCACTCCAAACAACTGTCAGGACTATTGCTATGGCATGTCATTGGAACAGCTGTTTCTGTTGGCTTTTGCATGCTGGGATTATGAAGAAAATGCAAACCATCTTGATGCGGGACACCCCAACTGTCTCCACTCTGCTGCCTCACGGTTTAGTTTCACCTTTATTTCTATTGAGATTATTGTGTTGCCTTGAATTATAATTTCTGTGGCTCTGATTGGCTCCCATGCCTGACTTACTGCCTGCTGACAACGTATTCCTGCTTCTCATAGTGTGCACAGTCAACATTGCCATTTTATATCTTTATACACATGTTTTTAGCATGGCCCTATTATGATTCCTTTTTTATCAATGGTAGCAACGCCTTTTAAATCCCAGAGTGGGATTAGCTGTCAGTGGTCTTTTCATGTTACCTCATTTAAAGAAGAAATAGTAAAACATAAAACAATCTATGCAGATGACAACATAGAGTAAATGCATTTCACATTATTATATATGTCATTATTTTGTTTTCTGCCTGGAGAGCAGTCAGTAATTATTCACAAGACCAATTATTTTGTGACTATGCACCTATGCACCTCTCCTCCGTGTTGCAGGAATTTTAAACTATTGGTGCTTTTGCTGGTGCTTACAACTAAACGGTGTCAACAAGATCTGATCCAAAACCTCTTTTTGGAGGGATTTCACCCCACCTTGGGCTAAATAACAACAGACTGCTATGTATATACAATCAGAAAGGGAGAACAGTGTGCCATGAAAGATTCAGAGGTGCTGCTGCTATAAATGCAAATGTAGGCTACAATAAAGGACAGGTGACATTTATTAGATGTTTAATGCAGGTCTGTGCAGCACTGACAGTATCCTGCCCAAGTACGTCTAATTTTCTAGAAGTAGTCATGTGTGAACTCCCCAGACAACATAGTGACTTGTTTTATTTTCTTCTTAACAAAGTGGCCTGTGCCTCGTAAAACTGTAAACAAAATATAATAGATATGCATATATTATAAATATAGAGAGAAATCTATATAGTGTGTCTATATGTGGTCAGAAAACTGTTTAACTGACAGATAAATATATATATAGTATATATGTTTTGCCTCTTTGGTTATTTTTTTTTAACTGGCCAGAGGTCAGTGATAATAAGTCTTATTTTAAATGTGTTAATTTTATTATTATTATTATTATTATTATTATTATTATTATTATCTCTCAGCAGCAGTAACATTCCCTGTCTGAAAATTCAGGACAGCCAAAAATATAGAAGTCTAATGTGGGAAAGTAAAGCGTATCCTAATCTAGAAGACATTAGTACATTCCTTTTTTAAGATATTTGTTGATGACCACCTGGCCTGTGGTATATTTCTGCAGCAGTAATTTCAATATGTCCGCTGCACACATTTGATCATGAACTTGCACTTGTGAGTGAGGACTATCACTATGAACAATCCCAGCAGAGGTTTGAGTAATTCTGTCCAAATGCATTATCTTTGAGTGTTTGTCGTCTTTATTGTCTCGTGAACAGAATCAGTGATGTGTGTGCCAGCTGAAAACAACACAAAACAAAATCTTACAGTGGAACAAACTCTAGACTGTTATGTTCTCCTCTCAATCCCCTGTTTCTCTATGGCCAAGTGTTAACTGTTGTATAAAGTGTCTGTCCATCTTCCACTAAAACTGAGGTGAACCACATCTCATTTTATGCTTCCCTCATGAACTTGGACCACCCCAGTCCCTGACTAAGAATTGTGAGATTGTGTGAAATGTTTTATAATTTTTTTAAAAGAGAAAGGATCAGCTCAAAAGGAAATAGATGATGCAAACAGACAGAGGAGCAAAACAATCCTCATGTTACCATCAGGGGGCTTTCTGGTCCTTCTGCTGAATACTTGAAGTAGGGGTTCTCCTACCATGAACAAGCGCATACAATTTAGGTGATGATAGTGGCCATGCATGCTACTTTTTACATTATGTGCCAACTGGATTTGATGCTGTTAAGGTTTGCCTCCTGTTCTCTATGCAGTGACGCAAAGTTACCTTATGAGACACAGAGGCTTGGAGGCTGGGGCTGGTTTCAGAGGCAAATCCTGGTTTTGAAGGATATCTTTAGGCCATTTTGAGTTTATTTTTGTGTCTGTGCCTAGAAGTCACCATATGTAAGATGAAGGTTTTTGTGAGTAAACGAGCCTTGTACACCAATCAGGTATAACATTATGACTAACAGGTGGGAGTGAAAAGCACAGATCATGTCTTCACCACTGCACCTATTTACAGGCAGTCTGAGCATGCACCAAGGAAACTGTCCTCAAATTAATTGTGTTATAAACAAAAATAGAAAAGGAAGAGGATCTAAGAGGCAAACTGTGATGGCTGGGTTAGGCCATGTTCAAAACAACAGCTTTTGTGGGGGTGTTTCTATAAAATTGGTCCATATAATAAAACAAAAACATAAAAAAATAAAATAAAATAAAAATAAAAATTAGAAGCTTGCAACTTACTCCTAGTATAGCAATGTTTAAAAGATAAAATCTATCAGTGCATCATCCTCTCAACATTTCTTTGATTGATAATATCTTTAGACAATGGTAAAACAATGATTGGATGAGTTTTTTGGAATTGAACTATTTGTTATGATAAAACTGTACCAGACTATCTGCATCTGTTAAGCATGCAGAACTAATGTTATGCCTGATTGGTTGATGTACATTCACTTCACATGAACTATTTTTATTGTATGTTACTGAAATGAAACAAATCACTGTGACCATTAATGACAAATCTTATGTTTACTTTTTTATTCATTTTGTATTTAAGTTAAGCTTTATTTTTTCTATGATTTCTGACTATTGTTAAAAATGCCAGTTTGAGACTACTACTTACTATTTGTACAAGTTAATGTTTTGAACTGTACAGTAAAGATCTAGGAACATGTTAAATGTGAGTGTCCAGCATGCTGAATGAAAACTTGTGTGGACGTGAGCAACTTCCCATAATGCACCATTCCTCGCCCATTATTGCATCTGCATCATACATAGTGATGGTACGATGTAGTTGTCTGAGAGTGGTGTCTGTCTCACTTACTGTGTCCCTTTAGTAGACAGCCTGTGCAGTTTAGTGAGAGTGGCGCATGTTACTGGTGTAAATGTACAAAAAAGAGAAGAGTATGAATGGTGGACGTGTGTGTGTTTGTGTGTGTATGTGTGAGTGCGTGCGTGTTTGTGTGAACTATGAATGAAAAGAGAAAATCTATTTAAAACACTAAAACAAAGGAAGTCCCTTGAACAAAGTAAGACTGGGTCAAGGTTTTGATTGACGCATGGATTCTCTGTAATGTTATTTTTCTTTCCTTTTTTTAAGACTAGGAGGCTGTCCCCAGTGCCCCTGTTTGCTATTGTATGTGGTGTATCAGAATATTAATTATTGAGTGTTGGCCAGCTTGTTTATATCATAAAATAAAGGTGACTTTCTTTCTGTCTTTGGTCGTCTTTTCCGTATTCTACATGCAACTGTCATTTTAAGCCTATCATTTCACAAAACTTTTTTTTTTAAATGCATTCTTACTCTGAGCAAGCTTGCATCTCCACAAACCTGACAGTTATTTAGCCTGGAAGAGAGCCTGCTCCTATTTGTTTATATGGAAATATTCTTTTGGCTATAATGTTCCACAGTATGACATAAAACTTATCTATCTTCATGAAGAATATTCCAAAGTATGTCAAATCACGCCACCTTCTAAGAGTTACATACAGTACCTTTAAAAATAAAGTAAAGAAGTTAAGAAGCATTTTAAAGCACAGTGATTTAATTTTCAGTGTCCCTTTAAGAAACTGTTCAATATGCGATCTCCTCTATCAGAAAGCCAGTAGCCTGCCACGGCTGCTATGGCCCCAATAAAAATGGAAGTGTACACAAGGTCTCCCTTTGCAGCGAGGGTTCCGAGAGCACAGAGCAAGATCCCCAGAATCATCTGCTGCAGCACTACCACCTCATCGTCCTGAATGTCCTCAAACAGCCCTTTGTCCAGCACACCTGAAGAAAACAAACGAGATGTCAAATCAAGCAAAACTACACTGAAATCAACATTATACTGTAATAGAAGTTAGCAATACCTAACAAAAGTTAATATCTTGTTATGTCTCAACAATAACAGGGATCCTTAAAGTCTTAATGGTGCTCTATAATGATGACTTACTTGGCTGTTGCTTTTTCACACATACGTTGTTTTTGCGGATGTACCCCTTTGCACAATCACAGCGAAAAGACCCTTCAGTGTTGGTGCAGATCTCATCCAAACCAGAACAGGCCAGCACCAAGACACTGCATTCATCGATGTCTTACAGCATAATAATGAATAATTCAATGTAATTATCATTATATTCTAGTATTATGTAACAAATACCAAACACAGTTAATCAGATTACATACCCAGGCACTTGGGCCCTGTCAGTCTATATCCTGGGGCACATTTCCTGCATTGGGCTGGTCCACTGCCCATGCAACCCACACAGGCTGCATCACAGTCTGGGAAAGAGAACTTTATTTAACAGATGGAAGAGAAAGTGACGGGCATTATCCCTTCAGTAACTTTTTTCTTCTTGGCATTACTTCTTGTGGTCTTGTGTCCATTGGTCTTATTTGGCAATAATGTCCTTTTGAAAGCCTTGTGTGTAATAGTAGAGTAGAAAACACTGTAGATAATACTTCCTTGGTGCTGGATTAATTATTCCTTAAAGGTGTACCATGTAACTTTTCTGGTGAAAGGTCTGCCAACTGATTTCTCCATGTACCGTAGATGTTTGTATTCAGTAACAAGTGTTTTATAGCTATAGAAATGCAATACAATACTGGTGGGAAAGGGTTAAAGATGTGATGGAAATGGAAAGAGTAACAGCAAGACTGCGTTTTAAAATGAAGGAATTTGAGGAGTTATGGGCACCGGTAATACAAGAAACAAGATAATGTGTATCCTACCATTGATGTGTGCATGGGTGTATGTGAGTGAGTGAATATGTATGAATGTGTATGTGTGTGTTTATTAATTCATAATGTTATTTTTATTTATTTAGTTTGGTGAGGGGTCATTAATCGGGGGAAGGGATTAAAGGGAAAAATATAAGTGTAGATATATGTATGTATGTGTATATATGTATGTATATGTATGTGTGTGTATATATGTATGTGTGTATATATATATGTGTATGTATGTATATGTGTGTGTATGTATATATGTATATGTATGTGTGTATGTATATATATATGTATATGTATATATATATATAAAATGTGTGTATATGTGTGTATGTATGTGTGTATATATGAATATGTATGTGTGTATGTATGTGTATATGTATACATATGTGTGTGTATGTATACATATATGTGTATATATATGTGTGTGTATGTATGTATGTATATATACACACACACAAGGAGAATATAAATAGATATAATATTAGGCTCTGCCTTTTATAATATGAAGTGTTAAAAAAAATGTAATGAAATATATGTATATGTATGGATATGTGCCTATATGTATATAGGTGCATGGATTTAAATGTGTATATGTATGTGCATGTGTATAGGTGTGCGTGTGTGCGTGCATGCATGTGCATATGTGGGTGGGTGCGTGCATGCATGCTTCCACACACGTATATAAACAAATAAGGAGTATTGTTATGAACATAAGGTAAATGAATATAGAGTATGTATGTATGTATATATGTATGTGTAGGTGTGTATGTATATATATATATATATATATATATATATATATATATATATATATATATATATATATATATATATATATATATATATATAGCATACATGGAGCGACATAACCAAGTGGCGGGCATAGTGTACAGAAACATCTGTGCAGAGTACGGGCTGGAGACCCCAGGATCAAGGTGGGAAACACCTCCAAAGGTTGTGGAGAATGACCGAGCCAAGATCCTGTGGGACTTCCACATACAGACTGACAGAATGGTGATGGCGAACCAACCAGACAGAGTGGTGGTGGATAAGAAACAGAGCAGAGCCGTGGTGGTTGACATCGCAATACCAAGCGATGGTAATATCAGGAAAAAGGAACACGAGAAGCTAGAGAAATACCAGGGGCTCAAGGAAGAGCTGGAGAGAGCCTGGAAAGTAAAGGCATCAGTGGTGCCTGTGGTGATCGGAGCACTCGGGCTGTAACCCCCAAACTGGAAGAGTGGCTACAACAGATACGGGAAAAACAACGGACATCTAGTCCAGAAAGTGCAGTACTGGGAACAGCAAAGATACTGCGCAGAACTCTCAAGCTCCCAGGCCTCTGGTAGAGGACCCGAGCTCAATGAGGGTGAGAGAGACCTACCACCGTGGAAGGTGAGAAACACATTTTTTTTTTTATATATATATATATATGTATATGTATATGTATATAATGTGTGACATATGGATGTGCTTACACTCGTGTAAATAGCTAAATGGACACTTAATATCTCAAATGAAATGAATAAACATATATTTAACAGAAATGCAATACAAAAATACAAGCATTGTTATTGAGAGCAGGCTTTCCTCTCCATTCCTGTAATTTGGCCTGGTGGAGTCACCTGCTTGTCTCCATCCGTTGATAGATAACTGTAATGCTGCAGAGTGGAACATTCTGGGCAAAGCAATAACCCCACCATATTTTAATAGACTCCTACATAACAGGAAGATCTTACCTCTGCACTCATAAGATCCAGCCTTATTGAAGCAGTAACCGCCAGAAGAGCAAACACCCAACTTTGTGCCACACTCATCAATATCTGAAAGAGAGATTTACTTATGTATTATTAATGTGGGTTTATGAGTAAATTCTTAAATACTGTACAGTACCTACACATGTGCCATTATGGAGAAGCCATCCTCTCCCACATTCATCACATTGATCCGGACCTGAGCATTTGTTACAGGACGGAGGACAGGTGCGCGCCTCAGCGGTCAACACGCAGCCCAGCCAAGCAGCGTACAGCAGGAGACATACGAGCCACCACTCACCCCTTTCAACCATCTGTTCAGAAAACATACTTTAAAATGAAAGGATTTGTTACTGCTCAGTTATTTCGGTATATATTATTAGAGTTTATGTTAATCTACAGGATATTTTCTATACTCAGTGGCCAGTATTATCATGTTGAAATTTGCCTAACCGTGAGCCCATGTGATAAACACATTCTTTGGGGGGGAACAGTAAGCACATTCAAGTAGGCAATTTCTACCACCTCTGTCTTAGAATAAGGCATATTCACAAATAAATCTTTGGTTCTAAACATATTACTTATATTTAGTTATGATTATGTAGATAAAATGTAACTAGTTTTACCTACCACTTTTCAACCGCCTTGGCACTCAGCAGTGGGGTAGATTCAACTACGGTGTGCTTGCAGACCGGTCTAGTGCCGGTGCAAGACCACAGGAAGTCTGGTCATAATGGACAGCAAAATGAACCAATGAAATGTCCTGGTGTTACAGTAACCCACCAATAACCACTAAGAACACACCAGGCTCAATATAACATGTTATTTATAGAAAAAGAAATAGTAGTGAGGGGATATATTTGGTGAGTGTCTATTTTTGATACTCAAATAAGGAAGACCATTAGTGTACAACAATTTGCAATATTATTTATAGTATAAGCACAAACAATAATAAATAATATGCTGTAATACTGTAATTATGATGATGCCCAGGTTGCACAGATATGTACATAAAATTGGCGGGGTGAGTGCCTCTTGATCATTTATGGCAATGAGATCTTTTTTTTTTCTTCATTTCACAAAAATAATAGTAAATTTATAAATGATGCAGAAGTCTTGCCTCAGTTTCACATGTTTTTGAGTGCAGTGATGCACAGCCCTTATATCTGTCCCCGGGGAAAGCCCAAGTCCAACTTCTTTTTGCCTGTTTCTGTGCTCTAACCACACACAAGTCTGCCAGCAGTTCTTTAGTCTGGGATGGGAAGTGGAAAAGAGGAAGACCCTGGAGGATCTCGGGTAGTTTATTGTTGAAGATTTTTGCCTCTGTCCACTGAGAGTCAAATGTGACCAGGACAAAGCGCTCCCTGGCTCTGCCCTGGTTTTTGTAGGCCTCAATGGCCAACAGTGAAGCTCTGAAGACATCAGAGTACGGAGACTCCTCCTGGTGGTCACTGATGGGACTATCCTGACAGCTCCAATTCTGTGCCCTGTCCACAGCTCTGGGAGTGAGCACCAGCAGTACGCGCTCACAGGTGCGGTCCATACTGAGCAACTGACAGTGGGCCCAGGGCAGGGGTCCCGAGCTGAGCTGGCCTCTCCGGCTCCACTGATCCACGGTCACACTGAAGCCATTGGAGCAGAGGAGGGACCCCAGGTTGCAAACTGCAGAGGACACCTCCCCACTACTGTCCGGGGGACTCAGCACCAGCACATGGGCCTTGTGAACTAGTGCAAAAAATATATATCTGCATCAGCTATGCACATACAAAAAATACGACTAGGATGAATGAGATCATGACAAGAAACTTACTTTTGACAAGTCCTCCATGACGCCAGCTCCATATTACTGATTCTGGAGAAGAGTGACAAACAGAAGGGCTCATTAAAAGCATAATAACTGGAGTAGTTCAAGATTAATGGAAAAAGTTACTTAAACTTACTTTTGACAAAGTTCCGTAGGCAAAAGGTGACCAGGAGAGTTAGGGAGAAAAGCAGCATCAAAGCAACAGCAAAGAGACTCCAGCGCCACCTGTCAACTGAGACTGAGACTACCACACAACAAAATTAGTAGCACAGTTTTCTTTTCTTCTTTTTTTTTTTTTTTTTTTTTTTTTTTTCTAAAAGGAAAGGCACTTACTGCAGCAGAAAGGCCCCATCTCACTCTGCATTCCCTTGATTTTTAACTTCAGAAAAGCATAAAATATCATATAAATAAAAGCTGTAAGTAATTGTCAAATATGTAAATAACTTTTTCTTACCATCACACAAAGTTCATTTTTGAGATTTATTTCATCAAAGATGCCTGTTTTCTCCTGAAAGTGTGACATGAGATTTCAGACAGAGCAGCAGCAAATATACAGTTTAGTGTGTACTGTTCTTACAAAATGCTGCACAAAGGGTTGAATGTGAACATAATTCAATGAAATTGTCAGTGGATTTCATATAGGCAGCACACATCATTTTAATTACACAGTTGGAGAAATGTATTCTTACCCAGAAACCCTCGCTATTTTGTGTCCAAAAGTCATTCCCCACTGGTTTTCTAAATCCCTTCATTTCTTTGCACGAAGTGGAGCCTGGAGTAATCTCACAGAGCCACAATTTTCCTTCAAGCCGACAGGGGGCGGACACATTCCACAAGAGGCTCAGGTTAGAGTTGTAAAAGCCTTTTTGCACAGATAGTGAAACGTTCTTCCAGATATGTTTACTCAAAGTTGCTAAAAGGTTCAGGAAAGCAGGTTAGATGACAATTAAAAATAGGCCTACGTTCATAAAGGGCTGGGATACACGTAAAATAAATAATACTTACTGTTGTATTTGAAAGGGCAGCTTCTGGAGCGCATGGTTTGTCCATCTCCTTTCCACGCCTTAAACATATTTTAACAAGGAGTTACTGTTGTCTTATGTAGGCTACAGTATGCATGAGCTGTGAAATATATAGTTTGCTAAGCAGCCTACCTGAAAGCACGTGCATGGCGTGACGGACTCCAGTGGAATAGGTTTCCTATCCCAGCGCTACAAATATAAAGCAACACTATATAAGGCGTTATACCATTACGTCGTTTATTTAAATGGAGTACAACATTACAGATTGTTTATTTTTGTTGATAATAAGTAAGTTATTGATAATGCGATCTTTAAATGGTTGTCACGTCACATGTGTATAGGTGAAATATAGAGAACCGCTGACCATTCAAAAAAATAGGCCTATAATATTTTGTTTTTGCTAGATTCTCATCACTCTGAAACCCATGGATACAGGCACCTTCCTCATTTAGAACAAGCATTTTCCTATTGGCCGCAGGTCTATTTGACAAAACGGGTAAACACTGATTTTATGCATACCTAGGGCGGGGCTTCCAAATCCAAACTGCCCTTTGAGCCATTTTTGTTGGCCCTCTAAGCCTCTAAGCTGAATTGGCCCAACCGATTATAGGCAGAACTTTTTTTTACTGCAAATTGATTCAAATTTAAATAATTCTACCACTATAAACTCAATGACATCACATTGTATTGTGACACAGACTTAAAATTAATGTCCCAAACCTTATTAAATGTACAGTGGCTCTCTAATAGCTATATTAAATGCACCACTCTGAAAGACCCACTGTATTGACCATCTGTCTGTGGCCCTCCGCTTCATATACATTTAGATAATACGGAAATAATACATAAAAAAAAGTGTGTCCCTGTTTTTGTTGACCTGTAAAGCCATTAGGCCTCTGTGCCTTGTATCACTTTTTTAGAGCCATTTCTATTGTGCTAATTGTATGAAAACATGCATACTAAACACAATATTATACATTTCCCTTGTTGACTTATGGTGTGATCTACTGCTATATAATCACTTTCACTGGGTGGGACCTACAATTGAAAATCATGGTAGTCTTATCTAGCGCTAATCTTAGCTTACATTTTCCAAGTCTGTCCAATCACATCCCATCACAATACACAACTGTCCCTCTTTTACAGCTATTTAAAGTGTTCACACTAAGTATATCCCACACCATAGTAGCTTGAAATGAAAGGCTTAAATAAAGAAATTAGTCACTCAAACATAAAAGTGCTACAGTTTTACTTTGGCACTAGATTCATAATAATCGCTCCAGTAATCAGTTCATTACAATCAGCAGGGTGCGCGTCTGTTCTCAGTTATCCGTTAACAGTGAGATGTGTCATAGAATCACTGATTAAACAACCATAAATTATGACATAATTAAACTCAGTAAATTTCACTCAGAACTTATATGACACCACCCATATTAAATAACACTGTCTGTTAAGTTAGGGAAGCAAATAATTAAGATTCATATTACAGCTGCATATCAACAAATAGAAAGTAAATACCAGAGTGTAGAGCTCACCTTGCAGGTCCCGTTGATCTCGTTCTGAATGCACACTTCAGTGAGACTGCTGTCATTGCCAATAAAACTCAGCTCCACTTGATTCACTGATTTATTGGTGAAAAAGGTCATTTTGGGTGCTAAAAGAAAAAATATTCAAATTGTTTACATTTTTAAGCATCAAAAACAAAATAAGAAATGCACCATGATCATGCACAGTAGGCTACTTACCATTACATTCTTGTACATAAATGCTTATGTTTGAGCTACATACTGAGGGGAAATAAAAACAAGTGTCAAGTGAATGTATTTTTAAGGATAATAATTACAATCATTAAAATATTACCATCTTTAAGTGATGGAACATTCACATTCACAACATCCACTCTGGCATCTGGTGAGTCAATAAAAAGATGGTTCTCATAGGAAATCATGGCGTTTGTAACTGTCATAGAAATCTGTGAAAGTGACATAATGGTTAAATGGGTGACTAAATCAGGTGGGTTTAGTTACTTCGCATTAAGACTATATTGAGTAATATTTTTGATTAACAGAAGCTCTTACTTTAGATTATAGTTGTATTGGGTTTATATTCAAAATATTATTATTTTTTTATATTTTTTATGGACCATACCAGAATTTTTGCATTGTTTAATGTTTTGTCTGCTGGATTATGTATACTCTCACTAAACTTGGACAGACCCCTCTCAGTCATCATCTGCCCCATGTATTTCCGTGTTCAGGACAATACATCAATCACATTATAATATTAAGGATTGAACTATACCTATCTATTCTGATTCTGAAAATGTTTCTGGTTGAGGTTAGGATCATTTCTGGATTTTGATTAATCAGTGCATCAACAAAATGACAAGATCATTTTGTAAGGTGGTGTCAGTGCCCCATAATTTAAAAAAAAATCCATAATAGGTTTGTAATTGAATAATTTAATGTATATTTTAAATTTAATAATATCTTATTTATATATTGATGCTTTGACTTGAGCACATTTCTGGGACTTCACCCCATGCCCCTTCTGCTTGTGCACTTCTGGTGTGACCCACAGGTACCTCATGCATATTTCGATGTTATTGTTGACATACTTGTGCAGTGCTCTGATGAGAAGGCTTAGCTGGGTTTACGATAAACTCCACCTTTTTGCATTTGGACATCCCCAGTGGTGTCTTATAACAGACTGTCACAGAACACGTTTTAGCTAAAAACAAAGGTGGAAAAAATACATAGAATATGCTGAAAGAACACACCAATATACAAGTTTATCTACAGTATTATGCATTATGGTTTAGTTATATTAAAAGCTTTTGTTGTCTTAATGTGAAAGGGAAAAGTTAAAAGCTTAATTATTAAATTTGCAGTTATAATAGAATTGCAAATATTGACGGAAATGTAACACTGATCAATGTAATCTCTAGAAACATTTGTATTTTTGTTGAATACCTTCATTGTCTTCCTCCTCCATGCTATCGTCATCTTCCAGACCAGAGTGGCCCTCGTCTTCTCCAGGTTTATTCAAATCGACTTTAATTTGGAACAGCAGACAGAGTGCACATGTGTCTCGTCTGCAGCACAGCTTCACTTGTGCCTTCAGATTAGTCACTTCCACTGTATTTAAATCAATACCTGTCCCATCCATCATAGTGCAATCCCTGAGACCCTGAAATATATCCACAAATACCGTTTAACAAAATTGTATTTACCCGAATTTAATGCATGCCCTTATTTCTATTTTATCATTGTTAATGTTGACTGTTGTCGATGTGTTATGTTGTACCATAACACCAAAGCAAGTTCCTAGTCTGTGATTTTTCTTCATTGGCAATAACACATCTTCTGATTCTCATGCAGGTGCATTGTGCAGGAGGCGGCATCCTAAAATTTGTGTCTTGACATTTCAACAGAAATGTACTAAATGTCATAAATGTATCAGTATGTATATTTTCATTTTCATTTTGAATCAGCTCATTTTGAAACATCTTTTATAATATAAAAAATGTGCCATATTTATTTAACGGTCTTTCCACTGACACCAATCCCAGTCTAGAGTTGACTAAGGGAAGCACTCATGAGAAACATTTGTTTTATAACGATGAACAATCAACTTTCTGCCAGGTTTTGTTTTATAAGCCCACAGTAGTTACAGAGATATTAACCATAAACCAGGTCAACAAATCTGCAGTCGCACACTTAATGCAAAGGAATTCTGACCTGTCCTTCATTTTGGTGTTGAACTACAGGAAATCTATAATGACGTGATGTCACGTGAACGCAGTCTATTAATAGCAAACATTATGCTTGATAGTATACCTGAGAGCAGGTAACTTTTCTGTCATTTTTTATGATGTCCAAACTACTGAGTGACAAGGGAGCAATCAGTAAGATCATCCCAGCGATCCATCCAGAAGTAAACATTGTGCACAGAGCCACTGCTGCTCAGAGGAAGCTTCAAGTTCACTGCATTTTTCTCCACATATTTTAGACTGGAGAGCCCTGATAAACAGGTCCTGTGGTTTATGCGCTTGACAGCATAAAGTTGTTCATTAACAGCATTGAAATCGACGTGCAACTCAGATGGGGTTGTTTGTTGCCTAGGAGAGAGAACAAGCAGTTAAATCAACAAGATAAGACATATATGATTGCAAAATATAGACCATAGATACCATATATCTATTACCATTAACATGTCAAGATATTTATTCATTGCATTACTAAAATAATAAATAAGAGGACATTTTATAGCTTTAACAAAAATCTACATACAATAAATTACCATCTCATAAAGTTTCCCCAAAACTGGACAAATACACGCATTCAACCAGGTCTAAAACAGGTCTAAATATGTTTAAATCATATCTAGCTAATCTAAATCTGAACCAGAACAAGTATCAACAAATATATAGACTAGTAGGACAAGAGTGGAACTGCAGTAGACCATGAGTACCACTAGGGTAATTATGTGGTCTACATGTATCATTTTATTTGCCTCATTTATGACTATATTAAAGCCCCATTGTTACTATGAATAGAGTGTGAACAACAATTTGCTTCTAACCGAGTCAAATGATCATTCAACCTTAACTGGGCCATGTAAAAGACACCGGAGCACCACTATAGAAACTTTGGATATACAATCTTACCTGTACCACCTTCAGAGTAGCAGGCTGTATATTGTTGTGTGGCCTTTTTATATCTAAAAACAAAAGTAATTCCTTCTTCTTATGGTTTTGTCTGTAACACTTCTCAGGAAAGCTCATATAAAGTGAACCATGCCCACAGTGAGTCATATAAAAGTTGCTCCACAGTCAACGTCACAGTGTTCCTACTGGAAAGGCCACACCTCTCTGTGTCTGTCTACTGTTTATTTTTCTCTATGGCCTGTATCATGTACCCTTTGTCATTCTTTGAGCTGTGAAGATAGTGCTTTAAAACATTTTTTTTGGACAAACTGTTGATTTAGATCACTGTTTAGATCCTGGAGTACTTTAAAAAAAAAATTCAGTGCTTGTTTTAGACTGACCAGTAACTGATAAACAATAAATGTCAGACTTGATTGTTGCAAGAAAAAAAAAAGTTATTCCTGAACTACAGTGTTTACCAGTTTTTTTCTCTGCTTAAGCTATACGCTTAGTACAGTTACACTTTGGGTCCAGTTCCTGCTTACTGTTCTCACTGAGAACGAGATGAGACATAACGAGACATCAAAATCCATTTTAAGTTTGGATAATGTAATAAATATCAATATTTATGAGTGTGAATGTGTGGGTATATATCAGTTTTATTAATTTTAGATATTCCTGCTCTTTTGCTTCTTGACAATAAAAGCTCTAATCTAATTATGGTATAAAACAAAATATCTTTGTTATATACATTATACATACTAAAGTTTAAAGGTTTGTACAGTATTTGTCTAGTTCATTTACAATTTGTAGTGAATGAAGTATGGATTGCTGTCTAACTGGTTGGACCATTGAGTCTACACAAAGAACACCCCGACTACGAAAAAAAAAAAAAAAAATCTACTCAAAGTGAAGATAGTAAGCAGCAGTTTTAAATACCCTACCATGCATTGCCTGACCATTGCAGAAAAATATATTTAACAACTAAATAATAATGTAAAAATAATCACAAAACAGTATTCTACTGAACAAAATGGTATAACAAAAACTACAAAAACAAAGCACAGTAAGGCACATTCCTAAAATTTCACCTGTCTGTCAACTATCTGTCAACTATGAATTATTCTCTTACATAAAGCTTAAATGACAGTACACGTTTGAACTGCATGAAAAAAAAACGTAAAGGTATTGTCAAAGGGGACTTTATTTCAAAAGTTGGGATTAATTAGAGAGCACACCTATGCAAGTGTAGACTTAATATAGACAGTTTGGTTTAAATGTCAGTTGTAGAAGTCACTGGCTGGTCTCTGGAGAGCTGAGTGAGCAGCCAAGAACCAACAGTCAGCTGTTAGAGCCACTGGGAAACTGTAATCAGTAGCTATGGATCTGCAACATACAGAGAATTTTAGGGTGAATTTTAGTAATCTGTAATCTATCTTCCAATAAATCTAATAATAATCTATTTTCCAATATCTTCTTCTAGTGTAGTGTTGTCACAGTATTAAGAAAGTTACTATGGAAAATGACTAATAAAATTTTTTTAAAAGATCTAAATGTTATATAGCTGTTATTTATGCTTCAAGTAACCACAGAACTGCTTTTTATAACTAAAGGTTCAAACATTATGAAAGTTTCTGGGCTGAATATGACCAATCTTATTGCATAAATGTATATGTCCATTCAGGATCTCGGCTGAACCAATATTTGGAAGCTGATAGCCGATCCAGAAAATTTTTCAGTATCACTACCAGTATCAGTATCTGGTATCGGATACTATCAATTAGTATCTGAGTATTGCTTTATTTTGAGAACAGAACACTATTCATTTATGATCTGCTGTAGCGTATGTTATGGTTTTGCTACTCAAAAAAAACCTTACAGTTGGTTAAGTTGCAGGTACATCTCCATGATTTTCATATTATTTGCATATGAGTATATGATTAATACTCAAGGTATGAATGAACAAACATCCTATTCTTCGCACAAACTGTACCTTCTCACAGGGATCAAGTTGCCTTTAATTTTGACAGACGTTGACCCTATGTCCGGTCTTTCCTCTTCCTCAAAATCCCCGTTATTATAAACTGCAACAACATCATCAAATTGTAAATGATACATGACACAAATCACATACAATTTGAATAAGCATATAGGGCCAACTCACATAAAACTCCTTCAGCTTTGTCATCCAGGGGCATCTGTCTCAGAACAGGCCACAGGAACTTTCTCCCAGAAATCTCATGGATCAGAATCACAAAACGAACTTCTCCAGCTAACACAATGACCTCCTTGTCATTTATGATCACTGTCAGACTATCAAAACATTTAAAAACATTCATCCAGAAAGTTGCATATTGTTATTTAATTTAGGTTTTACATTAAAAAGAAATTATGTTGTATATGTATTTTTTATTTTTAAGACATATTATGCTTTTGTATAGTTATTATTTAATTGGCAATTTCATCAAAACAATTTTTTTAATCTTTATTTGTGATAGTATGTGTTACCTGCCAACAGTGATTTGAGTCTGTTCAGAGTATCGCGCTAATGTCAGCCCCTGCTTCACACTGACACCATCCGTGTCCACCTCAATAGATGTGTCATGTTGGGCATGGAGGGATATGTGTGTAAAACCTCCATTTGTCTCTGTGCCAATCATACCTTTTATGTCAAGTCCTAAATGGAAAGAAACACATTGCAATAAGCTATACCACAGGTGGCTGCAGCTGCTAAAACTCATACTAAAATAAGACTAAAATTTGTAATATTGAACAATGTATATTATTTAAGTACTATGTAAGTTTTCTGGTTTCATTATCTTGCATTTGTTCACACAGGTTTTAAATGATAAAAAACACCTTGTAAGACATTGTGAAGCATTTTCACTCTAACTGTGTTTGACCTGTAGTTTAGTCTAGTGGCATCACCTGCTGTCTCTCCTGAGATACTGTTCCAGGTAAATGCAATAATATCTCTATGGAAACAAGCAGGTTCACCACTGTCCACCAGAAAACCTTCACCTTTAACTGTGTAATGCAATCAATTGTTAACAGAGTCAACAAGTCTGATACTGTTGACTCTGTCCTGATATTATGTGAAAGATACAAACGCAGCATGACTGACCTCTACCGGGGTGGCGCAGTAACGTCACGTTGACAGAGGCCGGGAGATCAAAGCAGAGAGGCAGAGTAAGTCTCTCAGGTCTCAGTAAAAACCTTTGAGTTGAAGGAGCTGGACAGACAGGATCAGTGCTGTGATTCTCAAAATGTTGTGTCAAATTATTTCTACAGACAAAGTCTTACGTATTTTTATTCTGTTTTAATTGGTTGTTTTATGGCTGTTGCACTTTGTTATATTATGTAATTTGATCTGAAAACATTCCATCTTTATTTATGAACTTTTAAATGCAAGGTTTACAAAGTAAATACTATATAGTGGCAAATGGACCATTAGATAGATGAGACAGCAATCTATAGAGAAATCAGTAAAAAAGAAATGTACCTTTAGTTGTAGTTGTAGTAGTGTCAGGAATCATGGTTGCATGTACCATAATGGAGTCCATATCAAAGGCCACATAGTCAGCTTCTCTACTGTCTGTAACTAAAATACATGATTTAATTTGTGACTCTGCAAATAAAGTACAACTCATTAGGTTTAGGTTTGAAATGTACAGTTTACCTTTGTAAATCTATGTAATATATAATCAATAAAAACATGTGGTGTATCATTTTTATACAAATCTGACCATATTATTCTCCAAGTATATAAACTTTGACTGGCTAAAATGATTTTAAACACATTTACCACGTTCATACCTTGAACTTGACTAGAGGAGAAATGGCGTCTCTTGTTTAGAACTATAAAATACCAGAATTTAATTACATTATTTAATGAATTCAAAAAGGCTTAGAAATAATGTGTCTCACCACCTGAATTTGCACTATGCCAATATGAAGTTACAAGGCATTAGTAGTACCATTGCAGTGTGGTGTATCCCCAGAAAACTAACCAAGTGGAAAACCAAGATGATCAGGATCCGCAGGGGGGCCAGCTATGCCATGAAGGCCAGGCAAGGGAGGAGGACCAGGGGGGCCAGGGATGTCAGAAAAGCGAGGCAAGCCAGGGGGGGCAGGGGGGGAAAAGAAACCAATACGAGGAGCAAGAGGAGGGGGGGAGAATCTTGAAACTGGATGAAAAGCACCTCCTGCTGGACTTGCAAGTCTGTGGAGAACATGCCCTGCAAGTATTTGGCAAGGGAAAAAAAAAAATAATTTAAAACAGCAAGAAGCATTCCCAGTATTTTTTGAGTTGATTTAGGGATGTAATTACAGTATACTTCTGAAGCAATTACATTTTTGTTTTCAAGTTTCTAATAAATTAGAACCAAATGTCCTCTTTAGATGATATACTGACCAAACACAAGCTGCTGTTGTTAAATTATTTGAGTGCCTTGAAGGTAGAAAAGCCGCTATGTAAACGTGACCATTTACCATGATGTTGCACACTCAATGAAGTACCAACTGCACCACCCCTTGCACGGTTCAATGTAGGTATCAGTGGCATAGCAGGTGCTTCTCCTTCCTTAGGCTTGTGGAGGACAGCTGAGTCTTCTCCTGGAGGTTTAGTGACCACCATTGATGTGAGAGAAGTCACAAAGCTGTACTTTAGAGATAAATCCATGGCCTCTTTCTTCACTTTGTTCTTCTCTGGTCCAGACAGCTGCAACCTGCAAGTTAGATTCAATTCAAACTGTCCCATAGTAAAAAGTAATTTTACTAAACTGAAATTACAGAGTCAGAAATGCTGACATATATTTTTTATGAATCAATTTAAGTCAGAAATCGCTCTTAAAATCTTAATCATAATACTCAACGCTCTTGCCAGAAATGCCATCTTAAAATCCAAAGTCTAAATATTTATGAAGTAATGATTAATACTGTACAAATAGTCGAATCAGTCACCCACTCTTTCTCCATGAGTTGTTTGACTGTGAGATAGGCCCACACTCTCTGGATGCGGTCGACCGGTGCCATCACAATGGACTCTGTTGTTGTATTTGGTCTTGAAAAAGTCACTCTTGTATTTCTCTGGTGAGATTAAAGCATACCACTTTAGAATGTAAAGAGACCAGTGTTTGTACAGAAGCCGAGGGCATGCTTACAGAAAGGGCCACAACTTCAGGAGTAAAGCTTTCAATGTTGTTGTCTGTGATCACACCTGCCACAACAATCTCTGAGCCATTATAATATTGGCTGAAGTTAGTCTGGGTTAGATTAGAGCCTCCAGTGTAGATCATGGTCACATCTGTCAACAGTGGAGTGGCCACCTCTTCATAGAAGCCCTGTGAACATTGTCTACAGTGTAAGTCCAGTCAGGGTGAGCAAAAATTGTATTTGGCAACAACATATTTGTATTTACAAAACAATTTAATTAACTTCTGTCACACTACTTTACTACGTTACTGAGTGCAACGGGGCATCTGACATGAAACTTTTTTTCATCATTTGTAAAAATACCAGTAAGGGTCTATATCATGATCCTGTTGGTGTGATATTCTTGGTGTTGTAGTCCATGCATTATAAATGGTACTCTAATGTCCTCTGTGACCCTAATGCTAGATACCTGAAGTTGCAGATTAGCATCAGAGTCTTCATATATGCGACGAGCTAAACCATTATTATCCAGGGACATCTTTTCCAGGATCTCAAAGTTAACGTCAAATCCAAATCCAAGGCAGTACAGCGGGAATTTACCTGCGATGGCCTTTTTAACATTAGCTCGGATCTTCTCGGGATTGGTCTCTCCTGTAACAAAATATACATATGTATACATTAATTTGTCTTAAATCGGGTCATGTAAAAGTGTTGCTTAGAAACCTGAGGTGGGGTCCCCATCAGTCAGAAGTATGAGGATCGAGGCTGAGTCTTCCCTGGGGTGTACATTCAGCATGCGAGTACCCTCCAGCACAGCCCTGTTTATGTCTGTGGCTGTTAACCAAAGATTAATAATTTAGATCTTTGAATTGCGGACTATTATATTAACTGTGTACACTTACACCCTCGATCTTCAATGTGCTCTGCAAACCTCTTGGCCTGTTCAATGTTTGCAGAGGTGGCTTGAACAAGTTCTCGTTTCCAGTGAAAAATTTCACTGTCAAAAGTGATGAGCCCGAAGAAGTCATCTTCGGACAAATCACTTAAGATGTGAATTAGGGCAATGCGTGTCTGGAATAAATCAAGTTAATAAATCATGTAATTTTGTTGTATATGCAGATTTAACAAATTCTGCAGAGACCAATGTCAGAAATGGTTACAGTAGCATTTGTTTTCTGCTCAGCAACTAAACTATATGAAGCCGTAATTCCTAAACATAACTGTTATCTATAGCACCCATAATCTTAACAAGGGCCAAAACTTATGTGGATTGTTCAATTTGATTAGACTTATAAAATCAAAGTTTAATATGTCAGAGAAACAATTTCCTTTTGCACAAATTGTCACAGATAATATTACCTCATAATAAACTAAATATAAACTCACTTGATGCATTTTCCGTCCGTGCATTGAGCCACTTTGGTCAATAACAAAGACAACATTTTTTGGTATACGAGGCAGACTGGAGGGAGCAAAGTGATGCACAAAGTACCCATCTCGAGTCTGGATGAGATTTGCATGAAAAAAAAAGAAAGAAAGTAGAAAGTATATATATATATATATATATATATATACACACACACACACATATAATTCTTACTTGGATATCTCCAAATGGGACCTCTCTTTTAACATCATAAAAAATGATGAGATCTCCATTCAAGCCATCCTCTGAACAACTGTCACAAACCTTCTGCTGATCCACAGTTGGATAGAAATTGACCCAGGCCTACATATCAGAATAAAATATTAATACATTTACAGATAATCAACTAAATGAAAGGGGTTCTTTGCAGGGTATGGTGTTTCTGTTTTCTCTGTTTCAAAGAGAGTACCAAAGTATCAAAGTTAAAGGAACAAACTTCACCTGTTGGTCTGTTACTGTTTCAGCAATTGCATTTGCCAGTTCTTTGGTGCTCAGGCCACCTTTAACCTCTATAAACTGGAGTCCAGCATCTTCGTGTATGTGCACATCAACCTGAAAATGACATACAAAACATTGTACACTCAAGTTTGCATTTTTTTTACTTTTTATCTTTTTTTGTCTAAACCTACCTTGAAATCTTTGACAGGCTGCATGGGCCGAGCAAAGATTTGCAGCTCGTATTTGCCAAGTCTGCGTTTGAGTAGCTCCTCGTAGGTGAGTTCAAATGTGACTTTTTTGTGAGCAGCCACGGTAACAGAAGTCTTAAACTCCTCCAGCGTTCTCCCCACAGAACTTAGGTAAACAATGAGCATAAAATGACGCTGATGTGTTTTTGTACAGTAATAGTATGTGAAGAGCTTGGTAACTAAAAGGATTTATGGTTATTACTCTTTTTGAGTGCTAGCCACTCAGCGATCGTAAAAAACTGTAAATATGTTCTTCTAGTGAACAATACCAGGATGGAAGTTGAAAAGGGTGACTCATAGTCTCATCTCAAAGTGTAAAAAAAAAAAAAAATTATAATTATAAAATAAAATAAAAGGGAACATTGAAGGCAGTAGAGCTTGGAGGTTCGGACTTGGGAATTTTAAGATAATAGAAAATTAGTAATAGTTTTCATCTTTCATAACTCACAAAGCTACCAACATAAAAAGGATAAAATATATGATCATATGTGTAAAACTCACAACTCATGAGGCATCAATGAACAGTGTTGGGAAGGTTACTTTTAAAATGTACTCCCCTACAGATTACAGATTACATACACCAAAATGTAGTTTGTAACGTAATCCATTAAATTACTTAAAGTGAGTAACGTAATCTGAATACTTTGGATTACTTGATTTGCTGTAGAGAAGCAAAATCTAAGATATCGTAACATAAGACTTTACTTAACCGTACTAAAAATATTATTGATAGAAGACGAGGAGACCCGTACACGCAGCATGATTTAGTCCTGTTAAATCCTGTTTTAGATCTGCTTAGACCTGGTTTAGTCCTGGTTTAGTCTTGGTTTAGACCTGGTTTAGTCCTGGTTTAGTCTTGGTTTAGTCTTGGTTTAGACCTGGTTTAGTCCTGGTTTAGTCTTGGTTTAGTCTTGGTTTAGTCCTGGTTTAGTCTTGGTTTAGACCTGGTTTGGACCTGGTTTAGACTTGGTTTAATCCTGGTTTAGACCTGTTTTTAGTTCTGCTTTAGTCTTGGTTTAGACCTGGTTTGGACCTGGTTTAGACTTGGTTTAATCCTGGTTTAGACCTGTTTTTAGTTCTGCTTTAGTCTTGGTTTAGATCTGGTTTGGACCTGGTTTAGTGTCCGGAAATGAGTGGAATTACCGGAAAAAAACAAACAAACCATCAAACAAACAAAAAAAAACAGATATAGCCCGAAATGTGAAAACAGGAAAATACCGCCGTGTAATCCATTTATTTCAACAAAGTAACTGTAATCCAATTACCACTCATGGAAACAGTAACTGTAACTGAATACAGTTACTCATAATTTGTACTCTGATTATGTAACTCCGGTACATGTAATCTGTTACTCCCCAACACTGTCAATGAAACACTGAAAAGGAAAATAGTTTTCTGTGTAATAATTATGGGTGAATGCATTATCCCTCTTTATCCCACTTACTATGCTATTTTCTTCCTATTACCATGCTAGTATGTTTTAGAAGTGCAACAAAAAAAATCTCCAAATTATTGATTATTTCTTGTTTGTACCTGACAATTCCTGCACTCTGGCCCCGAGAGACAGCCGCTGTGTATTGATGCTCTGCTTGTTCTTTTGCCTTCACCACGCCGTCATACACTTCACCGTCCATAAACCTACGCAGTCAATATTTCAAAGTTTGGGGATTGCTGGCAGGAAAATTCAATGATTGCAATTGTAGACATTAAAAATACGCTAGTTGTTGTCTTTGAAGTGTACTTAACTTTAGGGGGGAAAATGTCAGCGTATTTAAAATATGTAGGCTAACATGTTGTCCTGCTTGTTTATATCATATATATATATATATATATATATATATATATATATATATATATGGAAGAATACTTTATTAATATGAGTGAAAAGTAACTAATTCAAAATGCTCAGTTTTTTTAAGATAATTATACATTTATGTGTAGATTTTTAAACGTGTTTGTAATTGAGAAAAATAAAACATGTAACATATTTTACCTGAGTACTGATTTTCAGCACTCTTTCCACCGCTGTCTTAAACAGCATGAATGATGATGAAGTACTTTGGGATTTCTTCTCACAATAATGATAATTTAACACAATTTTTGACGTTAGTTGGTATAGAGTTTTATAGCATAGTCATCAATATCTCTGTGTCAAAAGCAGGAAAAAGTGTGATTGAGCTTTCTTAGGGCCAAACTGTCGCTGTTAATTGTTGGGCTTGTGGATATGTAGTTTTTCTAGATAGTTTTGTGCTTATATTTGTGATTTAGGCTATATTTGAAAAGTAGGAATGCTTATTGTAAACTTAAGCAATAGACTGAAATATGACCTGAAAAACTATGGCTTGTAGAGGTCTATAATGGTATAATATTTCTTCTTTTGTATCCAAAAAGTATATTCCGCTTTTTGTAGAAGACATTGCGATTTCTTTCCAATTCTGATGCACTAATTTACGCACATTCTGAATTTACTGATGAAGGCGTTCTTGGGAATCCGAACGTGAAATTCAATCTCTTTAGACTCTTCCATGCGGTTGGCCACGCGGCTCTTGATGACGGTGGTGGCATAGCGGCTGGTCACTGTGGAGTTGATGTGAAAACTGTAGATGTCCCAATCGCCCTGAGCAAACATACATTTCACAACATAATGTGTTTATTTTGTGGAGTTGAATAACAGCTCACTGAAGAGCAGCGCACTCATTTTAGGGGCAGAAAGGAATAAAACTAAATAACTGCAGACACACCCGTCAATTGCTGAATAGCAGTTACAAAACTATAAAAAACTTAAAACTGCTTTCTCTAACAGTCAGCAAAGAGATGTTTAACATAGGCCTAATCAAAAAACAAACAATGACAAATAATGACCTTTGTTCCTTTTAGAGCCACTACAGATTCTCAATAATATGAAGGTAACATCTGCCTCTGTATATCAATGGGTTAAAAATACGTTTCTAATATTAACCTTTTCAATGGTTAGGATGAATTATTTACTTATTTGACATATTTTCACACTTGTCTTGGTTTATTTCTGATTTGAGCTCAGTTTAGGCCTGATAAAGATTTGGTTTATTCTGTTGTAGTCCTGCTTTAGTCCGAAATAAGCTCAGAAATAATAGCCCTTCTGTAGAACGTGGAAGTGCGAATGCACCTCTATAGATTACTATTTCAGCAATTACTTGCTTTCAAGATCACTTAGCTTCAAATAAATTATTTAATAATGCCATACGGGTTCAAAATTGTTCAAGTTCAAGCTAAATTTTAAAGTAGGAAGTTTATATAAAGCCTAATTATGTGCACATATCTGTAATTGAAAGCTTTTGGCCCCAGTTATACTGAATTAAGAATCGCTTGTGGATCAGATTTAGTATTAATATATTGTACCTTTTTGGGCAATGTGGAGACCAGTCCCAGGAGCAGTCCCAGGAGGATGAGGAAGTTGACCCTTCTCTCCATAGTGCTCCCTCTGAACTGAATCCAGTGAGTTGGAAAGGCTTTTAAATACACACAGCCAAATATTGATGTGCACAAAGGACAGTCCTGCCTCTATTCCAGTGAATCCCATGTTACTGGAAATGACTCTTATTTTTACAGTAGTCATAGAGCGGACAAACGGGTAGGTCAGACATAACAAGGTCAAGCAAAAATGAGTTTATTGTGTTTCTATCTTTAAGTATTTACAGCATTATGAAACAGTTTTGACCAGGTCAGCAAAGTGCAGGGTGGAAAAGCAGGCAAAAGTAATCTAACCCTACAAGCATCAAAAACACGTGTCAACTGCATAGAAACAAGTGACCTTAAATTATACTGAAAACAATAGAAGCTATTGTTTATGTCCTTCAGTGTGCAGTGCCTGGTGCTAAATACATTGTATGATTCAAAACTGCTGTTGCTGAGAAACAAATAGCAATGTATGGCTATGTAATGTATATATTTGTAAATGTATGCTCATTTCAATTGAAATTGGTAAGTCTCTAGTTCTTAATAGATGAATACATTCTTTTAAGCCAAGGTAGTATTTCAACAAATAGATCACCTCATCATTACTAAAGTCTGATTAGCCTCTGATTTTCTAATAACAAAAATTACACTTCAAAGTCCAATCTGGCCTTTGGCACATAGTTTCTATCAATAACTTTGTGTCAGAGGCCAGTCATTTTTAAATAATCTGTAGATTTTTCAATATTTTATTAGTATTAGAGTACAATATGTTCCTTTCACCATCACCTGCATGATTCCACGGAAATACAAAGAAAAAACATAGCCGGAAAAAAATAAAAATAAAAATTCCAAGGAAACAAGCAGGAGGATGCCCTCCTCCAGGTCAAGAGAGAGTCAGGACAAAAGATTTTCAGTGTAATAAACACAACCAAGTTTTTTTGTCTAAAGGGTTACGTGTGGCTTTAATTATTCTGTTTTAATTTATTTGCATGGCTCTTGTGTATCTGTTTTTGTGAAGCTCGTTGTGCACCACCTAGGCTGTTTAAGGCTCTATACAAATAAGAATAATTGGAATCTTAAGAAATAATAGCATAATTTCTTTTGGACTTCCTCCATACAATTGTTTGGACAAGTCATCAACACAGTGAACTGCCAATGGCAGTTTCCAACATTCACAACAAACTGCTCCTTATTTTTTTTTAAAATATGAACTTAAAGGCAACAACATGTAAAGCTACAGATCTCTTCTGAGGTATGGATGATGGTGTGTAACTAGAGCACTTATTTTTTCAACCATTTTCAACCTGTGTTCATGCAGGTTGTGGCATGGAAAAAGTGAACAAAACATTCCCTTTTATCAAGACTATTTTATGTGCAGCAACTTCATTTGTTGTTTAACTCACAACCAAGTGAGGATAATCTCTCTACTGTCTAAATGCTTTTCTTCACAACAGAAACTGCATTTCAAGGCACTCTCACAGGTCTGTATTGAAAACCTGTAGATAAAGTTCAAGTTCATTCTTGTCCCTAAATGATATCCAGTGTTATAGCTAAAAGCTTACCTAATGAAACATGTCTTTGTGATTGAGGAAGCATATATTAAAAGCCTATCCTATAGACCAGCGCAGGACTTCACAGTGACAACGTAATGGTGGCTAACAGTGTTGCAGAGCTGCAGCACCCACCTATAATCTATTGTTGTCTGTACAAATACCACAGCTATGTACAGGCTAGGTCTGTATTTACATGGCAGCTTACTTGTTACAAAGGCAAATGCAAAGAAACTCCTCGGGGTTGGACAGTTACCTTATACATGTACAAGCACTACAACAAATGAGAATATTGTAGGAAAATGAAATCACAATTTCCATTATTTAGTTAAAATAATACAGTATTGTGGTATATATTGTATTGTACACTACATAAACTTGCAAACTTGATAAACCCTGTGGTCTTGCTTATACACATCCCTAATTACTAGAAGGCTATAGTCATCACAATATAATCAACAAATGCATGAAATTATACAATTTAGGGGTGTTAAAGTATGGTTGCCTTCATAAATACGAAGAGACTTCTCCACCATTTTAAAATATTAAGTTGAAGTAGTGCTGATACAGGCACCTATAATTTTGCAATAAGAAATATAGTTTCTATGTGGCTGCACTCAGCTCTATTTGAAGATGTGGCATCTGACACAATTAAAAGCAGAGGTAAATATGTACAAACACAAATCATGCCAGTTGAATATATACAATATATGCACAGATGAACTGACCTTCTTGTAATATTACTGTCATAGAGTTGGAAGACACAAAGCTACTGCAGTTACTGAGTCCTAAGGTCATGAGGTGAACAAGTAGGCTGATGTGATGGAGATGTAGCAGGACTGGGAAGGGCATCCAGGGCAGATGGAACAGGAGGGAAAGCAAAGACTGCTCCAGAGGGGTGGGGGTAGGGCAGCCCAGGGCCCTGGCTGACAGAGAGTTGAGAGGGCAAAGCTTGGAGTGGAGACACCGAAAGAGGGTAACAGGCACATGGTCCAGAGGAATGGTTCAACAGGGCACACCTTGAACCATCAGTTAGAGGAAGACTGTAGGGGTTTTGATCCACTGCTGCCCACACCTGCAACATCAAACATACAGATTAAAAGTAAAAAAAATTGCCATGATTTAGGTCCTAATAATATGTGAACATTGAATATTTGGAACATTCTTCATCAATATAAAGTGATACTTTGCAGCAATGTCGTCAACATTTCCTCGGGTTGTGAAGCTAACTGTAGACTTGTCTGCGCTCTGTTACACTTTAATTAGAGCTTTGTCTTAACACAATCTGACCAGTAATTTTGTTAGAATTACAACAGGTGAGCTGATTTGTGTTGTAAAACAAGTCTCTGCCACATACAATTAGTCACAAGCTAGCTACCATTTGCCAACAGATTTTAAGATAGTCATTCTTACTTTTTGTTGAAAATCAAACACCTAAACAGCACCATGAATGCTTGTATTCATTTACATATTTATCTTGAGTTTTTAGGCAATCTTAAAACATTTTTGTCAGCGCTTGCTAACGTGTGTATTGTGTCTACATGGTAAAAGCTTCCAGCATACAGATACATGTAGACTTCCCCCAGCATGTCACTGCCAAGGATCAGTAGAAAGATCTAAAATGTAATGGCAGAGCTTTATGGAGTTTTGTCAGATACTGAAGAGGCAGGTACAGTATATGGTTGTCTATATGGTAGAAATAGGAATTCAAATAATCCTTGTTTGCAATACATTTGTTTGTAAGTATGTTATTTGTGAATAAAACATTATTGATCCTACTATCTTACAATCCAACAATTCAAAGCATGCCTTCAGAAAAAAACATGGAATTATTGGACTACATGCAGGGCTAGTTGACATGTGACCTGTCTTGTTAAAATTTAAATTATTATTTTTTTATTATACTTAGAAAGAATAATTTAAATGATATATAAAAACATACACTGGAAACATTGTTCTGAGGTTGTTGATGCTTTGGGAGCATCTCTTCACAGAGCCGCTGCCCACTGATGCTCAGAGAGTTTGTCCGGGGACGATGGGTCACGATGAGCACCTCCTGGGCCCAGTCATCCATGAGCCTCTGCAGGTCCTCACACAGGACGTGCTCTGTCACACTGTATGAGCGCGTCTTGTTATTGCTGTTGTTGGCCTGAGCCAGACCTATGACGGGCTGGTGAGGCGGAGGGGTGGTGCCAGAGGGGGGTGGGTGAGGCTGACTGAAAGCCCCAGGTCCTGCACCAGATCCTGGGGAAGACCGAATAGACATGCATGAACTGAACTGAGATTTTCCATGGAGTCCATTGAGATGTTATTGCTTTGCCTGTAATGTTCCACAGTGCATTTATCTTGCACTTACTCAATAACAGGTGCTTTTATTGCTTAAAAACAACTTGGAAAAACCTGCATTCTGTGAATGGGGTCACATCTGCACTGTTTTAACAGTAACTTGCCCTGGTATCTTCTGTTTGTCTCCATGGAGATAGATTTATTGCTATATTATGGAATATTCCAGGCAAAGATGTAACATCACTATACAGAGGAGAAAAGAAAAGTTACATAGTGCATAGTGTTAATTAAAATGATCAAAATACATACTGGTGCCACGGTCTTTCCCCAAACACAATCGCTTTAGTGTTGTCCCTAGAAACAAAAGTTTATATTTATACTATACAATGTAAATTCCAAGATGTTGAAGAAAATTGCTTCTAAAAGTTTACACCAAAATGTAAAAAAGAAAATATAAATAAGCAATGAAGGTGCAGCGGTTCTCAAGTATAATCATGCTGCTCACACAGGATCAAACAGAAAAAGGTGAGTTTTAAAGTAATGGATCTGTACTTTGTACATATAAATGTTGCCATGCAAATGCTCGGAGCATCTGAGTGTGTTCCAACACAATGCACAATGTTTACAGAGTTATTCAAACCTTACATCAAGGCCAGAGGGTTAATGAACTTTACAGCCACAACTGGTCAAACAAGTATCCAGAAAACCTCACAAATTTTAATTATGTGTAATGTAGCTGAAATTGTCTAAGGTTTGAATAAATAATGACTTCCTCGCAAAAAAGCATTATGTAATATGACAGAAAAAAGCCCAACAACGCTATATCAAATAAGAGATACAAACAGATAGATAAAGACACGGGCCCACTCAGAAATCTAGCGCGAGGCTTGTTACTGGATTTATAAGTCACACTCTCAGTCGGTGGATTAGACCATCCTGCAGAACGATATAATCACAAATGCACCAGAGTGAGATGAGCACATGTCTGAAATATCTAAAATATTAAATGGATGTTCAGGTTTACAGTTCTCTGCAAAGATAAATAATGAATACTGCTATGTCACCTTGTGCCGGGGGAGCGGCGGTGCTACTGTCTCCGTGACGACCAGAGTAAATGTTGTCAGAGGAGAAGGAGCCTTTGAGGGAGCAGGGCTGTTGTGTGTGCACTGGTTCTGTGGTAGATGTGGGCAGATGACTGGTGCAGGAGCGCGGGCGGCCCTGACTCGGGAAGGGCCCTTTGGCCGGAGATCCATTCAAACTCACCACAGTCTCACCTGCTGCAGCAGAAACTGCAGCTGCTGGAATCAGAAACACAAACAGTGAATCAGATGTGCAATGTTCATTAAAGTTACATGAAGGTGAAAAGATACTAACAGGCCTTGCTGGATTCATTGGTCCTGGTTGTGACATTTCTGAACTGTTGAACCAAAGGGCTCAAGAGTTTGCCTGCCTTGAGCCTGTGTTTGCCTGATCTCTTTCTGCGGCCTGCAGGTGGAGCTGTGTGGGAGAGTGCTAAGCCAGAGGGTGGGGCTTTACCAAGGCGTCGATAAAGCAGTTCCACTTCGTCTCTCTGGTGGGCCTGCAATTCTGAAATCTCCCGCAAATGTCTGAAAAGATGGAGGAAGAATAATGGAGAAATTACCAATAAACATAAAGAAGTAATAACACTAGAGACATTTAAACAGACTTTTCCCTGAGCCGTTGCAACTCTCTCTTGATGTCAGAATCCTCCACCTCAGAGTCATTGTCACTGCTGCCATAAGCAGAACCATGCACCCCTCCATGACGTGCTGGAGAGTCCGAGCTCTGTACACTACTACTCCGACCCGAGCGACGCAGGAAGGCCACTGCCCTCTTCATGAGGTCACTTCCTCTCCGCTCAGAGCGATTGTGCTGGGATGGGGTGCAGGGGGGCAGCTTTGCAGGGCTGCTCTCTGCCCCGGAGTCAGAGGACATAAAACGGGCATGAACAGTGACATCCACTGGTACAGAGCTGGAGGCCGGTTGGGACGGCGTGTCCAGGTAGAAGTCCGGTGGTGCAGAGTAGCGACTGCAGCGTGTCCTCTGTGTGAACTCATCCTCTGTGCTCACTACAGAGAAACGGCCAATAGTCGTGGAGGGAGCCAAGACCTCCACCTGCTCCACCATGTACCCCAGAGCCTGAGGAGGAGAGGCCACACTGCTCCAGCTCCTCTGCTTCACATCTCGTCTATTGGCCACTTCAGGCGGGACAGAGATGATCTGAAAATGAACAGAGCTGTCTGTTGATCACAAGCCTTTCCAACACGAAGCAGGCCAACAAAACATAAACACGTGCAACTACAGAAGTATACCTTGAACCGGCCTCTTGTCCCAGAGCAAGAAGCAGAATGAGGGACTTGTCTTCTCGACAGTGAAGCTACAGAACATTTATTGAACACATCATAAGAAACTCTAATGTTAAGGTTTAGATAATAGACTGATGACTTTGTACATACCACACACTGCAGAATCACTGAGTGTGCTCAGACTATCTATTCTCTCAGGGATCTGTGGCTATCGGTGACAAACACAGCAAGTAAATAGATTACAATTTAAAAATCAAAACAATATTAATTCTATTTGTATTATGACTCACAAGCTGTTCGCCTGCCCGATAGCGGCCCTCCCCAATGGGCCCTGGAGTGCTGTTTCCCGACCCTAAGGTGGCGCTGTCCGGACCTGGAGGCGACTGGATGTACTCAGTCCCTGATCCTGGGGTCTCTGCAGCGCTGCCCGATGGATACATAGGAGCGTATTCCTGATAAAGTAAGTTCCTCAACTTCTCATCCAAGGTTTTTATGGTGCTATCTACAAAGCCCCCACGCCCCACTCTGCCCTCTGCGTCAGATTCTGCAGCTCCTGCCCCATGTTGGGAGGATGCTGGACTCTGGGGCAGAGAGGACACTTTTGTCACATTGGAGAAAGGCTGGTGCAGCACCACAGGCTGTTGTGGCCGGTCACGTGCTGCAGATGTGTAAGCCAAAGACAGAGGCTCTTTGGATAGAGTTGGCTCATGCAGAGGCAGAGGGGTGAGAGGGGTCCCTGTCTGAGGGCCACTCACATCCAGAGACAAGACCAGAGGACAGCAAGGCAGCTCCTCTGCTAAAGCAGCAGGATGGGAGAGCTCTGTTAAGGGCTGGACAGTGTTAATGGGGGACATGGAGCCCACAGGAGAGGCCTGGGACTCCTCCAGAGGAAGCGGTGCCTGTGAGACGGAGCTAGCAGCTGACTCTACTGGAGGGACTGACTGTAGAGTGGGAGGGGCAGACACAGGAGGGGACAGAGTGGCTAAGAGCAGGGGGTCTGTGTTGGACATTATTGGAGGACTACAGAAGCCATAGACATCATATGGAAATCCTCCACTTCCACCAGACATTGTGGAAGATGAGCCATCCTCTGCAAGAGTGAAAACACATTTTTATGAAAGCATGCCAAAAACTGCTGCTTTGAAAACGCAGTTGCAGGGCTAGTTGAATGTATAGTATGTTTGTCATTTTCCCATTTCACTATGTAGCCAGAAAATTGTGTTATTGTTTAACACAATGGACAGATATAGTACTGAGCTGGTAGAGTGCTACAGACAGTCACCTCTGAGGTTTGAAGGTTGTCTCACTCCGAAGTCGTCCTGGGCTGGAGCAGAGGTCCCAGGCGACTGCACTGTGGTGGACGTGGTCTCCTGACGGGGGGTCTCCTCTACAGGGCAGATTATGAACCATCGTTTTCCCGTGTGGAGGACTGAAATCACAGCAGTGTGATAATGAAATAGTGATAGAAATCTTTTTTAAAAAATCTTTATTTAGGTATTTTAATAAATGTTAATGAATGAGATACCATTTTGTTGATAGACGGGTTGAAAAGCACCAGTCTGTTGACTCTACAACATTTAAACAGTCATGTGTTAAGAAATATAAAAATGTAGTGTATCTTTATGTATTTTCATTTCTTCTCCTATACCTCTCCAAGCTGACTGTCTGAGGTCTGGCCATGCTTGGGACTACAGCTTAGTACGGCCACTTTCTCCCCCTCCATGTTTTCATGTAGCATATCTTCAGCTTTATCCACTATGTCCTTCAGCTGGTCAATAAAGATCTCCTTCTCTATCAGTAAGATGAAACCATTTTCTACCTGAAAACCAATAAATATAAACAACTTTTTTTAAACATATTTTTTTTCTCAAGAGAAATCAGAAAAAGACAGAAATGAGTGTAACTAAATTAACCATGTAAGTGGCTATTTCTTCAGGAGCATCTCCATCCAGGTCAAATTTAAAAGTCACCATTTTGTGGTTGTGAGTTTCAAGCTGGCATTCAACCATTTTATCACCTGTGTTTGAAACCTGTGGGTATAATGACAACAGGGAAAATAAGATACAATGTTTAGTTTTTTTTAAAATCCAAAAATATATCAATGTATCATGTATCTACAGTGGCTCACATTGAGCATGCTCAATTTAGGTTTGCTGGTCTTCTCTTGGCGTGACCGTGTTCGTGCAGATTTGCGGTGTTTTTTATGCTTTCCATCTCCCTTTCCCACACTGGCAAAACTATCATAGCCATCGCTGTATTCTTTACCAGATGCTGCATCAGAATTGACACTATAAAAAAGTCAAACAAATGTTGAACTTATTTTCAACCCATTCCAGTGGTTCTTTTTTCAGTTTCATGACTGAAGTTCAGATGTTATCCACCTGTCAAAGCAGTAGTTTGGTAATGATGTTGGTTTCTCCTTTAGCAGATCCTGTGAAAATAATGAAAAATATGAAATAAAGTGAAATAAAGTGTAAAAAGGTGATCCTGTTTTGTATTTGCCATTATGTAAAATGTTAATATTGTTTAACTGACAATTAAATGTAATTTTGGCTTCACCTGTATCTCTAAATAGTGATCTTGTTGTAAGGTGCTAGATGCAGATGTAGCCTCTGTGTTTTGCTGAGTTGGGGGCAGGCTGGCACACTCGGGCAGGGACACAGTGCTAAGGATGCCAGCAGACTGCAGAGCTGCCATCTGAGGAGTGGCTGCAGTTTGTGCTTGTGCCAACGCAGCAGCAGCAACCGGGGACGCCCCTGGGATGGATGGTGCTGAGGTCAGAGGTATCACTGGGTCTGCAGGGGGGCTGCTCTGATGCTTCATTTGGACAGAGACAACTGAAGTATGGGGGCCTGCAGTTTGACACACCGCAGCAGGGGGAGGCAACTTTGGTGGGGAGCATAAACCTTGAGAATGTAATGGTAGTGGGGTTTCTGCTGAGACTGAGTCAGGAACTGCGCCTGGACCTATTTTCTGAGCAGCTGCAGCGGTTTCTTTATCCTCACTTCCCACGAGAGCAGACTGAGCAGGTGGAATGACAGAGGGGGCCGGAGCTGGGAGATGATCTCCCAGATTATTCAAAGGAGTGATCACGTGTACCTGAAAGTGCAGAACAAACATTTATAGGAAAATATATTTTTTAATGATTATAATCAACATTAATTTAACAATTCAATCTTTTTTCAAAAACTATATATATAATAACTATATATTTTTTATGCTAACAAATATGTATCCACAAATCTCAGCAGTTCACATTTGAGTTTAAAACCAAAGTCCATATCACAAGATATAAAAGCTGTAGATTGTTGGGCCAATTTCCAATCTAGTTAATATCAAAATTCTTTAAAAATCAATAATTGTCTCAGAATATCTTACTCCTCAACCAGTAACTGAGAACTATGTCAAATATTCACCTGGACAGGCTGCCCAGTCAGGAGTTGCTCATGGTACTTAGCAGGGTAAGGGGTGGGTTGAACCTGGGAGAAAGGCAAGAAGTGAGGGGGATGGATGTCACATGGGCTTGTGTGGGATCCAGGGCAGTTCTGCTGCGGGGACACAGCAGCCAGCATGGTGGGGGCAAGCAGTGGACTAGACAGTGTGACAGAAGGGACATGCAGTGCAGTGTGGGATGACAGAGGGGTGAGGGTGGAGGGATGGAGGGGTGTGTTTAGAGGGAGAGTGAGATGGGCTGTGGGGGAACTGGGCAGGACAGATCCACTGCTTGGATGGGTGGATGACAGATTAGAGAGCAAAGAGGGCTGAACCCCAGTGTTTGTGCCTGGGTATGGTGAAGAAAACTGGGAAAGAAAAGGGGAAAATGATACAAAATGAAAAAGACAACTAGTCGACGCACACAACATTCATAAGCCCTGAGCATAGAGGTTATTTCAGCTTTACGTGTGGATGCTACAGCACATACCTGTGTGTTGATCTGCAGTGGCAGCACAGGCACTGAATGTGGGAGGTTAGCAGACATATCTGGGGGACTTGGGTAAGAGGAGGGCACATCACCAGATACCTGCTAAGAAAGTCATTCATATAAATCCAAAGATGCATGACTTGTCAGGTAGAAATGTTTGCAAAGTGTTGTATCTGGGCTGTGGCACAGGCTGGGGGTGATCATGTTTCTGTAAAAATCCACAGTGGAAAAGAGTAGATCATTTCACTCTTGCTCTCATCTAAGTTTGTTGCTGTACCTGTTCAAGTTGACAAGAGAGCTGGGTCTGTGGAGGAGTGGGAACTGATGAAGAAGAAAGGTTTTGGGCTGTTGGAGGTGCCTCTGGAGCAGAAACTGTCTAATGAAAACAATACAAAAAGGTACATTAATACTGTTAGATGTAAAATGCAACATATAGCAGCATAATACATATCACATTTAATGAATGACTGTAAGCCACTGCTGCTGTTGAAAGCAAAAAGTCTAAATATGCTACATGCTCAGCCTGGCTAGCAATACTGCAGGGCAGAGGTATGTCTTGTTCTCGTACCAATGAACCTGGTCTGTCTTCATTTTCAAGTGGAAACACAGGATTCCTGCACAGATTTGAGGGCAATGGCAAAGGAAGATCCATGTCCTGACTGCTGTCATCAAACAGTGAAATAGGAACTGTTTGTTGGCATGGCGACCAAGTAGCTTGGAGAGTGGGAGAACTGGTCCTGCGCCCCACAATGTGATGGAGACAGTGATCCAGTAAAGTAAGATCTTTACCTTCAAGCAAATGCTTTGACTGTTGCTGTAAGGTTGGAAAGGAGCCCACAAAATTTATGCTCTTAGAGAGTGCAGAGTTAGCTAAGGTCTTTGGGGTTGGAGGTGTCAGAAGAGGAGACATGGGACCCCCAGTACAGGCAGCAGAGCTCTGTGAATGAGTGTGTCCCACAAACCGCCCTGCTTTAGCTCTCTCTTTGAGGAGGAACATGCAAGCCTTGCAGTGGTGCTGTGACTGTGAACTCAGGGACTGTAAATCCAAAGGTCGAATAAGAGAACTTGAGCAGCTGGATGCTGACTCACGTTGTGGTTGAATAGGGGACATGTGGATAGGAGATAGTAATGGGTGATTGTTAAATATTGGTTTGTATAAAAGTCTATAAGAGTCTTTTTCATCAGGATCCATCAAACTTCCTCCCTGGTTCAAATGTACTTTTTTACAGTGCATTCTGCAGTGGCCCATCTCTACCAGGGGGGTGCTCCCTCGCCTGGAAGATTGTCTAATACTTTGAGTGAGGAGTGGGTTGTCATGGCAAAGTAACAGATTTTTGCTGTACCACTAAGACAATTAAATATAAAAATATGTTAATTGTTATACAAAAAAGGAAAACATTAGAACTGATACACTTACAGTTTGATGAATGTAAGGCTCCTGGATGTTTGCAGCTGGCCCAGGATGTGGATGCACTGTGCCGGGCTGTGGGCCTCCCTGCTGTACCTGTATGGGAGGTGCAGAGTAGGTCTCCTTTGAGGCCTGTGCTGCTGTTTGCTGGTGGGACCCCTGCAGCAGTCGGGGGTCAGCCTGTGAAGGAGGGCTGGAAATCTGAGTGGAGGACTCTGGCAGAGACTGAAAGGGTACATTTTGTTGGGTCTGGTGCTCATCTGATTGGATGGTGGAGCTCACTCCAGTGTCGGCTGTAATAACAGAAGAAAACATAACTCATGACAATGTCCTCTGCTGAAAGGACACACTCAAAAGGAGGAGGAGGGTGGAGCAGCGCTTCATTGAAATGCACAGGCGACGATTGATGATTTATCATTGCTGACTGAAGCTATAATACAGACACTGCAGTTACTGTGATTTTTCAATATTTTATTTACACTATCCACTACGGAAATGTTTATAATATGTGTGCATTTATAAGAGTCATACATGTAGCAGGTGCAATGGTGGGCACACTGCAGACCAGTGTCTGTGGCTCTGTTTCCTGCTCCTCACAGTCTGGGGCCAGAGGGGGAACAGCTCCAGGGACCTGCAGCCGGTTTGACTGAGGCTTCTTCACTGCTTCTCCATTTGTCACAGTGACTCTGCGCTCTCTCCTCCATTTGATCAGAGCCACTCGGTCACGAATGGACTTGCTCACAATCTTCACGTCACAGTCCAGAAAGAATCCAGAGTCGACCTATGAGAGAAGTGTTTAAACAATCAGTTTACCTCCACAAAGGGCTCCTATTTCAATCAATACAGTAACTGTACCACTCTCTATCTTAGACCATTGATCAGTATGAGATTACGTGCTATAAAACACAGCATACAATAGCAACATCAGCTACTGAAAATTGTACATGTCATGTCATTACATTTTTTCATAGACTATTAAAATGCTGGTGGTCTAATAACCTCAATAAAAGTCTTGATTAAAGGCAAAAAGATTGAACTGGAAATATGTACAATTTCAGTGTGGACTCTTTCTTTTACCATTTCTTGAGCAACCACTTCAGGGACCTCGTTCACCAGATCAAAGGTAAACTCAATGGCTCCAGTGTCCTTGTACTTCCCCTTCAGCTTTTTGGCATCTTCCACCCATAGCTTCAGAGCAATAGTCATCTTCTCCCCATCATCCTCCTCATTGAGCTCCACCCTCACGCCTGTGTCCTCAGCGAAGAAAGCATGGTTTAAAAGGTCTTTAATTGAGTACCTGCAGGAGTCACAGGAACTATATCAAGTGATAGAAGTTGTGCATAGCCATGTGAATGGTAACAGTAATGGTGAATAGTGTCTGCAATATAAAAAAAAAAAATCTACAGTGACAATAGCATAGCATTGTTTTATTCTGTATACACCCTGTTGACCAGTTTAGACCTCTACAAACATGGTTTGAAATGGTTGTAATTCTTGGTTGATGAATTAAATAGATATATTACATATACATATAGATACATATTAGAGCTGGGCTATCAGTTGTGAAATTTAAAACACTGTGAAATAATTAGACAAAACTGCCACTGATTTTCCTATCAGTTGTAAAGGGAGACAGACAGAAACTATGAGATATGATGTGAGGAGTAAAAGCATATCATTGCCCTTGTTCATACTTCAGTTTTTTCTCAAATTCTAATGGGCGAGTTTAAAAAGTGCACTCAGAACTAAGTATTATTGGCATACTACTCTTACTCACCTTTCTTCCCATTTATGACAGATACACTCCCCTATGATCTCCTTTATCTCTGGGTCGCTCACTTTGCTGTAGCTGGCTGGTTTTACCCCCTACCATCAAATACAGAACATACTTACTAGAAAAAGCATGTGTATAGACTTTTTGTATACTGAAAGCAGGGCTACCCACACTGGTGACTTTGCGGTAGATCTGGGCAGCATTCTGACATTCGGAGTAGGGGTATTCAGAAGTGGCCATTTCTAACATGCACATCCCAAAAGCATAAACATCGACAGCCTCGTCATAGTGTTCCTCGTACATCTCCGGGGCCATGAACTCAGGAGTGCCTGGATCATTCAATTAGAACAAAAACAAATGATCAAACCACTGGCTCTTAGGTATAAGTTTTCATCCTTCGGAGAAGTTACACAATCAATAAGTGTCATGGTCGAAAATTCTCATTTATTTAGAATTTAGACTAGACTCATATATAATGTCCTATTTAAGATACAGAGCTAAATAAGCCTTCTGTGTTTAGTCTCTAATATATTAAGAACATAGAACATATGTTCAAACTACTAGAATCATTTTACGTCCAGACATTTAAACATCGTATGCTTGTATCTTAATAACCGTAAATGACAAACCAATGACACTTTTAGCAAATGAAGCCCTCTTGAGTGTGGCAAGACCCAAATCTCCGATCTTGACCGACCCGGTTGGGCCAGTGATGAAGATGTTGTCACATTTAAGGTCTCTGTGGATGATGGGGGGAGTCCTAGTGTGGAGGAAGTGAAGCCCCTTCAGGATCTGCCTGCACCAGCTCCGTAGAACTTTGGGCTTCATGACCTTGAAGCGCTTTAGATACCTGACGAATAACAAAAATACTACATAAACTCTTTATTTATTTGTTGTCACCCAGAATGGTCATTGTGTTTCATTTGTGATTTCATTTTATGCAATAAGCACTACTTCATTACTATTGTTAGTAACAGCTTTAATCAATTTTAGTTATTTGTGTATCTGTCAGTCTTGAGAGAATCAATAAATCTATTTATCTATCAACATTTGCTGACTAGTCAAATGTGGTCCTTCGCAGGAAATTAGTACTTGTAATACAGTCATAACCATATTCTGAATTTAACCAAATTATTGATACGCAAATTAATTTGTTGTAAAATAATTCAGCCTAGATTAGACGTGAAATTAGAGGTTTAGAACTGTACTGAACTCACGTTTTGAGTGTCCCTGATGTCATCAGCTCTGTCACTAGTACAATGCACTTCTTTCCTTTCAGCTGTGTTTCCCAGAAGTCATAGAAGCGCACTATATTTGGATGTTGCAGGGCCTTCAACATCTCAGCTTCTTCTTTGAACCTCTGCCGCTCGACTTTGGACAGTTTCCGTTCCTTATGAAGAAAAAAAATGTGTTTAAGGAGCAATGTTATACTGTCTTGGTTTCAGTCTACTTTTTTTTTTTTTTTTTTTTAAGTTTAGTTATTTTTGTCCTGGTATAGTCTTGTTTAATTTCAAATAAATAAATGTATGAGTTTGTACATACATTAAATAAATATTTTCTGTTGTAGGAAATTGGGGAAGAACTTAAGAATAAAATAGTCTGCAGTTATTTTCCTTGCCATGCCAATAAACAAAATCTCTGTTTGCTTCTTGCGTTGTTCATCTGCCCTATGGCTCTTATTTTGACTTCATACAGACCTGGCATTTTGGCTATGTAAACATGGGGGTCTGCCGAACTAATTAAGCTGTCACCACACACAACAACAAAACACCTCTGAGCTAATACCTGTGTTTCCATGTCCCGTCAAGTAAAATGCAATCTACATTGACAAGGCAATAAATGAGTAATTGCAGATAAACAGTGAAAATTATGTTTATGCCTGAAATACAAAACCAAATTATGTAATCAAACTTAAGGTGGCAAGGGAGACTTCTTATATTACTACAGACATGCAAAACTGATTGTGCACACTGGATCCATATTTTTCTGCATGCATCTATAAATATAAACAACAAAGCTAGCAATAAGCAATAATTACATATTTTTATAAAACTACTATATACTAACACACTCACAAAAATGTGATGCCTAATTACCTTTAATAAAGCATGAAGAAAGAATAAATTTGTGATGAACAGTTTGTTAAGAATGATTTATGCTTAACTACTTCATTAATATCCTAACTCCTAACCTGAATCCCTTAATTAAGGTGTAATTATTATTATTAAGTGTAAACCACATTAGGTTCAGTTTGCAGACAAAAATTACATAATGGGAATGATGAGTTCAAATGTCTAGAACCAGGGAATATCCTGTGTCCGTATTGATTATGGATTATTGCTAAAGTTTCCAGTTTCATTGTCAGAGTTGATGCAGCACTTTGTCTTACCCGCACTGGAATAGTCTCTCGTTTTAGGTCCTTTTGTTTATTAGAATTGTTTAAGTTTGTGGGCTGGTTACTGAGACTAGTGAAAGAAGATCCAAACAGGGTGTGGCTCGTACACCACTGCACCTCAGTCTTTCTTTAAACACACTTGTTTTGAATAATGGACGCACAATGCTGCCGACACTATAAATACTAACACACTTTGCTGCGTATTGGACAGTACATTTTAGAGCTCTGTCCCAACCTGAACCTCCCCTCTCTCTCCTCACCGCTCTGCTGCAGAGAGCTACATCAGCATAAAACAGCCTCTACACTTCTCTGTGTGACAGAAGGAAAATATGTTTAGTAATCATAACAAACCCATTAAACAAGACAAATATTGTGAAACTCTGCCAGATACTACTCACACTGTTAACAGGCACTTTGCACTTGTCTCACTTTTCTATATGATAATATATCATCAAAATATACCAAGTAAATACTGGGTTGTTCTAAAGTGCCTTGCAAGATTTAGTCCATCTGTAAAACAATGTGTTAATGAAGCGGTTTGATTCATTGTTTGCTTTGGCAAAAAGATACAAGGATCAATGCATGAGGAGGTTACGGTTATTAACATACTTAAATGTTTACACGTGTGCTTCAGTGTATATAGTCTACAAACATGTAATAATAACATAACAAATAATATATTCCCTTCTTATTTAATACATGGTTTTTAATTAGCTATGTTAATGCATATGTTTAATATTGTTTTTTCTTCTGTTTCTGTTTTGCTATAAATGAACACATATCCTACTTGCTCTCCTTTTGCTCAGATTTGTATATTAAGCTAATTATATATCTAAAGTTATATTATTAATACTTATTTGTTCTTGGTCATATCTTAAAGGGTACCCAGAGCTTCAGGTCTGTAATTCTACTGGCTAATCTGTACTGCACATATGCCTACTCTGATCATAAACTGATCATTAGATTACAACACAGATTAGTGATGCAGCAGTCTGCAGTCTGAAGCAACTCAAAATCCACAACTGACACCCTTCAGTAATTCTCTCTTAAGTCATACCATAGGTATGTTAGCTGCCTTATTAGACTGGACCAAAATCCTGGTATAGTCTCAGTGGACTAGACTTTCTCTTCAGAGGGCATAAATAAACCATGCGAAGGTTAGGTGAGGCTAAGTAACGGTACGTTGGCTGTGACTTAAAGTACAGTTCTGTGATAAAGGCATCCAGCTTGCATCACTTCATCTGCAGCCTTGAATAGCCTCATATGGACTACAGCACACATAAATAAGAACTATTAAATGTTTGTACTTAGAGATGATACAATGATGCTGTGCACTGAAAACACATGTGACGGATGAATTGCACCATATTATGTATGTTATCATGTATCATTTATGCATTCATTTGGATTTATTATGGCAGGGATGGTAAAAACCCACCTGCAGCTCACACCAGGCCACCTCCACCCATGTGTCGGTGTCCAGACCTTTATAGACCGTCTTGAAGGAGCCCCTTCCCAGCTCTATGTCAAACTTGAGGAACCGTCCCCCAGGTGAAGTGGACACTGCTTTCATCCCGGGTTCCTCTTCATTCTCGTCACTTCCGGCCTTCCCTGTCACATCCAAAGCCGCGCTGTCACTTTTGGGCTCCGGCACGCGACTTTCCCCCTTGTCCTCATCTGCGCTGGCACTCTCTGTGTCATTGTCCTTCAGTGCTACGTGGCTCTCTGTGTTTGAAGTCTCCTGGTTGCGGGTTCGACTCCGGCCCACGATGGCGCGCAGGTCTATAGTGGGCACAGAGCTGGTGTTGGGAAAGTCCTGGGGGTCCAAGGGCTGCTCCTCAGAATCGGACATCCACATTGTCCTGCGGATGAACCTCTGCCGGACCAGCCCCCGGTAGTCTGTGGAGGAGTCACTCGCTCCACGCACGGCTTCGTTTTGTATGTTGACATTGTGATCCGTCCCGTTCACGTACACGAGCCTGCGTGTATTTCCAGTGCTGCCCGTGTCTAAATTAGGCTCAGATGAGAACGTGGACCCCCGTGGCGGTTTTAGGCTTGAATCCTCCGCCGAATTCATCCCCGTTAATTATTCAGCCCTCACCAGCGACATTGCGTAATGACAACAGCTCTCCCGGACTCCAAGAGTTTGCTGCCTACCTGCAACATTCACAATGACGCAGTTGATGAGCGCGTGTAGCCCTAGGTCTTCAATATCCTACGTTTAGGGCAATGGGGGTCTGTCTCACCGTGCCGCGTGCTCCGGGCCGCCTCACGCCGTGGTCCTCCTCCTGCTCCTTGCAGCAGAGTTGACAGCGCAGACCTATTCTTGTCGAATCCGGCTTCATTGCCTTTTTACCCTGTGACCTCATCCGATAAACCCAAAACGCACTGCATCATGCTCGTATGTTATAGGTTACACTCATGTCCATGAAACTGTTACTGATTTAAAGAGACATTATTCCCAAAGTCTTCACCATCTGTGATAAAAGAGACGCAAGTTGGAATCACGAGTGAAAATCCGACTCATCTCCAGGAAGTGTGACCTCAGCATCCTCGCGTTGCTCCCGTAAAACTCCACAATGTCCAGAGGCTGCACTGAGCTGATTCTTCTGCTTTTCACTGCGGCATGAAGTCTTTCACAGTCTTTCACAATTCCCCTCCTCCGTCCGTAGTTTTCGAAAATCTCACCTGTTTCGGCTTTGGAAAAGTGAAGGTTTGACGCACCAGCCCACGCCCCTAGCAACAACGCGTATCCAATGAGTCTGCACGTTTTTAGGCGGCACCCAGAGCCTGCCTCACATCACATGCAGCGTAGACCACACCGCTGTCCGTCCTTCGCGTAACGAGATAAGCCTCCAATAAGATACTGGCACTGCAAGGAATTATGGTCCATCGGAGCATTTCTTAATGATGCGCAATGAGTCAGGTAGAGCTGGTAGGCCTGGATAGCACAAGGAGAATAAATTAATGCTTATATATCACTATTGTAGTTATTGGAATCCAGTTTAGATCCTGAAATAGTTTTGAAAGATGCCTTGCTTATGCGTCAAGACAGTGCAGGGAAAATGTTTGGAGAACAATAACCATGCAGTTCGCAGGTGGAGTAGCCTAGTTATCAGCATGTATAATACTCACCCACTAGATGGCGTCAAAGTCCGGCTCTTCTCCAAGTGAAACGTCTGCTCTTTGCACCAAATGATTTTATCTATTCCAAATTTCTGGATTTGACTTATGGCAATGGCAACAAATACAAATGCAAGTAATGTAGTAAAGACAAAGATTAGAGATTAAATTACTACTTTATAGCATTTACCATTATAGGAAAGATTACAGGACATGTTGTTTTTAAATTGGTATTTTTGTAGAGTTGAATTGTTAGTTTAATATTATATAGACCTAACTTTGCATAGGTCTATTCTAATGAAAAAAAAGTTTCTTAGTTGCATCATGCATCATTTACAATGTAAAATAGCCGATCATAAAAATAGTATTTATAACAAGTGAACTTTAGTTTATGGTGTCATTAACATGAGCACCTGTTCCTAGGGAAACGAGAGAATAGCAACCAGTCAATGCAAGTGTTGGTGCTTTGGGGGAGTGTTTACAATAGCCCTGAATCTAAATGTTTAATTACTGTCTGGTCAGCCCTTTGACTTTTGTGACCTCACGGAGCAGCCCTCTCTTTGGTTCACTCTTGAACTGGGCTCTGTCTATCCAAATAGACCAATGTGCGCTTAACATTTTCATTAATCTTTCACTAAACTCTTTGGTGTATTTATGAATGACAGTTTAGGTCTTTGAAAGTTGTCGGTCACAATACAGCCACTAGGGGCACCAAAGAGCCTGATCTAATATCGCTGTTTTAATCCTGGAAAGAAATGTAGCCTAATTATAGTGTTATAGCATATATCTGCTATGGGTAAAAAAAAAATTTATTGCACAACCTAAACGAAAGGTACTCAACCCAAGTCATTTGTGGAATACCCTAGTAATTTCCGTAACATGACCTACTTCCACTACAGCAGCCCCCCACCCTCGTGTTTGGAGGGAGGACTGATGGACGCGTCACAACCGGCGCTTGTATACACTGAGACCGCCTGTCTGTGCCCACCGCCCGGACGACCACCGTGTGAAGGCTGCTAGGATCTGAGGGCTTCATGAGAGCACTATCCCCGTCGTTCAAACTATCTATTACTGAGCAGAAATGGCGACGGATCATATGGAAATGAACGGTGATGCTGATCCAAACGGCGAAGTTGAGGTAATAGGCTACAGGCTGGACAAATTCTTTGTTAAGCCTTTAACCAACTAATGATGGCAGTTTAGGGACCAAGGGCAATGACCGTAAATTCGCCATGAATGGTCCGCCACATAGCCTATTTCACTGAATTCAGGATTTTGTTTCGCCATCCTTAAGCCAAACATCTAAATATTTTTTACACGGGCTAATTTAGTCTACGAGATGCAGACCAAATTTGACGTCTGTTGCCATCTAGTTTCGACTTTGGGGTTATCGTAGTTCTGGGGAAAATTTGAAAGTTTCCCGGGGTAAAGAGTAACTGCAGTTTCCCCTGTCCCTTGGCGCTGTTTGGGGAGGTTCAGTTTACACATAATGATAGACAATAGCGAGCCATGTGGGCGCTGGAGCAGGTTACAATCTAAGGAGGAATTCGGGTAGCCCAGGTGGGTCGTCCATCAACGCAGTGGCATTATAGGTGCAGAGAGAAAGGGACACTTTGTTACATTGTAATTCATCATTGTCTGAAAAGAAAAAAAAAAAGATCTGCAAATATTGGCGTATTTTTAAAAGTTCTATATTACGCAGAATTGACTTAAGCCGTGTTAGAATTTTGTTACTCTACATCTCCAAAATTCAAAATGCTCTTTTCCACCTTATCACATGACATCACAAGGTGGAACAGAGTGTTTTTAGTTGGAGAGAAGAACTTTGAATGAAACTCCAGGTATGTTTGGTGAGGAAACAGCATTATAACATGGATCAGAAAATAGCGCCCTTTAAGGTACTTCATGGGATTGCTTGAAATTGCAAGACCTGCTAAATCAGTTTTTGCCCTCCTTAATACTTGGCTTTCAATCCTGCCACTGCAGATATCTTATGGGCAAACATTCTCCTGGTACCCGTAGACATACACAGTTACTTTGCCTGATGCCTACATTAGAGTAGCGTATTTAGAGTATGGAGTATTATTGTGTGATTTATTCACCCCAAAAAGCAAGGACTCCCAGACTTCCTTCACCCCAGACACGTTCTCCAGCTCCTCCGGGGGGACCGCGAGGCGTTCCCAGGCCAGCCGAGAGACATAGTCCCTCTAGCGTGTCCTGGGTCTTCCCTGGGGCCTCCTCCCGGTGGGACATGCCCGGAACACCTCCCGAGGGAGGCGCCCAGGAGGCATCCAGAACAGATGCCCGAGCCACCTCAACTGGCTCCTCTCTACATGGAGGAGCAGCGGCTCTACTCCGAGCTCCGCCCGTGTGACTGAGCTCCTCACCTTATCTCTAAGGGAGCACCCAGCCACCCTGTGAGGGAAACTAATTTTGACCGCTTGTATCTGCGATCTTGTCCTTTTGGTCATTACCCAGAGCTCATGATCATAGGTGAGGGTAAGAAAGTAGATTGACCAGTAAATCGAGAACTTCGCCTTTCGGCTCAGCTCCCTCTTCACCACCGATACAGCGACCACATTACTGCCGATGCTGCACCCATCCGCCTGTCAATTTCACGCTCCATCCTCCCCTCACTCGTGAACAAGACCCCGAAATACACAAACTCCTCCACTTGAGGCAGGGGCTGTCCACCCACCCGGAGAGGGCAAGCCACCTTTTTCCAGTCAAGAAGCATGGCCTCGGATTTGGAGGAGCTGATCTTCATCCCAATCGCTTCACACTCGGCTGCAAACCGCCCCAGTGCACAATGCAGGTCCTGAATTGATGAAGCCAACAGGACAACATCATCTGCGAACAGCAAAGACAAGATCCTGTGGTCCCCAAACTGGACCCCCTCCGGTCCCTGACTGCGCCTAGAAATTCTGTTCATAAATACAATGAACAGAAACGGTGACAAAGGGCAGCCCTGGTTACCGGTTCTGTTCATTGTATTGTATTATCATTAACCTAATTTTGTATAGGTATGTCTGTGTGGAATTTGGGAATATTCATGCTATGAAATTCTTTAAATTCCAGTCTATAATCTCTTTGAGTGGCTATGGCAGAAAACAAAGTACTGCCCACACAGATGACTTACAGACTTATTACCTTTATTCTAATTTAGGGCAAGCTATGTATTAAAATATCTCTTTGGTCACTGTGGAGTAGAAGGAGCTATTTAGAGTTTTTTCCTCTTGCATTTTGACCAGGTTTGTGCTGAGTATGCAAAGTTGCTAACCTGGGCATAAAGGAGTCATTCAAAAGACACGCTGAATTCTACTGTAAATATTATACATGTGTCAGCAGTGGCATGGTCACCTGGGCATATTGCCATAGTTACAGCCTAGGACTCAATGACAAATTGGCAAATGACTGTTTACTCTGTTTGAACAATAGGCCAATTTAAACATATCTCTACATAAGTAAAAATTACAGTATTTTGTCTTATCACACCATCAAGATTCCTAAAACTGCAATTGTATTATTACCCATTAAGCAATCTATTTAGTAACGTATTGGTATTGGTGTATTGGTGTTGCTGGCAAGTTTTAAAGAATTTCCCCTTGGGAATGCATAAAAACAAACTCTGACTCATTTTTTCCTATGTATGCATTTGGATGAGGTTACTTCTGCATATGTCTTAGTTATGACCCAGTGGCCCAACACTTAAATGACAGGAAGAGGCTTGGCAAAGACTAAAATGAGCTAGTGACCTCTGGAGACTTCCTGTTTTTCAATGTTATGGTTTCACTTGTAATATTCCCAGCTGAAACAACTTTTTGTTTTGTTTTTCACTTCTTCTATCACATCCTCTTGTAAATATTTCTTAAGCAAGGCCAAAGAAGGAAAAAAACAGATTTTTGTAACATTTCACAGATGTGATATATCACAGATATTATTGCCACCAGTTTAAGCACCAGGTGAAAATACGTGATATGTTTTGTGATTTTGTACAACCATTGTTTATTACAGAGAAGCCCCTTAAATGTGGCAGTTTTGGCTATACTCTAGATTAGCCATTAAAAGTTAGTTGTCATTAAACATTCATACATTCCTTTATAACTACAGTGTAAGTGATGTGGCCCACTTTTAGACCAAGATCTTTTTAGATGGTAACTGATACTGAAAAGGTTGAGAGCTGTTCTAATATACCCTACACCCTATTAGTGGTAGGTATTAGTGGTATTAGCTGGTAGTTGAAATAATCATTCAGTTTGTGGTACAAGCATCAATTTTGGAGTGGAGATAGATAATAGCATGGTCTTTATGAAAAGCCCGTTAGCCACCAAAAATATCCAAGATGGCGGCCATTTTTCAAGACGGCGGTCATAGTATATATGTGTAAAAACCATATATAACTATATATGTATAAATGTCAAAGCATAGTTTTTTTTATTTAAATAATTATTTCTATTTTGAGTGAAATTATTCATCAAATCGTTTTTGATGGTTATTTATCACCTTTCATTATATTTATAATATCTACAAATAAATGTCATTAAATAATAACACACAGTAGAAATAAATCTCATGGACAAATCTTATTTAAACCTACCTGAAGAAATATTAAATATATGTAGTACCAATGTGCTAAAATATGTTTTTGTTAGAATATATATGTGTTTATTCTAGAAATGGTTGGGGTCATAGCACAACCAGGGCATACTGGTGACTCTGCTGCTGTGAAACTCAGCATGGGGTTCAGTGTCGGCTATGTAGTGTTACTAACACTGTAATATTTAATGTAGTGAATGTAGCATAATGTAGTGTCCCAAATGCTATCTAATTAGCCCTGTAAATACACCAGCTCGTAGTTTTAGTATTAGCTATACTAATATTACTTGTAGTATTAAAGTTAGATAGCCGTACCTGAATTGACAGGATATACCAGATTGAATGATGGTAGTGGCATTGAAGAAACGCTAATAAAAAATCACCAAAGCTGCAGATTATTGTTCAGTAAAAGTAAACTTGAATGGGCAAACAAAAGAGCAGCTTGTGATACATTAGACTCAGACGACGAACATTCAGAAATTAGAAGAACTGTGCAGAAGCCCCAGCAATGTTTTTTATGTGATAAGATAGAACCAGCTTCTGAACTAAGACAAGCATCAACAATGCAGTGAAATGATAGGCTGAATGAATGTACCAAAAATCTTAATGATGGCAAACTTTTTTCGATAGTTCTTAAGCACATACAGCACTATGAATGGTTCTATTTTAATGGTTCTATTTCTGAAATTAACCTGTGTCAATATGTTGCATTGTATTTAAATTTTGCTCATGTTTTTATTTCTACTTCCCAAATACCTGACATTGCATTACTGTATATATATATGTTTGCAAATTTGTGATTTATTCCATTAATTTTGATTAAGAACATGATGACTTATTGTCTTTTAGCTCATACTTATGTGAAATCAGTTGTTTGGTCAGCCATCTTGAAAAATGGCCACCATGTTGAATATTTCAGGTGGCTAACGGGTTTTTCTAAAAGAGCATGATGTTAGCTAAATATATGAGAAATTTGGTGCTTGTACCACTAACTGAACGATTCTTGTGGTTTGGAGACCTAATCTGCTCCACTAATCATGTGTGTCCTCTTTTCTCCATATTTGGTGTAGGTTCCTTTGAGGGGCCGTGGTAAGAGGATGCAGGGGCCTCTAAACATGAACCATTACGCCAATAAGAAAAGCGCGGCAGAGAGCATGCTGGACGTGGCGCTGCTAATGGCGAATGCGTCACAACTCAAAGCTGTGATGGAGCAGGGTCCAGATTTCACCTTCTACGCAGTCCTTATAGCTCTGATCAGCATCTCCCTCATCCTGCAGATATTGGTGGGCATAGTGCTAATCTTTATAGGTGAGTATTTAGACACTCACCTGCTTTCACAAGCACCATGTTACACCAATCAGATGTTACCCCTTAAGCAAGATTATCATAGTAAGCCTATAGACCTTTAAAATGAGTTGCAAAAAATAAATAGTATAATGCAAGTAGGCTGTAAACAATGGATCTCAAATGTCATTTACTTGACTCAAACAATAAGGTAAGACAAAAAACATTTTCAGTAGTCCAAATAAAGAATTCAGTAAATACTGTGCTAACAAAAATGTCACCTATTTAATGAAACTATAATTCTATATAATTATAATGACAAGAACAAGGCAAATATCTTTAGTCTAGAACCACTAAAACCCTGCAATGTGTAGTGCACTAGTTCATGGTGTTTCTTGATGTGAAAATGTCTATGCTGCTTTCTAAGAAAACAGTATAGTTTCCTCCCCCAGAGTGATGCAGTCAAACTCCACTGTCATGACATTATCTTGTGTGAACAGAGAGCCCTGTTGTGATAGACAGATGCCTACAGAAAGCTTAAACAGAGAAACACAACTCAGCTGGTTCCCATTTAATACTAAACTAGTGGGAACACATTATGTCACTCACATGCTGTTAGGGTGTGTACTCAATATTTATTTCTTTTGAAAAAGATCATATGGCTTGAGAGGTAATGGCACTAGAGTGAAAATGTAAGCTGGAGTTTCTTTAATTTTATCATAAAATATAGAAAATACTAAAATCTTAACACAAAGCCGAGAGAAATCAGTATGAGGAAAATTGCTATCCCTATGTAAACACTACAAGTCTTGTGCATCTTCAAGATGTGTGCAGCATGTTACTGTTAAACTAAACATTAAAGACTAAAGTGAACATGATTTAATAAACCAATGAACTTCCTTAAGTCGTGTACACATACAAAGCATCAAATCGTGCCTCCCGTGGCCAACAAGCCACTGAAATATTCACTTGAAGCCATGAATCCATCAAGTTGCCCCCCATGAAATGCACACCTACACAAAAACTGTCAATCGTTTGTGCTTCATTTGTGCTGCTATGTGCTGCAAAATTTTTAGTTTGTGCTGCTTTAGTTTTGGAGATATTAATGATTCTTTTATAGATCAAATCGTTTTAGAGCATTTTTAAGCTTCTTGGGGGGGCTAACATGGGAATCGTTCGCGCAATTCACATGTGACGCGTCCAGTGTGAAAGTACCGAATGGCTGTAGATTTCCAAACCCTCTTAGAAAGGTCCCTCCCTAAATGAGTTTTTCCACTATCTTTAATGTTCTCACTGATACAAAGAGAACTTTAAAATCTACAGCTGTTTTTTTTTTTTTACTACACTGTAGTCATTATTTATTCACATCATACTAGGTAGTGGTAAGCTACTTTTGTGGCCACAGCTTCCCTGGAATAGATTGATTTTATTTATTTACAAAGTTCAAGATTTTAAAGTTATTTTTGTATCAATGAGAGCATTAAAGGGAGAGACAAATTATTTAGGAGGGACCTTCCCGTGAGGGTTTGCAAGGAATCTGGTTTCTATCTCCAGGTGCCAAAGGAAGTTCATTGGGTTACTAATGTTTACTTTAGTCTTTAATGTTTAGTTTGTATGTAACATGCTGCAAATAACAGCAGATTTCCTGTTTAACACTCTTGAAGATACACAAAATTTGTTATGCTTACATAAAGATGGCAATTTTCCTCATTATGATTTCTCTCAAATTTTCACAATTTTCAACATGTCCTTACTTACTTTTTTTTTTTTTGAAGTGTACTAAAGTGTAATAAAGTGTACTTGATTAATCATAACATTTGATTTGGCCTAAAAATGAATAAAAGTTATTTTCAATATGAATTTTCTGGACATAGTTCTACATATGTAATCATATTGTTGCCAAAGTCTAAACTTGCTGCTGATCCTTTGACCTTTCAATTAAAAATCCCCAAGCATATCACTGACAATTACCAATATATTCATTTCACAGCCCTACCATGCTGTCAAATGCTTTCAACCTTTGAGTGGTGTTGTTAGTGGTTATTAATTATGTGACGCCATCTTGTGGAGATCAGTGTAACTTATAAATGTTTCCTTCTTATGCTTTCAGTGAAGTGGAATCTAAACGATGAGAACATGCACTACAGACTCAATATCCTTGAAAATGTTGCTACTGCCTTGGTTTTTGTCATTGTTGTTGTTAATGTCTTCATCACTGCCTTTGGTGTACAGCAGCCCCTCAAAAATGGATAGCTTTAATTTTATTTACTTACCATTTAGACCCAATATTGCTATGGACAGTATTATAATCTAATGCAATAGTCCCGAATTTTTAATTAGCATGGGAACACATCGTTTTGCTGCCTTCAATTGCAATTTTATTGTGGACCATTGTTGTGTAAGAAAGGGGAAATATCTAAAAGCAAGCATATAGGTCTATGTATTTAAATGGGATGTTTTTATTACCTCAAGTTTCTGAAACAAAATGCCTTTATGCAAAACTGCTTTTTAATGTAAGAAATATGAGCTTTAGAATCATGTGTTTGAAATATGCTTTTTACAAATGTTTAAAAAAAAACTTATGTTTTTAATACTGAATATTACTGAACATTACATAATGTTCAGTGATACTAAATATTACTGAACATTGTGTAATCACTGATTGAGTATTCAGTGAACTAAAATTCTTCTGCTGCAATTTTACACCAGATTTATAAATAATTGTTTGTCTTATATCATTTATTGTATGTAAAAGGCTTGGTTTTAAATCTGAGACAAATTTTCTAATTTAATTTGTAGTATTAAAAAAAATGGATAGCCCTTACACTGAGTTATGTAAGCAAATGTAAGCTCTGAGTGCCTCAGACCTCGAATCTGTCCACATAACTTCTTATTCATTTTTATTTCTCCAAATCTCCAATAGATTTGTATATCTTGTCATATTTTTTAAACATATATAGTGATGTATATTTTGTAAATCACTTGTTAAATCAAGTGAAGGTAATTCTCCACCAATCCCATTTTTTTTTTATTCTAAAGGTTTTGTTTTGTTTATTCTGAGACAAAAAAAAAAAAAAAAAAATTACCTGGACGGGTTCCAAAGTCCTGAGACCAAAATAACTAGCATTTAATTAATCCAAAATTTTGTTTTCTTGTGTGCTGTATGCTTTGAAATCAAATGTTTATACCAAAGATCATATCTTTGTTTTATCTTGGCATTGAATAATACACTGTGGCACTTTTGTGTTTTTTCTGATTTATAAATAAAATGGAAATATCTGTGTAGTTAGGCACCTTTGTTTAATAGAAACACAATGATACAAATGACCAATGCATATCTCAATGCAAGGCTTTACAGAACACAAGTCATGTTTTAGTCCATTATTGAGCAGCTGCCAAAATACAAGCACTTAAAAAGTAAATTCTGACAGTTAATTTTGGTTAAAGTTTCACGCATTTTCTTATATATGCAGACCAGTAAAATAAAATTGTATTCAAGATAAGGAAATTACTGGCTCTAACTCGCAGCCTATCCAGCAGGAAGAAGCTGCATCCTGCTGGAGATTCCAGAAAAGTGGATATTAAGTAATTTGTCACTGACACAGGGAGTGGATTTAGTTCGTAAATATTTAGAATAAAACAGTAAATACTGAGCATGTAGGAGGCCACATACTACAAATGTATTATCGTCTTGGAAACTGCTACTCTTACCTTTTATACAACTCTTGCTAAAAAGAGGGAGCTCTACTTTATGAAGAGTCAAATAAGACAGGTGCCTTGGACATGGTTCCACAAATTAGCAGGCCTAGTAGTATCAGTTCTTCAATCACAGGACGGACTTTGACTATAGAATAAAATTTTCCGTGCATTGAATTTATATATTTAATATACATTCACTTTTTTAAACATATATTTAGCTAGAATTCCATAATGCAATGCGAGCATATGATGCAAATTAGTTGCTGACCCATTTTTCCCTTACCAAACTGAAACGATCCTGAAAGCGCTTCACATACTACTGAAAATGCTCGTGCCTAAATTTGTTCGTAATCAGTAGACTCAACCCATTTATAGAGGTGAATGGCATCTAAGAAATAGCACGCCCAAGTTTGGTGTAGTAACTCATACAACCACAGGAGGGCGCTAAATTTTACTGTTTTACTTACAGGCCTAACTATACCTATTTAAATTCGTAATATTTCTCGTATATAAACGTGTAGTGGATATGTTAAAAAACGAAGGCCTCAAAATTCTACATAAATCGCAGAATAGATTATGAATGTTCCATTTTCTTTATAGAACCACCAACCACCTAAACTGGAAACAATACAAAATGTTACAAACTTACTTTAAGGTTTAAAAAATAGTGTGCTTTGGCAGTTTATACATTCACGGTGAGGAGTAACTGTAGAAAAAAAATGGTGTAATAAAGCACTATATTATTTCTTGAGTGTTTCTTCTGTGTACCATATGAGAACCTCTTGAGCCTTTTTCTTCAGACCTAGAGCTGCCATCCCCAACGCGCGGCTGCCTCCTGTCAATTTAGCTTCTACAAAAAATATGTAGTAAAAGGGGACTGCACGGAAAAAAATAAAATATCTATATTTGAAGGAAAACATCACTTACCTCCATAGTAATAGATCAAAGCCAGTCCCAATGCAACACTGAAACAACCAATGAAGAAGGCAGGCCCTAGCAAAGATATAAAAAGACACAATTTTATTCAAAGATTCATTGCTCAGCAGCGAATGTTATGAGATGGTGTAATCCCTCATTTGTCCAGAAATTTCAAATAGAGTTTTCAGAGCTATCATCTGGACACTGCTTTTACTAGCAAGGCATTTCTGCTCCCATCCAGAAGCCATTTTGGCTGTAAAAACCCAGGTGCTCAGATGACGACCTCTGAAACCATCTCTGTTAATTAAGCAGATCTTTAACCATCTTCGCAGTCTTACCTTGATCATTCAGAACATGCTTCTGCTGGAGATTTTGTGAATATCTCAATGGATCTAAAGAATCTATTTAAATAACATGTTTTAAGACATTTGACAATACAAACATTTACTTTTAGGTATGTACATTAGGCATATAAACTAACGTTGAAACATACCCCTGAGGCGAAGTCGGGTTGGTAAACTGTAGTATACCTCTTCCACATGCAAGTGTAGAGCTCTATAAAATTCTCGACAGGCCTCCTCTCCTTTACTCTGCAAATGTGTCAACAGCTCACCAAGCCGGACACTGGTGGGCACATCTAAGTTACGAAACTATCAAAAAAAATATATTAATAACATTTCTGCCATTCATTTACAGTTCTGACAGATTTATTAGTGGATTAATAAGTGAAGCGTACTTACTCTGGAGGCCTCTTTATCTGTGAGTATTTGGGGATAAATCCGGTTAAGTTGAAGTATGAGTTTATCCACTAGCTCTGTGTCCAGTCTGTGGTCAGCTTTGAGGAAGGTGCTGTCCTCTGCTAGCTGGTCTTGAAAACTATCTGCTGGAAATATATAAGATTACATTTTAAATAAGATGTCAACTGATGTCAAACTAGTTTATGATGACTAATACTTTAATGCGTTACATTCTTTTTTTCTGTGCCCCCTCACATTATATACATCATTATAAACATGGCATCATCAAAGTCAGTCAGTTTGATTCAAGAGTTGCTTGGTATTCAGTCTTCCAATGCATTCCCCACTTGAAGTACACCATGCTGCGTGCATATTTCAAAACAATAAAACTTAAATAGCCTAAAAGCGGTTGAATTTCAACTAAAAGAGCATTCGTTCGATGTTGTAGAAGCTTTAGGAATAGTACTGATCGTCATTTGAAAAGACGATACTGTCAAACCTTCCAAAACTTCTGAAAAACAATTCACTTGTTGTAGCAAAGCGGAGCTTTCTCAGCTCGCTATTCTAATGACATGCGTTAGTGTGGTAGAATAAGCGCGGTCTATGTACAAAGTGAAAAGCAAAATATACAGTTAAATCCTGTCAATAACACCCGATTTTAACTAAAAGACACGAACCTCCCATTGTGGAGTCCCCTTTTTCTGCCCTTTGTTTGGACACTCCCTCTTACGTCATGACGCAAAATGTTAGCGTGTGTGTCACGTCTTCAGCTTCCCAGCTCTTCCGGAAACAAAAGTGAGTAGAAACGTCGCCTCTCAGTTTAAAACTACTCAACTTTTATTAAATACTCATGCTCTTTTATAGAATAATTGATAATATCGTGTAAGATTTGCTGAAAATACTTACTTGACCTGCTTAAGTGTTTGAACTGTTTGAAGTCATGCTTTAAATGCTTTCTCTCATTTAATGTTTCTCTTTAATTTTATGATTATTATGCTTTGATTTGTTTGTGTTGTGATTTTAATGCATTTCTTCTTCTGTAAAGCATTAAGAATTACTTAGTCTACGAATTGTGCTATACAAATAAACTTCCTTTGCCTTTAATCACACTATATGGTTTTATATCATGGAAGCCAAACAATAATGAAAAAAAATGATTTATTTCATATGACATATATGAATATTAACCACAGGTGCCACATACAGACATGAATCTTTCAAGTGGTTTACTATAAGGTCACTCAGCTCAAACCTTGTGAAAAAGGGGCACTGAAATAAATACAGCTGCAGTTGTAGTAAAACATACAAATGTAAAGTACACAAATGTTGGGGGACATTTAAAACTAGTGTATCAATTATAACATAGCATAATAATAATAATTATTATTATTATTATGTGTCATTGTGCATTTTCAACAAACTGGGCATTGCAAGAGTATTGGCAAAATGTTAGAAAATTATAAAAAGTAAAACATCTATAACATCTCTCCTTCATGGACAATTAGAAATACTGTTTTACACTTGTAACATAAACATCTTTAAATAATGTTTTCCTTAACTATTGCAAGTTGATATGTAACAACTCTGCCATCTGTAACATTAAAACAATTTATACAAAACAAATGTGAACATTTCTTAATTAAAGGCTATAAATAGATATTTTTTTAGAGATTTATCACAATTGCTTCATAAAATCTTTTTTTTCAGGCAGTGATAAGGAAACCTGTCACAAGTCACCTTTTAAGGAAAACAGTCAAGGCAGTTAAGCTTGTAGTCATTTTGTGTTTCAGAATCATCTGAAAAGTCAGGTCTTAAAGGTATTCCACAGAATAACCTGATTAGTTAACAAAATAAAATAAATATATGTTATATTCTCAAGAATGTCATGATATATATGGCATAAAAAGTCAAAACGATGTAATACTCAAAAGTGGCATTATTAGTTCAAAAGAAAAGTTAAAAAGAAAAGTGCTGAGTTTAGGCAATAAGAAATTCACTCATTCACTCTATCTCTGTCAAATGTGGAAGGACTGAGAGCTGGAAGGCAAACCACTTTGGCACTTGAGAAAGTGACTTAACGAATACTGTAAGAAAACAAAAGGACCAGGTGCACGGGAAATTGGCCTCTGATCTTGAGAAGACATACTGTAAAAAACAGAAATGTAAAATGTTTAGGACTTTACAATAGACTGTAAAGAAGTGGACTAAGGGAGTGTGACATCATCTATAATGTTTGGCTCCAGTCAATGAAGCTCACCAAGGATAGCAATTACAGAGCAAATCTGGAGCCAGTTTTCATATTACAAATATGGAGCAAAATAAAAACACCAGGATCACACAGAACGGGTTAATACAAACATTTAGGAGCCTGACAGCAGCAGTTACACAGATATCCGAGGTTTTTTAAATATAAAGTGAAATGGAGCCACAGTCAATGGAGCTGGAAGAACATCCATGCTCACTTCCTATTTGAAATGCAGGACCTAGCAGGTTAGCTATGTCCATTTATATATACAGTCTATGAACTTTGAAAGACAGAGAAATAACTTATACTTACTTTACTTGTGGCTGGGTCCTTTTCCCTTTTTGCCCTTGGCTGCTGCTACTGTGGCACTGTTGCGACGTGCCTGTTCGTGATCAAACTCTAAATCTTCGAGTCGCTGTGTTAAGGCCAATTTCTGTTGAATGGCCATTCGCAAAAGTGAATTCAGGGTCTTCTTCTCATCTTCAGCTGCAGCAAGTTGTCTCTGCATATCATCCAGCTGAGTAACATACTCATCACACCTGAAGACACAGTGTGAAAAATGAGAATGTAAAAAAAATATTAGCAGCCAGCAGATAGAGCCATTTTTCCCCACAATAATGCAGAAATCACATATTCCCTAAAGAGCATTTTTCCACATGGGAGGATAGGACTTCCTATACAGTATAATCTGTTATAATATGCAATATTCAGTTCATGCCATATTTTCTTTTTAATATGTCATCCTGTTTTAGGTGTACTAGTGTACCTTGTGGCAAACATGGCTCGCAGGGAGGAGAATGTGGCAGCATCTTCTTTAAGAGCCTTCAGTTCATTGCGAAGCTTCATCATGGTCTCAGTCACCATCGCCTTTTCACTGTCGTACTTACTCTTTAGGTTTGCCAGAGCAACCTCTGCTGTCTAAAACCAAGAAAAATTGTAATAATTTCTATAATCAGATAAAGGTCTCATGGCAATAGTGCAGAAAATATATATTTTATATAATAATGCAAACCTGTTTGTTAGCCTTTAGGACTGCTCTAAGAGTTGCAATCTGTTCTCGTTTGGTGCTCAACAGAGACTTGAGTTTAAGGATTTCTTCCATGCAAGCTTCTTTGTCTTTGTCTGCTACTGAGCTCAGCTCCAGATTGGCCAGTCTCTGGCGAGACAGCTCTGTGGTGCGATCTACAGCCTGTTGAAGGTGGCGGATCTGATCCCGGATGATCGCTACGAGGTTATAGATGTTCATGGGCTCTGGCCGCTGGTCTGCAGCAGACTCAATCAGACCGTTAGTGAGTTCTTTTCCTTCTTGACCTCTTCGCACCAACGCTTTGCCCTCTTTATAATAGTCAAGCATGACCCGATTGGGGGTTTCGTTATTGCACATGCAGACGTGGTTGTAAAGGTTTGCAAGCTCTTCACTGAATGCTATGAGCTCATCCTGGGCAATGTTGAGGCTTCCCAGAGACTCCCCTGCAGCCTCAGTGGCCACACGCAGCTCCTTCTCCAGGCGGGTAACCAGGGCTTTATCTGCCTGGCTGATCTTCTCCAGAGAGGCCAGACTGGCCCTCAGCTCTTGGACTGTTCCCTCCAGTCGTGCACGCTCCACCTCGTACTGGTTTCGACACTGCTCATATTCTGCCTTTATGCTCTTCAGTTCCTGTCTCAGCTCCCCTGCTTCAGACATGGCCACTGTGTATTTGCACTTGAGTATCTCAGGCCCGTTAATGTCCAGCTCGTAGTACTCTCCATCGTCGTGACTGTCCCGGTCTTTTTCAGAGTCCAGAGCAGAGTGACGCTCTTTACTGGCCTGGAGTTTCCTCATGGCGCTCAGGTTCTCAGTCAGCCTGTTGACTGTCTCCTTTTGCTCAGACACAGTGCCATAGGCCTGCTCCAGCTGCTTCTGACTCTCCTGAAGAGAATTGATCAGGGCAACCTTCTCTCTCTCCACCTTAAGCAAAAGAATAAAACACTTGATTCATTAATGGTACTTTCATTTGAAAAGAGCCTTACGTTTTCTGAGAAAAGATTAATTTAATATTGCATTATTTTACTTGCAAAATTCTGACAACTAACATTCATTTCTTATAATTCTGTATATAATCATCATTATGGATTCAATAATTAATAATCCATATGAGGCAATGTGATAGTAATCATTTATGAGCAAAATCAATACCTGTACAAGCTGCTGTTTGAGCTTCTGAATCTCTGATATGTTGAGTTCGCTTAGTAAGTCGTCAACTAAGCTGGGTGCAGGTTTAAAGCCATCTCTTTTGTTGTCATCATCCCCTTCACCAGTTTTGACTAATCCATTTTCAAAACCACGGATAAGGTCATCGTTGTCGGGCTCTGTGGCTGAGGGGTCATCATGAAGCTTCAGGTTGTCTATGGATATATTAAATGAGCTGTTGTAGACTGACCCCCCTATGGTCATGTAGTGGGAGAGCTCTTTTCGAAGACTGGCCTTCTGCTCACGTTCAGTCTTTATTGTTTCTAAGGCTTCGGCCAGCTGTCGCTCAGCGATCTCTCTCAGACGAATGGCCTCCTCAGTTTGACTGTGCTGACACTGGGAGTCCTCCTCCAAGCGACGGATCTCATGTTTAAGGCCCTCAAACTCGACCTGCAGAGTTCAAGGGTAAGAGATCAGAAGGACTAGATGAGCTGCGTCTCCATGACTTATAATGTATTTAATATGTAGTTTGTCTTACCTGGTTTTGTTTCAGGACAGACACTTGCTTCTGAAGAGAAATGTTCTCATCCTCCAACTCGCTGTAGTCTTGTAGCAGTCGAGCTTCTCGCACTTTATACTCTCTAATATCATCACGCATTTGAGTACGCTGCAGGTCTGCAAGCTCTGAATTCTGAAAAAAAAAAAAAAATAATCAACTAAATATAAGACAGTAACTAGTCATGTTTCAGTTTCATATAACTGTATATTAACTGTTTACACAATCTGTAATCTTTAATATGACCTTTTATATATAATAAGGTAAATGTCATAAAACTTTCGAGAATCATACTGATTGAAGTTGAAGTTGTCTCTACATGTTGTTTGCTAGTGAAGGCAGGCTGGTTTTGTCTCCCAACTATAGACTGACATTTGAAGGGCCTTTAGGTTCCCCTGACTTAGAAAAAATATACATCTGTTTGTCCCATCTTCCTTTGACGTTTCCTTCTAAGCTTGCAAAAGCACATCCTCTTCACCATGTCAATCAGTCTATGTTAAATTAAACACATAGTTCTTTAAAATGATATAAAATATAAATATAAAAAATAATAAAATTATTCTGTTCTTTACAGCAGATAAAAAGACATGCTTTCCACACAACTCTTTACAATTATTAACTAAAACATACCCCATAGTATTTGTATACAATGCTTTATTACATACTTACTTTGGGAGATGTTCAAAAATAGTGTTTGGAAAGCATCAGTACAGTTACAATTGACCAAAAATGAAACATGAAACATTTATTACCTCTCTCATTTCCAGGGCAATCGATGAGAGGCGGTCATTTTCTGCCAGGGCGTTGGTGAGTGAGGCTTTAGTCTGCCGCAGGTCATTCTGCAACTCCAGGACCTTCTGCTGGTACAGAGCTTCTTTACTGGCCGATTCCAGGATCAGAGACTCCTCACGGCTCTCCCCATCTGCAGCCACCTTCCTGTGAGTCGAGTGAGCTTGTCCAAAGGCCTAAAAACAGGAGCAGTAATAAAATGACAGACACAAAGACAAAACATGACTTTTTAGTGGCCTAAGGTTAAAACACTAATGAACGTATTCCCACATTCATCTTAAAGTCGTGAAGCCATTTAGACAACATGCATTATGTAGCACTGACCAAGTAACAGTGCAAGGAAAAAGTAAAGTAGTATACTGTATTTTGCATCACCCATAGATAAAACTAAATCTCAACAAACATCTGTGTCAGAGACATACAACAGGAAATATAATACTCATAAGTAGCATAAGTCTAAGAGAGAATTCATTCCTTTAGATTAGATTAAGACAATTCATGTTTCATTTTTATGTTTTCAAGAGTCAAAACATTTTAACCTTTTGTGTCTGAGAGTGAATCTGTCTGGTTTTGTGCTTTACTGCACCAACCGGTCTACTATGGAAACACATGGCCCACAGCTGCACATGTTATGGTGTGCCAAAAACAAACAAAGCCTTTGAAATTCTTGTTGTGGACACTTAATAGATACTTTTAATACTTAAAAGATACAACAAAATATGTTCTGAATAAATCAGAGATAATATGGTATAGTTTCTAAACTTCCTAATTGCTTTTGCATGGTACTATGACACATCCCAGCTATCCAATATCACATAAATATAAAATAGGAAGCAGCTGCTCACTATCATGAGTTATTCACACAGTGACTTGCACCGTGAGTCAGTTTGGCTTTAGTGCTGATTTACTACACTTTGTGAATCTGACAATGCAATCATTACATACTTGCCATCACAGGGTATGACTAAGTCAATATATGCGTGCTTTTATGGTTCAGTCTGTACTGATTTATTACACCACAAATGCTACTACAAGATTATTATATATACTACAACCACAAGAATGATGTTTATTTAGCTGATAGATATTTCGGTCCTTTTGTCTGTAATTAGGGTATTCTTTGGTCTTCTTGAGTGGACTGAGGTCTTTGCACTGCTGGATAAAAGTGCCTCCAAATAACCAGTTTGGAAATCATGACCGAGAGAAGAGAAAATACCACAGGGAGCTGTTATTCCTCTCAAAACTCCCAGTGACGTCACTGCACCGTGTATAAACATTTCTTTTTCTGTTCCTCTGCAGCTTCCTTTGTTACTGATATACAATGACCACATTATAATCTGATTGGTAAAACGCGTGCAGAAATCTGACATATTGCAGCCAGAGCAAAATCAGTAACTGTAAGGCCTGGGTAAAACATTCCAAGAGCAAGTACAGACACGAGACACCAAAGGGCTCTGTTGATGCTGACAGGCTGACTCTCCTAAATACAGGGAAATCATTTAATGTGCACGCCCAGTGCAGTTAGACTAAATAATAAATTTACATTTAAATATGAAGAAATATGGCTTACATATAGAACAATAGACTGCAGTAAGCATTGATAACAATGTAACTTCGGTTATCAACTATCTATAGGCCGTTCTACTGACTCTTGTGAGAAGAAAGTTTGCCTAATAACGAGAAACAAATATTAAACATTAAAAGGTGCTAAAATATAAAGCTTTGATGCCACTCCTAATAATTATTTAGGAACTAATTGGGCTCAGGGCTTTTCATGACCATAACTTTAGCATAGCTTTATTTTGAGTTACCTCCTTGAGCTGGTCTAGTTCCTGTCGGACAGACTCGAACTCTGCCTCCAGCTCCTCATATCGTTGCTGGAGCAGTTGTTTCTCCTCCAGCACCGCCAGACCGTACTCCGCAGCCTGAATCTTCTCGTGGGTGGTTTCGCGAAGCTCCCGGGAAAGACGCTCAACCTCGGCGCGAAGCCACTGCGGCCCGGCCTCACTCACCAGCTCCGCTTCGGGATATTCGTGATCGTCCGTGGACATCTTGCCAAGCTGCAGACTCGCCGCTATAACGGGATCCAGCCCAGACAAGCAAGAGCGGCTCAGAAAACGCAGACTTCTTTGTTTTTGAGTCGCATTGTCGTGATTCACTGGGGTTTAGCTCTCCTCTGTGATTCTGTTGCAGTCTTGAGCAAATCTTAGCGACAAAATCAATAATTTGATCATTATCGTAGACTTTTCCTCTGCCCTTGTCGTATGGCTGTGAAAACTTCTGTTGAGATCATCGAGAGGAAAATGCTATTCCTGCAAGACATTCAAATGTGCTGCAAAGGGAATTGTAGTTTTTAATGGGACACCAATGCGCGTAGGACTGGAGAGAATAGTTTTGAGAGGACTACAAGTACCATAATGCAATGCTTGGCTTCACGGGCAGTTGAGTATGTGACCCATACTGACACCCAGTGGTTGTATAGTACTTGGTTGTTGCAGCATGGCATTTTGTAATTAGCCCATCAAAACTGGCTAATTAAAATAACAAAACTGTGTTTTTGGGAGGGACTAAATTCGAATTTCTAACACTACAAGAAACAAAACAACTACCTGCCTGTTAATTGTTAGTTAATTAGCCTATGATTATATCAATATTGTCACATTTTAAGCAAGTTAGATGTAGTAGTCTGTGAATACAACTATTTACTGATACATTTGTATAGCTATTGTAGCATTTGTACAGCTATGCGTCTATTTTTAAAATTAAGACTACTGTGTAATTATTAATTAATTATTAATAATGACTAATGGTTTAAGACTTAACTTTTTCACTCCTGAATTGAATACTTGTTAGTATAACCTGTTACACAATCATAACATAAACCATCATAAATCAAACAGTTAACCACAAGTGGGTGCATTGTGTGAATGTGAAAACGAAACAGTGCGGGACTTTCCTTGTGTGCTGTGTGTCTTACAGAGTGGTTGGACAGGTTAAGGAAGTTTCCCCATTATGAATAAGTCTCACTGGCACCTGGAGTGGGACGCAGGACTACAGCTGAACCTGATAAATGGTAGGCTAAGGGTACAGTTGAGTGTCTGTCTTCTCCCCTTCTTTATGTGTTGCTCTGTTCAATCTTTTATCTGAATCCTCTTTTATCCTTTAGCATTCACAATTCTATCTATGTGTCTTAGTTTTTGTACCATGTATTCTTTGTTCCCCATAGGGTCATTCTCCTTGATTCATAATGTTTCTTTTGCAGGAAAATGGAAGAAACATTCCTATCACCTTTTATCAACAGTGTAGGTTGTCTTACTGGTATTTTCAGTGTTCAATATGGATGGATGTAACATCAGTGTCAGTGTCAATTATTAATGCAATATAATTACAAATGTTGGTTGTAAATAAGACTATATGGCCTAGAGATTCCAGGAAGAGAAAATAGCATACCCCAAAATGTTCCTATATAATTCTTCTTTGTTATGAGTTTTCTAAGACAACAAGACATTTTGCAGTCTTTTCAAAATACTTAAATATGCTTTTTGGTCTTTAGACAAATATTTTCATTTCTTTGCAATCACTTTTGGTCTTGGATGTGGAATGGCTCTTTACAGACCCTATCGTTGTAAGTATCACATGTTTAGTTATATACAATATATACACTAGCAATAGTTAAAGGCACCTGCTCTGACATATATTTTGTGTGTGTGTGTGTGTGTGTGTGTGTGCTTGCGTGCGTGCGGCATGTGTGTGTGTTGGTGTGTTGTAGCGCTTGTGGTCCCATTAGTCCTTGCTGTCATTTTCACTATAATCTTTGAAACTGTGGGCATATGCATTGGTAAGAAACAAATGAAATGCTACAACAATTTGTTTTAGAAATATTTATGTTTTAATCTTACAATCCTGTTTAAAGATTTGCCAGCCCATACTGCAAAATGCAAAGGCCCTCCCTATGATAAACGAGGTACTGTTCACTCTAAGAAGTAGCAGTTGTTGTAGCAGTAGTTTTTACTAGCATTTTTATATATTACAAAAGAAAGTAAATTTTTCAATTTCATGTTATTTATTTCTTTGCAGATGTGTACTGGGGATTTATATTTGCACTTTTCGTGGCCATTTTACATTCTAACGTATACCATGGTAAAAATAAATACATAAATAAAATTAAATAATACAACATAATTGTTGTTGTTGTTAATACAACAACATAATCATTGTTTTTGAAACTATATTGATTTCATGTTGTTTTAATGGGGTGATTTTTTTTCTTCTAATGCAAGTCTATACCCTGTCATATGGATGTGGCATAATGGTGTTTGCACTTCGAGGAGTAAAACGGAAATACAGCTCTTTATGGTAAAATCCTTGACATTGTCTCATTATAGTTATTTAATTATCTGAATAAACTTGTAATGTTCTATTCTCACAGGGAGGCCAGGTACAGACAGAAGAACTGGTGGTGGTAGAAGATATTACAGCACACAATCATAAAACACTTGATAATTTGTTCTTAGTTATATGACATGCACTTTCATCTGATTTTGATATCTAATGCAGTGATTCTCAACGCAAAAGCTTCTTTAGCTATATTCATAATTTTTTTGTCATTTTTTTTACATGGTGTGTATGCCTCTTTTAGACCTGGATTATCCCTGGTTTAAACCTTGAATAGTTCTGTGAGGGTTTTAATCTGTTGGAACAAATATGTTTTTTTATAAAGTATTGTATAAAGTTTGCAAACCAGTTGTAGATTTAGTTACAGATCATTTAAATTTATATTTCATTAATTTAATTGATCGGGGCACAGCCCGAAAGGAGCAATGTGGGCTTGTCCTCCTGTGGACCCACCACCCACAGGCGGATCCATAAGGGGCAGGTGCAGAGAGATCTGAGCAGCAGTTGAAGGTAGGGACTTCGATGACCAGATCTCTGGACATGGAAACAGGCTCTGGGGACATGGAATGTCACCTCGTTGGGGGGGAAAGGAGCCCGAGCTTGTGCGTTACCGACTAGATATAGTTGGCCTCACCTCCATGCACAGCTTGGACTCTGGAAGCCAACTCCTTGAGAGGGGTTGGACTCTCCATTTCTTTGGTTTTGCCCATGGAAAGCAGCAGTGGGCTATTGTGAGCTTGCTTATTGCCTCACAGTTTAGCCACCATGTGTTGAAAGGCAAAGCTCTTGATTTACCGGTCAATCTATGTTCCTACCCTCACCTATTGTCATGAGCAATGACCGAAAGGACAAGATTGCGGATACAAGCGGTCAAAATGAGTTTCCTCTGCAGCGTGGCTGAGTGCTCCTTTAGAGATAGGGTGAGCACCTTAGTCACACAGGATGAGCTCAGAGTAGAACCGCTGCTCCACTACATAGAGAGGAGCCAGCTGAGGGAGGTGTCTTAGGCATCTGTTCTGGATACCTCCTGGACACCTCCCGCAGGAGGTGTTCCAGGCATGTCCCACTGTAAGGAGGTTCTGAGGAAGACCCAGGACACCCTAGAGGAACTATGTCTCTGGGCTTGCCTGGGAACGCCTTGGGGTCCCCCCAGAGGAGCTGCAGGAAGTGTCTGGAGTGAAGGAAGTCTGGGAGTCCCTACTTAATTTGCTGCCCCGCCCCCACCCCCGACTCACACCCAGATAAGCAAAAGAAACTGGATGGATGGATTTAATTGATGTTCATGCTCTGAAAATACAAATTTGAATGTACGAATATCTATAATTAAATTAATAATAATGATAATGATAATAATAATAATAATACATTTCTTTGTTATTCTTGCAATAATGAATGACCCCATATTAAATACTCAAAGGTTTATTAAATTAGAATGAGGTACACATACAAATCTTCAAGTAACAAAAAAGTGTTGGTAACAGCAAATGTTCAATGCAGTTTACTGAAATCTTTGAAATAATTAGTCCAATAGTAAAAATCTGACCTCAGTTGACAACTGAACAGATCTGCAACTCAAATGTAATAAATGTAATTTAACCAAAACTGAAGAAGGGAAGTTTCTTTATAGGGTCAACCTACAGCTACTCATTTAACCATTACTATCTCTTACTGACATCTATCAAACCTGCACAATGCAATGTTACACTAATCAGATTTAACACTATGATCCATTAACAACAGTTGATTCCTTAGTTCACTTTGCATTAACTATAGTAGACCAGGAACAAAGATGTAACAAATCCATTTCTAGCCATCATAACTTTCTGATGGCAGACACCACATAATGTTATGCCTCATTAGTATATACTCGTCAACCACCACAATACAATACAAAAAGTCCCACTTAGTAAAAAGGCTTTAAAAACACACAGTACCATCAGAATGTCATGTAGCACCAGTCAGCAACTATTGGCCAGGTTAGTTATTGTTGTTCTTTGATTTATGATTTGTTTTTGATTGGACAAAGTTATTTTTTTATTGCAATTTGTGAGAAGTGTAAAAGATGCATTTAATGAACTCTACATCACAAAATCACATAACATGATTACAGACCTGGGGACATTCACAGTGACAAAAAGAGAAGCAAAAAAAATCTGTGTTTGGCAATGCTAAACACAGGCCATGTTCCTCAGAATTACTTGGCATTGGTGGAGCTGCTCATGAGTTTGCGTACAGCCTGGGCAATGGCATCGCGGTCGATGCCGTAGATTTTGAGCAGCTCATGAGGTTTTCCGCTTCGGGGAATGTGAGAGACAGCCAGACAATGCAGGTTAAAGCTCTGTTCGTTAACCATCACAGAGCTCAAGGCTTCACCCAGACCACCTATAAAAAAACACCTAATTATAAGGGAATCACATGAACATAAAACGCAACAGCAGCAATGTTTGGAAGCAAATAGTTGAGAAATCAAGCAATATAAGAATAACTATATTCTCAGATAATTTGGACACACCATAATATTTGCATCAGAATGTTTAAGGGACATTATTAATTTGTTTTACATGTTCATATGAATGTTTTATGTATAATGACAAAGTAAGAATAAATTGTTATAACCATGGTTCATAATACATTTGATTGCCTGATGCACACTGTCCTGTGGCAGCTGATAACCCGCCATTATGAGAACCTCTGAGAGAAAACGAGATGATTTAACTGTACATTTATCTTCAGTCTCTCTCAGCTCTCTTGTGGGCATAGGGCATGACCGTCTGTGCTCTGTATGTAGGTCACCCTCATCGCCAAGGGCACATTTGTAGTTAAGGAAATCTGACAGCCCTCTCTGGCTTTCCAAAATATAGCAAGATATATTCCTGCAAAAACAACCTCCCCCATTACAATAAACAAATGTCACCGCATTGCTTTACTGTGAGATGACCAAAGGGACCAATGGGATTGTGACCATGAAGACCAATATACACCACATAGTTTCTTGGTGGTCATAACATTGTATATATCTGCTTATTTCTACACTTTACACAGTTAAATTCCAGCTTTAATTTCAGTCAATTGGAGCCACTTTGGTTTAAACCACTCCAGCTCACAGTCTTCCATTAAACAAAGAAATAGCAAAACGTCTTCTCCAGACCTGACCTGTACATTAAAAAACTCAACAAATCCTTGACATTTTGAAATGATTAGATTTTGATTTCTTTGAAATAGTGATTGCCCGACCATCAACAAGGTAAGGTTTCACATAAAAAACACAAAATCTCACTATAAGAGTTATCAGGTCAGTGGGTTTGACTATGTGTATATTCACTTGCCTTCATAGTAGTGGTCCTCCACAGTCAGCACTCGTCCTCTTGTGGCGCGGCAGTGATCGATGATGGTTTTGTAATCCAGCGGTTTGATGGTAAATGGGTCAATAATCCTAATAGAGATCCTCTCTGGAAAAAGTAGAACATTTTTGTCATTATACATTATAATGTGTATATAGGTAGACATAGCACAATACAGATTGCACAAAGCCTCTGTATAAAACACAAATAAGATATGAATAAAAAAATCTTGTCATACCTTTTTTTAGAAGCTCAGCTGCAGCCAAAGCCTCATGGATCAACATCCCTGCCGCTACCACCGTTACCTGGTCATCTTTGCTCTGGTACACCACCTAAAAGATGCAATATTAGACAACAATATTAAAACTCAAAAGTATTTTGAATAATTTAAAGTGTACCTTTATTTGAAATCTGTGATCTGTTTAAATTACCTTTGCTTGTCCAACATGGAAGTCCTCATTACTATTGTAGATAATGGGGCAGTCATGGCGACTGGTTCGGATGTAACACAAACCCTTAATAGTAAAACAAAGCACATCATTAGAATTATTTAAATCATCAGACTTTATATTTCACATGGCAATTTTGGATTACGTACCTTTGTTGTGGCAGCAAGGTCCAGGGCCTTCTCTGTGGTCACTCCATCACTCGGGTAGAAGACCGTTGAAGAGGGAAGAGCCCTGAACATGGCAAAATCCTCCAGCCCCATGAGAGATGGTCCCTCCTCACCTGCAAAATTAGTTTTGTTTTTGTGATTTGCTAAATATATATATTAAAATTTAATTAATACTTATGGGAGGTGCCTTTAATAGCAATGCACACTTAACATGCATATACCTTGCTATAGTCCTTGTGCACACTTCAAACAGGGAAGGTGGGAGAGAGAGGGGAGGACAGTGGGCAGGCAAAGGAGCTGAGGAGTGTGGTGTGAGTAGAACACAGGGTTATAGAACAGGAAAGACACATCTCTTGGGATACTGGGACAGTGAGATCAATTTGTAAAAGAATTCAGTGTAAAATCCTAAACACTGACCACTGGAGAGGCCACAGTGGGAGCCACACAACTTAATGTTGCTCTCGCACATGGCAGCCATTCGCAGCTGATCGTGGGCCCGGGTGAAGAAGGTGGAGAGAGTACTAGCAAACACGAGGTTTCTGTCACGGGCAGCACAGCCCACTGCAACACTGACCTGGAAAAGAGATCATATTACTAAGTTACACATTTACTACACTTAATATTTTTACAAGCGATTATACAATACTGACTATATTGTTTTATACTTAAAAATGTGTTTAGTAGTAATTAAATATAGCTTTACAATTTCACTTTCTTTACTGTAACCAAATGATTGATGTAAAATGATGTTGATTTAAAAATAGAATAGAAACATGTCCATTGACCACAAGTTCAAAACTGCTGTTTAAATTACAGTGTTGTTTCTTAATGAAAATTTCTATGTGGCACATTTTAACCCTACAATTATGATCCAGAGCCAAACCTGAGCTAATGATTACAGGATTACTCAGTGCATGAATCACTTAATATGTAACAATGAGTAAGCTTATAGTCAGGGGCAAACTGTTATACAAGCTCATATAAGTCCATTTGATAGATATTTTAAAGACTTATAAAGTATCTATCCTGCTGTTCGTTCTTGTCTTGAGACATTTGACTTTCATTGAATATTTTGGCAGATGGTTTGACCCTCTGCATTAATATTTCACCTCTGAATTCACTTGTCATGAGTGTTCATCATCTGTACACTGTCTGACCTAGATTACAGTGCACGACGGCACCCAGAATTGACAGCTCCTGATTTTAAAGTCAGCCCTTCCCCCTTCTCCAAACTGGACCAGGGCATTAAATTAGCATAATGAATAACTATGTATGTAATAGAAAATGTTGTTTTTCCAGTTATTGCACCAAAGCAATCACTTTAGGGTACATTAGGTACATTTCTTTTACCAGGTTTTGTTGGGCTACATAACACTCCACAAAGCGATTTGGATGTTCATTCTTGAAGATCTCTGAGTAGGTGAGGTTGTTGGTGTCTCCATCCAGAGCTACCACACGTTCATAGTAGCGGCCCAACTTTGCCAGAGCCATCCCATACGCCTTTCGAGTGGAAATCTATAGAAGAAGGCATACAGTATTAGTTACAAAGGATAGGGTTTTTATATGAATAGAATAAAATACATTTAAATCCCTCAGTCTTTCAGGCATGAACCATAGTGACTAAGGATTAAAAAGTTGTCATCCGAACAAGATTTTCAGTTTAAAGTGTTTCAGCTTCCAACTATGCCTTACAATTGAAAAAGGTTTGATGGAAGCCAAAACAATACTGTTTTCACACTTATCTAAACACAAATATAATTTTTTGTAGAAATGATTTTGTAGCCTTAATACAGTATAATGCACATATGATCTAAATGTAACCTTTTCTCCGGCCTTGTAGCTGGGTGTGCTGGGCATTCTGATGTTCCTCAGGCTGACAGGGGGAGAGTCCTCGATGGGTGCGGATGGATACAGGTGCTTACTGGTGTTTGTGATGCGACTCTGCCAATCCTTTACCACCATCTCGGCCATATCTTTGGGCAGGGACTTGGCATGCCAGCCTTGCTTATCTTCAGCAGCTAAAGATGCATCACATTTATTATATTAAAATGTTGTATGCACATTTGACATATTGTTTATAGGTGGTTATATTAGCGATGAATATAAGCAGCTTAGTAAATATTATATTTAGACAACAGCAATCACCTGGGATGCCTTTGCCCTTGACAGTTTTAGCGATAATAGCAGTGGGTTGATGACGGGGCTGACTCAGAGCTTTACACAGCTCCTCTACACTGTGTCCATCAACTATGATAGCATGCCACCTAGAAGCAAGAAAAATACATTATTGAACATCAATGTATTTATGTAACAAGGAAAAAGCAATAGCATGTACACAGGGCCACCTCGTAAGCTTTTTTGAATTAAACATACATTTATATTCCCAGATATTTATCGTTTTCTTTTTAGAACCATTTTGATTATGTATTTTTTTATTTTATTTTTTTTATTTATTGCTAAATATCTTGTGTGTGAATATGATTTAGACCTTTGAGTACCAATTAAGCCATGAACCACACAAGAAAGTTTAGAAATCTATATAGCTGAAATGTCATGTCCCAAATGAATATACAAACAAATTGAAAAACTTGTCTTTGCTCTTGTTTGTGTTTAATTGTAATCATACTGACTTATAGTATTATGATCTATGCGTGTACATGTGCACTACTATAATTTTACCCGAAAGCTTCAAAACGTTTGTAGTATTTGTCCACATGATGCTGGAGAGGGGCGGTGTCGCTCTGGCACAAGCGGTTGATGTCCAAGATGGCCACCAGGTTGTCGAGATGGTAGTAAGAAGCGAATGACATGGCCTCCCACACAGAGCCCTCGGACATCTCCCCATCTCCCATCAGACAAAACACGCGGTAACTGCAGGTACACAGCGAGATACAGTTTCTGCTTATACTTGTGTGGGGTGTATACATAAAGACTAAATAGTGTTTGAAAAGAAGAACACATCATTTTAAATGCTCTTTGACATATTTCCACTTGAATTGTTTTTCTTCCCTTCATCAGACACTAACTCATAGTGACATGATAGCTTCGCAGTCCAGAGGTGTGGCTGTACCATTCTGCACATGCTACTGCCATGAGAACAACAGCACCCATTTTGAGCCTATAAATGTAAAATGTTACTGTAATATAAAATAAAATAATAATAATAATAACCTGGTTCTATTATTGTATTAGTAAATGTAAGTGCCCAATAATAATCTAAACACTATTTAAAATGATAATATGTTTTGAAAAATAAATACATTACATATTCTTTAGTTTTTTAATTTTCAGATGAAATCAAGTATATTGGTGAAAATGAGACTGCCGCATGCGCTTGTGGTTATTAGAGCAGAAGAATTGTGAGCTGGAGCACAGAGCAGCAGCACACACCCACTTACCCACACACAGCAAGGAACCACAATATTGATACAAATTCTGACTTAATTTACAATGGTTTACTGAAGCTGAATGCGCAAAGGATTACCTGGATTTGTCAAAGTATTTTCCAGTGTAGGCCATTCCACAGGCCACACCGAGGCCTTGGCCTAGGAAGCCGTGAGCTACCTCCACAAAATGCTGCTTCTGAAAAAACATCACTTTGTTTGTTATAGTTCTTATATTTAATAATAATTTGAAAACAGTTCTTACATGCATAGTGGGGCTCTCATGAGAGGAGTCAGCTTGGCATAAGCTGAACATCTCACTCTCCTTGAGGAAGCCAGTCTCCACCCACATGGAGTACAGGGCCGGAGCAGCATGGCCCTGAAAAACAAAGACCAGTGTTATAGTCCTGTTCAGTCTATATGTATAGGAACTATTGTGAATGCATGAATGAATTCAGTGCATGAATAATGTGGGTTCACATAGATCTACCTATTTTTTTAAACACAATTCTTAAAATTTTGATCATGTGATTTTTTTAATACCAAGTTTTTAAATGGGTAAAAAAAATTTTTTTTAATAGTGCTTACAACACTAAAGTGAATATTTAAAAGAAAATATTCTATCCATTTACCTTGGACAGGAGGAAGCGGTCATTATTGTAGTGGCGGGGGTCTTCAGGGCGGTACCTCATGGTGTGGAAGAACAGCACAGACATGATCTCGGCCACACTGCAGCACGACGTGGGGTGTCTGAAGGGTGGGGTCCAAATTTTAACAAAGGATCAAGATTCAACATATTGAAATATATGTGTCTACTAATTCACTTTACGTTTTCAGTTATTTCATTATTGTGTTTATTGGGATCAGTCAGGCCTGCTCAGCTTATTTATTTATATAAAAAGGTTCATAAATATGTAAGTTTTACTAGAGGGAATATTAGGTTGGTTTTGTAAGTACCAGCTGTCAAATGCTCTGTCAGACAGAGCTACATGCAACAGTGTGACCTATGAATAAATGATTAATACAGTAAATCTAAAATTATTTAAGTAGTCACAAATGTAAGTTGGACTTAATCATCACAAAAATACATCAAATCAAATTGTATCTTACTTATGCAACAAATAATTGATTAACCATTACTACTGCACAAATAATTTCATGATCTCAAATGTACCAACATGTGTGTTAAAACTGCCAGGGACCAAGAAACAGATTTCCCAAATTTTGCATTAAAATAAAGCTCAATTTAGAAACTAGAAATCAGGCTATTTAAAAGCGTATGTGTTACGTAATAAATGTTGTTCTATCAAATAATTCATAATAATTTGGATTTCGCTTAGGTTATTGTATTAGTACACACTAGTTGTCATTTTGCCATGTAATGTGCCATAATAAGTACCTTATGCAATAAATAAAACTTATTATAAATATTGATGCCTCCACTCTTGCAGTTTGGACACTCACCCATGGCCAGCTGCAGTCGTTGCCTTGATGCAGTTGATGCGGAGACGGTTGGCAATGTTCCTGAGCACCTGGATGGTCTGCTGGTCTGGTTTGTGGTAATCTTCCATGATGTAAGTTAGATCAAGTCCCACTGTGTCCCACTGTATGAAAAAAGTTAAATAATAATGGCACACAACACTGTTTATAATGACTAGGTGATGCAGAGATGGTGAAAGAGAGAGAGTGTGACTTATCCACAGCCAGACCAACAGAGATGGGGCGGGGCAGAGGTTGGCTGATGCTGGTTGGGTGTGACCCTTCAGGATGGAGGCAGCTCATGCCATTGGCTGCGTTGGAGTGGGATGGTGGAGGTGTGTCAGAGTGGTGAACCTGGGTGTATGACATTCAAGGGGAGGGGGGCGTGGGGACTCAGGGCAACTGTCTGAATACATACATCACATTTGGTATGCAGAATGCATTGTTATTCAAGCGCACAACATTTTCATCAGCCTTACCAAATTTGTTCCTCCTGTTCTTAATCCAGTCAGTCTTTTTGTTGTTTTGTTTACAGACTTTATGAACTTACATTACTATATTTTTTATGAATTACAATACTAAACATTTCTTCTTTTGAGATTACATCTTGATGAATGCTGTAATTTTAAAATTCTCTTAGTATAAACCAATCTAACTGTTAATATGATATTTGTATATGACAGTGTATTTTCTCTTATTATCTAATCATATCCCATAATTATGAATCAATCTATTAATTAAACTGAATTGAATGTAATTGCTTTATATTTTCTAAAAAGTGCATTCTTGGCATTGTAATGCATTGCATTCTTTGGTAAAAGACATTTCTGCTGTTTCTCAGTTGGATGTTTTTCTTGTTCAATGATGTTCAGTGAGCGTGACATGTCTGCTTTGGGGACAACGTGTTCTTTCCTTTTAAGCCCTAAACCTCATACAGGCAATCATGTATTTATTTTGAATGCATAGCATGTTTTTATACATTGTTATATGCTATTATCTTGAAGTTATATTAAAATCTAATCATTGTTTAATAACATATATCAAATAAACATTAAATCTGATGCTCCAAGAAACCTTAAAAGCAAAGACGAGGTGCAGATTGATGGGTCTTTTCTGCCATCTAGAGGATCATCTCTGATTTCAGACATTTAAGATAAAAAGCATATAAAGTAAATTACATAATTTTACTTAAAATCTTTCACAACTACACAATAAACGGATGCTGAGGTCTAGTACGTATTTTTAGTAAAATATGCCAAATAAAAATACTAAAAGTTAAGACCAACATATAATAAAGAATAAAATTTAATAATTCATAATTTGAACTGTCAGTGCACAAAAACATGCTTGCAAAAAAAAAAAAAAAAAAAAAAAAAAAAAAGATTTTAGTGTGTATTTAATCCTGTATACTAATTAGCTAGCCCTAACTGTGAACTGTATTTTACACATTGGCCAACAGAGGGTACTCTTTTTCAATAAATTAACTGCCACTACTTGCAACACAATAGGCTACATCCAAAAATCCTTAGTAATATTTATAGAGTAAAGGGTTCTAAACTGCTAAGAAATTATCAAGATCTATATAATACATAATAATAATATTACACTATATTATACAATATAATATTTTATTTATTTTATAGTAGTTAAGATTTATTTAGTAATTTCTTTTTTCTGTATAGTATATAGAATTGTCTAAATCTTGAATTTTTGTCTTAAATAAATAGATAGATAAAGATATTTTTGATATTTCAACATATATTATTTTCTTGTCCATTGACTAAAATGATTTTACCTCTGGACCTGTCTGTCCCTCTGTTCCTCTGGAGCCCTTAGCCTTCATAAATCTGTGCTTCTCTTGAGCAGTCTCTCTTGTTCTACCACTGTCCTTCTCATGCTCTGGAGCAGCTCCTATGGGCTCCGGCTCCTGTCAGAAAAACTCTACTTCACATAGACCCACAGGTGCTAACCAATAGAAACCAACGAACACAGGGCCATGTGATGGTGCACAGCCAATATCAGGCACCCTGAACCACACATTTCCTGGAGGGAAAATACATTTGGAGAGCATGAATGTTGCTATTTTTAAGATTTATGGCTGAAAAGAGGAGCAAAATAGCCACTTGTGGTATAAAGCCTTAATATAACTCAGACATGTGTGATTCAGCATAGTCAAAGCAGGTGTAGCTCATAATTAGACGGCATTGTTAGCTGCTACCACTTACACATACAATCATCACAAGCACACGCACAAGTAGTCCCAGATGTACACTTAGACCAGGCCCACATCTGTGCTCAGAATGTGAAAAACAAATGAACTCAACAATAATATCATCTTCATCTGCATACCACACTTGTTATAATGGTGAAGTGTTGCTTTAATGCCAGTGTCTGCTCCGGGCTGCTGCCTCTTCCCCTCTGCTCTTATCACTCCATTTCCTTAAACTGCTCTGTGCTCATTCTGATGACACAGAGTTTGCCCTTCTCTGGGAGATGTCTGTCACTGGCCCCACCTTCAACTGTAGCCATGAGATGTACCAGAAACATAGGGGCTGTTAGTCTGAGTGGGTCATATGGACACAGCAAAACCGTTCAGTTCAACCAGTGCAAACGCACAGACAAATGACTGAAATAAAGAGGCTTGTTCTGGAGAGGGCAGGAGGTGAAGACATGGTAAAGTGGAGAGGCGCTTAGAGAAAGAGACTGAGTGTGTTGTGGTTCATAGTGAAGTTGACGATGCACAGGAAGAACAGCTGCGCTCCGGGGCGTTCAGGCTCCATCACTACTGCTATACTTCAAATACATACATGCCTGCACAAATACTGCTACTTATGCATATTTTACATACATATTTTACATAACACTATTTCATACATATATCTTACCTAAAAGAAACAGATTTAAATGCTATTTGTTCTCTGTTGGTACACAGCATAATATTCAAATATAAAATAACATCTGTTTACATTTATTTAGTTATTTTTTGTTATAATAGTTATAATTGGATATATTGGGTATTGCTGTATAAGGAGATGATCTTTTTGTATGCACCTAAGGACCGGATGTTCTCCCAATGAAACAATAGTATTTCAGTACATATATTCTTAACTAAGCTGTTACTGTTTCAGTTCAAGAGCTCAAGGACCTCCATACCCCTTCAGGGCCACTGCACCCTTCTTCTGTGTTTTTTCTTTTAAAATGCAATGGGCTAAGCATTTCTCCTGGGATCTCCTGGGATCTGCTGGGTTTTATTTGGAAAAAATTGGCTGACTGATCTCTCATGGCACCTTTATTGCTTGTTAGGAATAATGGGGAAGATTGATTAATAATAAAATTAATTGTTTGTCCAATGTATAAGTTGCAATTTTATGATTTTTGCTGTAATGGTAAAAATACTTATTTATAGGCTTAAAAATACCCCACAGGTGATCAAACATGCACACTCACACAGCTATGTATCATGTTACCAAACACACACATACACATTGGGGGTGTAACACACATTACCTGGTGCAAGGTGAATAATTCAGGACAACTCTAGAAGAAGCATTATCTTGTGCAGACGGTAATAAGATACAGTAAGCCTGTTTGGTGCGTTGTCACTCGCTGAAAGTCTGCTTGTGTCCCTTCACTGGCCACACTCCTCCACTACAGGGAAAGAAAGGAGCAGGGCCCTGTAAGAGCTATGGGGAAGAAAGAGAAGAAAAATGGGACTTAGTAAAGATGTTTTGCAGATGGATTTCTGGTTAAACTTTCTTCCTATTTAACACAACAATGGGACAAATGTGTAAATAACAACCACTGAAGCAACTTGGATTGAGCCACATAAAATTGTACTGATGCAGCAACTATTGAAAATAGAAAAAAGTCTGTCCACTGAATTCAACAGTTTGGAACAGAGCCTGCTTTTCCTTTGGAACTTTGGACTACTAATTTTGATCTCTGTATTATGAATAGTTTAAATGTAATTTCAACTGGATCTTTTAGGATAAACCTATAGGTCATGGTCATTTTAAAATAGGCTTTTGATCTGGATCCATACTTTTTAATGGTTTTAAAACTACTATCATGGATCAGAGTTTGAACTTTACATTGTGGATTAAAAAGTTACAATTAGCCAGTAATGTACATCCCCATTCATTGAGGAATCTTTAAGAGGTCTCTTGGGCATTATAGCTGAAAGTTGTGTGCCATTGTCATTTATAATACATGCGCTGCAATGTACAAAGCAGTTGACCGTGAAACACCTGTTGATCAAGACATTATATTTGCTATTATAGTATTCTATCTGATGTTTTAACGCACGTTTATATTCTGATCCACATGCCCAGAAGAGCAGCTGTAACAGGAGAGAGGTGCGTCTGTTGCCAACAGATCAAGACGTGGTGTTGGCTTACTTTATCACCATGCGCACACACAAAGGGCCCATCTGGAATATGCCGTTTTCCATTTAAACGCCAATACAATCAATGGGACAGCGTTATTTACCTAGGATATACGACAAGATATTTCCATATGTGTATAGCAATCACTTTACTCTACACTGATCAATAGCAATGTATATACTGTGTGTGATTTGAACCTGGTTTCCAAATAAGTCCAGGTACAAAATGAGGTGGGTTAATCTAATGCTTAATCTTGGTAATGTATCCTATACAGTGGATAAATCTATCTTGTTAATACACAATTTGCCACTGTCACATAAAAATATCCAAACACTTGACTGTGATTGTTTGTAAAAGCCAAAATGGGCCTAATTAATTAGTGTTGTTATCTTACTACATAAAATTCATTTGTTAAATGTACACTATGTAACATTTATGATGAGGGTGTCCATCATTTGCTTGCTTGTCTTGACGTAGATGTTATTGATTTGTCCAAAATGTGTCACAACATGGCATTAAATGTATGCTGTATTAATCCAATTACACTGATATTTATATTCATGAAAAACATACATACATAGATACACAGATCTGATCTGGTGACCTTACCTGCTTCTCCGTGGAGATAGATTTAATGTCATAATCAGGCACCAGGCAAATCAATAGCATCTCCATTTGGACAAGCATGTTACACAGTGCACCTTTAAGTAAGCCTGCACAATTTCTGCAGTAGGGAGAAAAGCATGTGATCCTATGGAGGTGTTGCTCTGATTGGTGGTTTGAGTGACCTTCACGTGACTGGAGCATGGTGCACTTGATGTGTCGTTTTGAGGTTATACAGATCCAGGTGCTTCTAAGACGCTGACCCGTGGTGTGAGTTTGGTACGGGAGCAGAGGGGGGTCTCTCCACAGCTCTGCCCCACAGCTCTGCCCCTGCCCCGTGCGCTGACGCCGTGACGATATGCCTGGGACGAGGATGCTCTGTTGTCTGGTGCGCACTCTCCAGTCTCCTGTTCCTCTCATCACCATGACGGAGCTGGACTGAGGCGCAGGCTCTGGATGTGTCCTCATGATTTTTACCCTCTTCTCTTTAAAATCGGACCTTGGATTTAGCCCCCTGTGGACGAGATCAGTGGACAAGAGAAGACCGAACAGTGGAGTCTTCAGGAAAGGTACAGACTCAACAAGGTTTGAAGTTAGCTTAGCCTAGCAGCGTTTCTCCTCCCGCTAAGTACATTGTGCTTTTAGTCATTTTATCAGGCGACGGGTGATATTAATGGCCACTTTGCTCTCGACGCCGCTGAGCTTCGCGGGGCTCTTTTGGAGGAGGGGAGCTAATTGTCTCAAAGCATAGAAAGAGTCGGGCTGCGCCGTGGAGACTCGAGCCTACCTATAACAATCACGTCAGGTGGTGGACCGCACAATATCTGACCAGCTCCGTGATCGGGGTCGGATGTCAAGACGTATAACCAGATGTTTTAGGGTTTTTTTTCTTCTTCTTCATTAAAAGCGACGGGCATTTGACAGAGCTATCCCCTGGCAGAGAGGAAAGGGGGTTATGCGTCCTACCTTGATCGCGTCCAAGGAGAAATATGAGGACGTCTGGTGGTGTTTAATTTGTCACGAATCACTCAGAAAAAGCAAGCTTATTATATTGATGTGTGTTAATGCTGTCCAAAGCGCAGCTCCGGTGAAAAAAGAAAAGAAAACATGAATTTGCTTTGTTCTGGCCGTGTTTGTACTGGCGTCGGCTTCTTCAGAGCAAAGAGGAAATGGGCTGACTGTCGTGTGACTGAAGTCTAAAATTACAAAAGCACATTTAGTTTTCTGTGTGCGAACATAAAGATCATTTCCCTGCTCCACTGCAGTGTGACCTTTGTTGTTTGTTGCTGTGGGCCTGCTGCAGTTCAAGGACTTTCAGTGATGACAGTGTGGAGTGATGCCTGACAGTGGCAGCTCAGCATTAGCCTTTTACACTACTCTGCTTTGTCATTTAGAGTGACCTGAATGTCATTTGTCCTGGTACCGTAATGGCTCTGCTTGTGACAGGCTCTCACGTTGTAGACCATCATGGAGAGTGTGCTGAGAAATCTGTTTTTGTAACCTACCTCTATTTAGGACACATAAATAACTGTAATTGAATTTGATAAATTAGTCATGTGTGTTTCTTGAATTGCATCTATAGCAACTCATCTTCATCTTTGTTTTCTCTTAGAGGTAAATTATGCTGGCAGCAGCTGAGGTTGAGGCCCTGGTGACGCGCCAGCTCATTGGTCAGACAGCTGTGCCCTGCTCTCACCCGTCTCTGTGCCCTGGCGGGTCCATGCTGCTGGATGCCCCTCACCGAAGCACACCCGCAGCATGAGCGCCAACGGGCCCGCCCCAGACCCCACCTCCACCCCGGCTCCAGCCCCTCCGCCACCTCCGCCTGCACCTGCCCCTGTGTCCAGCACCATCCCTGTGGGTGCTCTGGCACAGAAGAAGAGGCAGCAGTATGCCAAAAGCAAGAAGCAGGGCAGTAATGCCAACAGCAGGCCGCCCCGAGCGCTCTTCTGCCTCAACCTCAACAATCCTATACGCAGGGCCTGCATCAGCCTGGTGGAGTGGAAGTATCCTTTATTCTAATAATGTGATGATAATGCGTGGCCTTCTTTTATTAAAGTTACTCTAGTTTTTATAAATGTACTAATATAAAATCAACTAAATACATCTATTAATTACTGGCAATGTATCATATCTATTGTTTTATCATGTCTATTTCATTATTGTCCTTAACCCTTTTCTCCAGGCCATTTGATATCTTTATTTTGATTGCTATTTTTGCCAACTGCATGGCCTTAGCTGTCTATGTCCCTTTCCCTGAAGATGACTCCAACTCTACAAACCACGACCTGGTGAGTACGGTATACTGTTTGTCATTTCATCGTTCTTCATTCTGTGCTGAGGGAACGGTTGACTTTCTGAAATAATCTAAGACCATCACATCAAAAATGTTCATGGCAAGCTATTTATTTTTAAAAACTATTCTTGAGTAGACTGCATCCACAGGCACTTTTGAAGTATCTGGTCTCTTTGTACTCTGAACTTCTTTGACATCCATCCTTTGTGGTGCTTCATCATGTCTTAACATTTCTGTACTTTTTATTCGGTTTACTATTTTTAGTCTTTCTTGTTACTGCACCACATACTTGCTACTGCATCTTTTGCATTATGTCTCTATGATGGATTATGGGTGATGTAGTGTGGTAAGCATTGTTCCGCAGCTGAAGATGAGGGCACTCTTCAAAAAGCCAGACAAATACAGCAAATATGGCAGATCCAGATGTTACTTTATTCACAGGGATCTTTCAAATTATTACAGTAGATGTGGGCAAAGGCCAATAGATACAGTTTGAGAGCCACATGTTACACACTGGTTTGCTTCTTAAAGATGGCATATTATGCAAAATTTACTTTTATGAGCTTTTAACAACGTTACAATGGTGGTCCCTGATCTTAAGTGTATTCAGAGTTATTCATGCACGGTTGACTAATCCTGCATTGTTCTGTATTTAAGGCTTGAATTGTCAGCAAATGTCTATTTTCACCTATCCCAACACACCCGCTGCCTTGCGTAATTTGAAAATTTAAGACTGGGTCATACACATAGGGATTAAAAATGTTCAGTAGCCTTTCTCTGCTTCTCTCTTCTCTCATCTCTGCAGTTTTGAACAGAAAGTCAATTGTAATTTTTTTTATTACCATAGCCATTTAGATCAAAATTGCATTTTACAATTCCCCAAATATTAAATTTGTATGTTGTAGTTTCATTCAAGTGCCATAAAAAGCACTGTTTTCTGTAAGCTGTGAACTAGACCTGTTATAAGAGCTCTAGGTGTATACGGTGTAGAGTGGAGAGTGTGAAGGTATCCCACCATGTTTGACCTCTGCAGGGTGACCTCAAGGTGTTTGTTTACATTGTGCCACATCAGGCGAAAGTAGGACATTGTGGAAGTTACGCTGTCTGATATAAGGCGTATAATATAGGCTGTCATCTTAGCCTACAGTTTGTACAGAGAAAGGCTGAGTATTGGGTTGCATTTGTAGCCATGTAATAGTTGGTAAATGAATACCTTTTGTTTTTGTAAAGAAACCAATTCACTATTCTTTAATGATATCTCCTGCCCTTGTATTTCCAACTTACACATATTTGTTGACACCATACAATATGGTAAAAAAAACTAAAGCTATTCCTCCTTCCTCTGCCCTGTAGATTTTATGCATGGTCTTATAACAATCAGATATTACTTTTCTGGTGTGGTAAAATATTGGTTTTCAGATGTGTACAATGACAGAAGTAGGTTTTATAACGTCAACTGGACAAAGTTTGTTTTAAAGTTCATTTTCCATAGATCCCATCCCTGCATCTACGACAGAGCAATTATACATGTTTATTACTTCTGCAAACATGAGACATTTTCTGCATCTTTGTAGTTTTGTGTCTAAATTTCTCTTGACTGATACTGTATGCACTATGTAGCAGAAGCTTTTCATCTTCATAAATCATGCATGTTTAGTTTTATCTATACACTGTACAGTCTGTACCTCTATTCTAAACCTCAGATCACATTTATAGTCGTGTTTCTCAAAGAGATGGCAATGTGGATTAATGAATAAAGTGCATTGAACTGCATTGAGCTAATGCAAAACCTCATTTAGACTTTCAGTAAGGTTGTATTATGTGATCCATATTTATCACACTAATTTAAGCAGCAATAACGTGTTTTATATGGTGCATGAACAAGATTAATAACAAGAGACACAGGCACCACTAATTGATAAATACAACACATATGCACGGCTATAGCTTTCTCTTCTGACTAGTTTTTTTTTTTTAAGTGCAGTATGCAACTTTTCTGGTGTATTCTTACTGTGAGTGAATCAACTATCCATAGATCTTACCTGTAATTTGACCAGGTTCCTGATTGTTTTCATTCAGATAAGTCTGAAGCCACACCACAAGCAGTAACTTGGCCTGGAACTCTTCCTCCTCCTGAAAAGTCCTGAAAAGTCTTTTAGTCTTACATCCCATTCCCTATTTTTTAAATGTATTCCAGAGACCCCTTGTGTATTGGCTACTTCTATTGTACAGCTATTGTCCAGATCTTGGCTTAAATTTTGTCGCATCAACAGTATATTTCCCTATTCCTTATTTTCAGCATCTTTTGTGCAAAAGATGCTTTATGGGGCAGGTGTGCCTGCTTGGCCCTGGTCTGTGTGTTGTAGTCACCAGAGGAGTGCAGTATAGATAAACTGCTGAGCTGGTTTCTATAGTGTCTAAAGTAAAGCTGTGGTACTGTCATTTCACAGCCCTGCACTCTGCTGCTCTGAGATGGGCTGTCGACTGATACAGGTGAAGAGAGGGGTCTCGTGTGTAATCCTGGTATTAAAATTATCACAGGGTAGCAAACCAAGTAGCTCTTTCAACAGGGATATAGTCACATGCAGTATATAATCATCAAATGGGGAGTGAAAACAGCCAAGGTCAACCACCCACCATTAGCGAAACAAGCAAAACACCAGTGTTTGGAGAAGACACATTGCAAAGAAACTGGGATTTCAGCAGCATTAGCCGGCAGTCTTTGTTGGAAACATCGTATTAACCAAAGTAGCTAATTATATAGAAGTCCATTAACTCCCTAGGCAGAGCAGGGCTAAAATCTTGGGTTGTACCACCACCTAAGGGCTGGTGTACAGTCATACTTAATGTGTAATTAAACAGACCTTTCTTTCTGTTTGCTTATTATAGGTTTAGTCATTTCAGTCTAACAGTAAGTAGCACAGGCATGTAGCGCACGTGACCGCTTCCCACAGCCACTTTGTTTAAGGGACGGACAAGAGACTGACCCGCTGCCTTTGCTTTAAGGTCAATGGTGACTTGTCTGTTGGAGACTCAAATCCCCAGGCAGATTTTCAGAAGGTACATGAGCAAAACAATGACCTTTTCATGGTGATTCATGTCTGATCCATTGTAAAGAAACACACAGTGAATTGTATCTAGTATCTCATGTAGTGGTTGTTACTGCATAATGGTGAGGACACAGGGTTAAAACAAATATGGATAAATGTGCATACTGTAGGTTTGCACTGCACTTGTAAGAGATCATAAGAGTTAATTTAAAGTGCTTTATGCTTTATATATAATTGATGGAAATCAGTCTTTAGAATTTGATATAGAAATATAGAGATGTTTTCGATTTAATATTCCCTTCATTTTACTACTGCAAAACACTTTTATCACCTTGCCCTATTTGCAAGATTTCTATTGTTCAAGGCTCAAGCAATGAAGCACAATGACCTTTTTAGCAAGCCTTGAAAACTTATTTGAATGAAACTGGTTTGTGTTAATAATATCTGGGCCTGCTTGATTTGTTGTCTGTTTCACTACCAAGGACCACCTCAGAATACAATACAGGGTAAAAGGCATTTCATGTAGCATATGGGGATGATCTTAGTGGAAGGGGAAGGGAGTGGGGTCCTGCTCGTAAGCTAACAATTTAGTGATAAAAAGAGTCTTTTGACGATGTGCTATTTTGATATTTTGGTGACATTGTCATATATTATTAAAATAATACTGAAGTATTACTCTATTTAATGCAGCTCAAAGCCCAAACACCAAACCCTTTTCCCACCTACTTCTCTTACTGGTCAGCCTCTGTTATGCTCTGTATGAGTGACACGTGGATTTAACCAATCACAGTCAAGAGTGAACTGTCAAGAGCAGGAGATGACTTGAGTTAGAAGTTGCAGGCAAATGTAAACAAACGAAGTCCACATGAATAGTGATAAAATCTAAATCGTTATCTGCTAATATATTTTGGGCATATTGCCCACCCCTACTTCATATGTTGTGTTGCAGTAATAACATACCATATGCTCCCATTAAATGCACAGATGCAGCGGCACAAATGAGCAGTAAGGATGAAGAGATAAAGATGCCGTTTAAATCTGATGTGAATCCAAAGTACAATCCAAGTGCCAAAGTTGTGACTCGCAGCCAGTGCCTGTTCAGTGCTCACTGTAGGAGAGTGCTGTGGTCTGACATCAGCTGCATAGAGGCTTGAGAGGCTGCACTGGCTTCTGTCACTGACGATCACTGGGAGGAGGCGGGATGTGAGAGGAAAGGCTCTGCTGAATCTGTCAGGGCCTTTTAGCTGGACCTTTATTTGCAATAACATCAATTACAAGAGGCTTGGCTTTCACCTGCTGGCTATGTGTTTGTGGGTTTGTCTGTTAAGAAGAAAACTGGTTGCCTAAATCTAATGACATTAAAAAAGGAATGTGCTGGATTTGAGTACTTTTTGACACAATATCACACATTTATTTATACACTACTGACTGAAAAAAAGCTTTACAATCTCTAGTATTTTTTATTATTATGAAAAAAAACTTAAAGTTAAAAGTTATGTTTTATCAGTTAAACAGCAATTCTATTCAGGGGTTTCAGCTTCTTTTTTATAAGTGATATTTTAAATATCATTTAAGATATGATTGAAACGATATAAGTTTTGACACTCTCAAACCCACTGGTAGTGTATATGTCTGCCTGCCCTCTGTTGATGAAAAATATCTTCATGAATGACATGTCATATGTCAGTGCTTGGCCTCCTGTGGAAGTGCTAATCTTTACATGTGCGAGAGGGGGAGCGTTTGGCGGGCGCTCTGTTACGGCTGGCACCAGTGGCTTCCTGTGGAGATGATGGAGGCAGGATGTGTTTAGTCACTTAACGTAACTGCTCATTTGGGAACTCGCACTGTCCTCGCTAATATTATCGCTAATGTGAAATTTAGTGTGTGCTGTGTGGTCTGTTTTAAATCTAATTTTATTGTGGCGTAGCATTTTTGCTATTCCTAT